TTGAACTGACAACTGATACATACAGGTTGAATTTTGTGGTGACAGCCAAAATATGTCTCCAAGATAGTGATCGGAAAGTGATTTATCAAGCAATGTCTAGATCATCTTTACTAGTTTGAAAAGATTTAAATCTGTACTGAAGAGAAGTGGAGTTTGTTGTTACCCATAGTTTAGATATATTTCTTATATGTTACATGGGGCTCCCCTAGGACGCTAAGTTGCATTTTGTTTTCTGCTCTTTTGTCGGGTTGTTGTCTGTTTGACACATTCCCTTTTTCCATTCTTTATCTATTAAGTTAGTCTTTTAAGGAAGGGTTTGGACATTTTTAAAGATCACAGATAACAGGTCGTTTTAAATGAGACGTTAGGTCTTCTAACCCCCCAAGGTCGCAGATCTGCTTTGACCATGTTGGAGCTACTCACATTGATAACAGCTGAACAGCAAAAATTTTAGCCAGATATTTATAGAAAAAAAACTTTATCCTAACAGTCTAATTAAATTAATATTCAAGAAATTGAAACTAGAGGATTTGTTTGAATTATATTTAAAAAAAAAAGTTTCTCAGGATTAATATTTCAAGAGAATAATTATGTTTTGCATAGAATTATTCAAATGTCTTTGATTGTGACAAACTAGGGGAAAAAAGAATAATAAATGAATGTTTATATAGATGTGAGAACAAACCAAAAAACACACTATCAGGAACACTGTTTATTTTGTCAAATGAAGTTACCTCCCATTATTACCTACCCCTTTAATTAACTGTTGCATTTGTTAATTTTGAATATCACACCAACATGACAGTTTTTGGAAAATAAATGGAGTATAAAAGACTGCAAGTCAACGTGGAGAACTTTAGTTCGAATATTAAAAAGAGTTAAAAGAATTAAATAAATACGAAGTTATTTACTTAACATCTCAAATTGAAATCCTTTGTCTGTGCTTTAAATTTTTGCTATCTAATTTTATATATTTTATCACCTCAAGGATTTAATAGGGTAGTTTTTGCACATCATGGACATTTAATATTTTAATTCTAAATAAATATAGACTCAACGCATATATAAGGACTGATTGAGATGAAGGGGGTCAGCATAGGGACATTCAAAATTTTGCCTGTGCATTTTGCCTGTACAAATAATAATCTTACAACAGTTTTAAACAACAAAAAACTGAGTGTAAGGCAGGTTACAATACAAAGTATGGCTTAATATACCCAGTCTTATTAGCATCATTTCAAACATTTTAATTGACAGATAGATGTTGCCTCATGTCTTGAAATTTTGGTACCTTGTTTACTAAAAGCTGAGATTTGAAACAAGTTAGAATTGTTGTATTTGATACCATTTTTTAAAACCATTTATATCATCTAACAACTGGATATATTGCCAATTAATTTTTCCTGTATTAAATATGGGTAAACATTCTGAATTGTCTCTCTTTTATAGAGATTTAGATTTGTTTGCAGAGAATATTAGAAACACTGTGTAATAGGAAAAAGTAAACTGTTTTAATGGAAGCATGTATTCTCATGAATGGCGGTTAGATTTCATTGGATAGTGAAATAAACTGGTTCTAAGTTAAATAACTTTAGCAAATGTTAATCATTGTTTGATTTTCTATATTGATACAGTGAAAATGTATTCACACACTGGACTGGATAAAGTGTGATAATTAGAATTAATAATTCACGAATAGATATTGGACTAAAGTGATATTCCTTGAATCATTACATTAGAACAGTGCTAACAAATGGATTTCTGCTGTCGATAGTAATCTCTCATATAAAGAAACATTCTTTGTATATCGGAAATCTTCAGTGTTTTGTTATCAATTTTGTTTAAGTTATTTAAACATTTTGAAATAAAAGGTCACATCACAATAGTTTGATTGTCAGTTGAGACTTACAAACTATTTTTTATCCTGGTGTCAGTTTTAAGCAAGCATGTGAAGATTTTTGACAAGTGATACTGAATATTGGGTTTCAATATCAGTTTTGGGATTTGTGATTCAGGCAGAATGAAAGTTCTGATTTAAAAAGCCCTGCAAAATGTATATATTTTTTTAATGGAGGTAGATATAATTGTATGTTTTGGATACTACATGTATTTATACAAATAATAGTTCCAAAATGGTGGATGTTAAAAGATCTGTGGAATTTCCAATTCTTGGATTAAAAGTTAGGCTAAATGGTAAGTTTCACTTCTTTTGCTAAATAGTCCTTTTTTAGGATGAACGCTAAGTAAAGACTGAAATAATATGTGAAAAATCCTTTTTTGGCCCAGATTGGACGAAGTCCAAACAGGCTTTTAGTATGATGATGTTGGGCAGTAGGTCAGGGAAAAGATGGTACCTAATTTGTGTAATCAACTCCTAGTTTTCAACCAAGATCCCTGAAACTTCACAGGAAGATTGTGCATAAGTTTTGCACCTGCTATTTAGAAATTGTTTGAGGAATTTTTACATTTCATATTTCAAATATTTAAATATTTAGTATAGAGTGTTCTCCATTATTTAAGAAAAAATTCTGCATTTGAGTCTTTGATCTCTTTTTTTAGGAATCAGAGTGATGAAATGTAGGGCTTGACCGTGTCAATTCGGAAATTACTTGTATTTTAGAATTTAGACAGTTGTTTTTATTGGCCTCAACTATGAAATCTTTGAAAAATAAAACTTAGACTATGCTTGTTTTTTTTTTTTAGTAAAATGAGACTCAAAATTGGGAAGTTTTGTATTTCATTTTAGTTTTCTGTCAACTTTAATATTTTCTTAAACTAGTAATTTTGGCAACTTTAATTTAGTTTAACATAAAAGATCTGATTAAATTGGTATATTAAAGGGAAAATGTCTGCAATTTTGTTTCATTTCAAAACTTAATTAAATTTTTGTATGGCATGCAAAATTTGTTGAATTTTAGACCTTTATTTCGCTAAGAATATAATTTTATTTAATTTCCTGACTGCACCTAGTGCCGCTTTCTTATGGTGTGTTTAAGATTTATGACATATGGTTTAGATCGGCATATGATGAGTTTTTTAACATGTTAAACTGACTTAACCCTACCACACCTGTACCTAGTCGTTCTATCTTGACCATGTGTTTTTTTGTTATCAAGTTTTTGGAGGAGGCGATTTTTGGTGGTTTATGTGATCTGTTGTATTGTCCGTTTAGGCAATATTTTTGGTGATTTCTGTTATCTTTTTAGATATTATGATATCCAAATAATGTGAGTTTTGTTCTTAGATATAAAAGGTGAAAATGGAAATGATACTTTAACATTAGAATATTAGTGATTAAAATTAAAGTTATGTTGCAAATATTAAACATATGAAATAATGATAATAAATAAAAATTATATGAGTAAAAGAGATATCGGGTAAAAATAATGATAATAAATAAAAATTATATGAGTAAAAGAGATATTGGGTAAATGTCAGAGAGAGTAAACTAACAACCCTAGTAAACCAATGTACACAACCAGAAACACTAAAACACTTGATTATGATTTACAATACTTTTTAAAATATTTTCCTGCAATTTCTACAAGTGGAAATTAACAGTCAAATATTTGTGATTAAATTGAATGATTATTTGACCAACTAACAGTATTGAATTCCTTGATTTTGACTCTTAATAAGATTGGTTTGCGACCTTTCTCTGTTATTTATATATTTTGTAAATGTATAAACATTGGAGTGTTGGTAATAAGAAAATAATTTGGTTTTGTATTTACTTAGGAAAATGTTTACCATACTTTTCTGTTTACTTTCTATTGTAAATACCTGTTTGGTAATAGACTCAACCCTTTGCTTAGTGATTGAAAAATTTTGTTTATTGCCTGATAATGATTGATAATAAAAAAATTGGTTCGGAATGATTTCAATGGTTTTCTGATGTTCTTTTTTTAACTGATTTGGACCTTGGTTAATTATTGGTATTATGTGTTAAAGTTCTTAATTAATTTCATGTATTGATGACTTGTATGTTTTCTCTTTAAAAATACAAAATATGTCACTTATTGATCGTAGTAATTGAGGTTTGCTTAATTAACACCAATTTAGTGCAAAAGAAAAGGTGATTAAACTTTACCATATTACATAAGTTGCAGAGAAGGATGAGTATCCCTCTACTTGAACATAGTTCTGAATTTACCTAAATATAATCCGCCAAAGTGTCTTTCATTGTTTAAAGGTGGTGTAGATCTGAGTACTCACGGTGGATTCATTAATATTCGTTGGATACCATTTTTTGTGGATTTCGTAGATACAGGAGAACCACGAATTTAAATGTTCAACGAATTACCAATTTTCTGAAGGAATGCATGCAGACATTCCTAAAACCACGAAATTAAATATCCACGAATATTCAAGTTTTCCACAAACCATGAAAATTGGAACCCACGAAAATAAATGAATCCACAGTATTAGAAAAACCTTGATTTCTACACTGGAACCACTATTGGAAGTTGCCATTAAATGTACCAGAAATGGAACTTTCTATTCACAGGGTCATCAAAAGCTCATTTGTGTTTAAAACATACATTTGATATCAGGAATATATATGCTTAGATCTTTAAACAATTTTATTTTAAGCCCAAGTAATTCCTGAAAAGATGATTCATTTTCTCTTATAAAACCAAGGACAATGTTTTTAAGGAGTGTTTTTACAATTGAGACAAGTGGGGTGTTTTTAAGTGTATCAGCTTATTTAAAAAATAAATACATTATATTATAGTAGGATTATATTGCTGAAGATTTTATTCAAAATATGTATTCTGTGAAGAAAGATGATATGTAGAAAATAACTGAAAATGTTGTCTTAGGGTTTAAGTAACTTTTAAATACCTTTAAGTTGTATGAAAAAGTACATGCATACATTAAGGTCACTTTTAAATGCCATAAATATATGTAAAGTACATGAGTTAATAAAGTTGACTTTTAAATACCACAAATCATATGAAAATTACATGCACTCATTTGGTTCTGTTTTCTATCTGTAGCACGTCCACATCAACATGATCTTGAAGCAGAACAAGCTGGTTATGCCCAGGGCTTCCGACACCGTGCTGGGATGTTTGGAAACAATGGTTTTCATCCAGGACGATATTTTCATGGTCAACAACCAACCAAAAATAGATGGGGAGGAACATTTGGTAATGCTACTAAAAACTCTTATCTGTCAAACACTACTGAGCATGTGCCACTGAAACCAAAAGTAGTGACAATTGTACGGAATGGTCCCAGGCCCAGAAACAATGTGAAAATACTTTTAAACCGAAGAAGTGTCCAGTCTTATGATCAATTAATGTCTGATATTGCTGAGGCTTTTGGCCCAAAATATAAAACAAATAGGCTTAAGAAATTATTTAATGTCAAAGGAAAAGAGGTTCATGGTATTTCAGACTTTTTCCGTGATGATGATGTTTTCATAGGTGTAGGAAATGACAGTTTAACAGAAGGGGATATACAAGATATTATAGAAGAGCTTTACCCTGATAGTCCATATGCTAGGAATTTATTAAGGGATTTGGAAAAACAACGTAAGAAGCGACAAGCAGCATTGAAGGATAGTGAAGCTGATAAACGAGATAGTGGTTTTGGTGAAGGTAGTGACGGAAGTAATCGGGACCAAGAAGGAGATTATATCATTTATAAAGGTCGTCCACAAGAAAAAGGGCGAAGACGTCACGATTATCCAAAGGAGGACGAACTAGCAATGAGGCTAGACAAAGATCGCATGAAAGCTGCACAGGAGGAGAGGGATCGGACAAAACGTCAACAGAAAAAAATGATAGAATCTGAAAGAAGGGCATTGGAAAATGAAAAAAGGAAGCAAAATCAGGTTCCAACAACAGCTAACAAACCAGAAGATCCATTCAAAAGAATGAAGGAACAAAAAGAAAAAGAGAGAGAGGAGATAAGAAAAAAGAGGGAAGAGGAAAGACAAGCCAGGATAAAAGAGGAAGAAGCCAAAGAAAGGTAAATTCATATAAGTTTAGAAATGTATTGTTTCATTAAGGTTTTCAGTTAACGGTATGCAGATGTATGCAGCAGCAATGTTAAGGATGTACAATACTGTTGATGTTTCCCTGACCAGTCCAATATTGAAGATGTCATTTATGGTTGCATATGCTTTACATCTCACCAAAATTTGAATATAGGTTTTTATGCATTTTTATAACATTTAATTGTATTGTGGCTGATTTGATCATATATTATTCAATAAAGTAATCTTAACCTGACAATTGAGATTGTACATACTACTCAACTGGTGAGAACAGACGAGTTTTTTTAAGTATGTGAATTTGTCACATTAAACTAGAGTTCATTCTGTTTGGAATACAACTGATTCATAAAATTTTGATAGAGATATAGATCAGATGCCATAATTATTGAAAATCCTTGATTATGGTGAAACTTCAGTGCTATGACCCAATACAGTGTTTGACAATTGTTGACAGTAGTTAAACTATAAAAGTTCCATTATACATGTATTGCCTTTCAGGCTGAAATGTTTTAAATGATTTAACTATGATGGTGTCTTTCAGGCTGAACTGTTGGGAGTAGTTATACATTAAAAGTCCCATTATACATGTACAAATGTATATTAATAGTCTTTCAGGCTGAACTGTTTAGAATAATTTAAATATAAAAGTTCCATTTTATGCCTTTAAGTTGATATAGATATAACAATTCTCAGATTGATACTCGATCAATGATTTCCCCAATGTATTTTGTATTTGTAAAATTGATTTTATTACTATAATTAAATATTTGATGTTTACATGGATTATTAATTGACATAATCTAATGTAGTTTAAGTACAGGTACAAAGTTCCTCTCAAGTTGAACTTTTCAACTGCCATTTTTATTCATAGACCAATTTGACATTTGTTTTAAATTTAACGAAATAAAAATGGCCATATTGTTCTCATGCAGTGCTGTAAATAAGATCAGTGTTAGTATTTAATTGCTTTATGTAAAATCTTTGAGTTATTAGGATTTTGAAATCTGCAGACAAGATTAAAATGTATCATTATATAGTACATTGTTTTAAAGCACACATTTCATATTCATAAAATTCAACTTATACCACAATAAGACCAGAAGTGTAATCTGTAATCAGGATGCAAGTAAAAGAAAAATTGATGACAGAAAGTAAAAAAAAACGTTATATGATTTAATAGTAAGTTTTAAGAATGCGTAATTATTTGAACATTTCACAAATGAGTACAAATATTCATCCTTAGTGATGTGGTATAAACATATCGCAATAAAATACCATAACAAGCTGACTGATAAGTGACTTTTTATATCATTTTTTTTTTAAAAAACTAAACTAGAATGGTATCATGAAGTGTGATAGGAAACTCAGAGTATCAGAAATTAGAAATAGCAACTAACTAACCAGCCTTGAATGATATACAGAGATACTTTATACCTATCATAAGGTTACTTATTCTATGTTCCATTCCCACACTATGAACACATTACTATACAAATGTTACCATTTTGCAGAGAAAGAAGAGAAAAGGCTGAACATGCAGCAAGGGAACGACAAGCTGCAGCAGAGAAAGCTGAACATGAAAAGGGTGACAAAGAAAAAGCTGAACTTGAGAAACCTGAAAAACAGAAAGAAAAAGCTGATAATAAATCAGACAAAGAAGATAATGATAAAGATTTACATAAAAAGAGAAAATCTAAGTCAAAGATTGTACGCAAAACTAAATTAGAAAGACAAGTTAGTAGTGATGAACATGTTTTGAGTCGCTATGAATTAGGCCGGACTCTTGGGGATGGCAACTTTGCTATAGTTCGACAGGCAAAGTTGAAAAACTCGAATAGTGAATATGCTATGAAAGTTATAGATAAACACAAGCTAAAAGGCAAGGAACACATGGTTGAAAATGAAATTGAGATTATGAAAGACTGTCACCAACCAAATATTGTGAAATTGTATGAAGAGTATGAAACTCATGATAAAATCTACCTCGTGATGGAATTAGTTAAGGTGAGTTATTATAGAGTCAGCTTCAGATAGACTGGAATCTACAGAGTGATAGGAATTTACCATTAGTTAATTAGCAGTGAAGTAATTGTGTCCCTTGTATTATGAAAATAAGGAGGCCAAGGAAGCAGCTACCTACCATAGACCAAAGGACAAGGAAGTAAAAAACTATAGGGCACTGCACAGCCTTCAACAATAAGCAAAAGCCATACTGTATAGAAAGCTATAAAAGTGTCCAGTAAGACAAGAGGTGAAACAATTCAAAAAAGAAAACCAACGCCCTGGGTTTTGCTGAACACAACAAATGAAAAACAAATAAGGCAGACAGCGACTAACAACGACCATTGAACTATAGGCTAATGATCACTTGGGACAGGCACATAAAGAATATGGTGGGGTAGAACATGTTTGTGAGGATCCTATTACTCAGATGAGAAAACACAAAAAACAAAAGATATCTAATGGTCAACATATGGTCTTCAACAATAGACAAGTGTCTACACAATATGTTGATTAAGCACAGTCCAGAAAACTGTAAATAATTGTACAGAGACTATGAAAGATGTGCCATCAACACCAAATACATGTATACCCATTGACCATATTTTGCATAGAAATTAAGCATAAACAATGGAATCCATATTTGAAATGTTTAAAAAGAGACATAATTACTGATAAATAACTAGCAACACAGCCATTTCATAAGAATCATACACCACACAAAATACAATATTTAAGGAGTCATGCTGTTCATAGAAAAGTACTATGAATGTTTAGTATGTCCTACTTAGATATCTTAGAGCTGGCAATGTACATTGTTTTAGAATAATATTATGGCCAAATATTGTTATGTAATTGCCCATGTTTAATGGCTTGCTTTAATATCTAGGCAGAAATTCTTTACTTGTAATCTTTATTGCATTTTAAACAACACTAGAATGTCTTTTTTTCATGTTCAAATTGTTATATGAACATGAATTGAAAGAAATTTCATAATATTGACCGTTCAATGTTTTATGAAATCTTCAATCAGTTTTTGCATGGGTTTGTTTTGTACACAACACGGATCAATGTCTGACATTTAAAATTAATGAGAAACAGTAGACAGTAACTGTATACTTCCTGTACATAGTGAGTTTCCTGGGAGAGACAATGTGATGTAGGTTTTGCTCATTGATGAAGGCTGAACAGTGACCTACAGTTGCAAGCTTCTGCATCATTTGAACTCTCATGGAAAGTTGTCTCATCTGCAATCATACCACATCTTCTTATTTTAATAATGTAATTTTTTCTTTGTGGTTCTCCAGGGGTGTGATATATGAATGAATAGTGATATGAGACAGCAACCCAACAAATAAGTTAATTTGAATAGGACATTTGAAGGTTACCAAATTGTTTCTCAGTGGTTGACAATTTATCAAACCATATTGTAGACTTAATTCATTGAATGAAAATAACATGTACCAAGTTCTCTCTCAAACACACATGACTATCTCATCTCCACCTAAAAAAATAATAATGAGTAAACAACACAGTTTAATTCAGGGAGATTTTCTACTGTTTCAAAACAGTACTAGAGTCTGTAGGTAATAAGAGCTTGACTTTTAATTGTTTACTGACTCAACATAAAACTTTAAATTGTTTAAAATTGGAATATAGTTTGAAAAAGTAATTTATGGTGGAAACATTTTATTTATGAATAAAATTTTTTTCAAAAATGGACAAGATTTTATATTCCTTATTTGTTATTCCTACAGGGAGGAGATTTATTTGATGCTATTACACAGAGTGTCAAGTTTGGTGAGGTAGACTCATCACACATGGTCAAAGACCTGTGTAATGCTCTATTTTATCTTCATTCACGGTCAATAGTTCACAGGGATCTCAAACCAGAAAATTTATTGGTAAGTTTTATTTTGCAGATAAGATAGAAAAACATTATGTGATTCAAACATCATAGAAGGACACAGCAAAATTGACAATACTTATAGGAGCAATGTATTGCAGAATTGGCATTTCTGATGAAAAGATTAAATCAGAAATTTTGAAACTATTGGAAACCCTACACCCTACAGTCAAAGTTAACCTTAGCCGGCTTACTAGCTAGATTTAGCACAACCCTTTATGGGTTTTTGTTTCTCTCTACAGGGAAAGATAACCTTAGCAAGGTTTGACACAGCTTTTTTGGATTTTTTAAACATTTCAATGCTTATCAACTTATTGTTATTATTTCAACCTTCAAACTGTTTGAATTTGGCACCACTGATGATCATGAGTCTTGTTTAGAAGAAAAGCACTTCTGAAATACTAAAATTATAAGCCTGGTAACTTTATGACCTTTTAAGCTATTCTTGTGAATTTGTGTAAATACAGTCTTCATTTGAGTAAATGTTCATTGACATACATTTAATGTTATGAAATGGTGTAATCAATAAATCATGGAAACGAGAGTTTTCTGTGCTGTATTTAACCTTCCTAACAGATTTTGAACGGATATTATGTAACAAGAATATGCATTTCCTATGTCCAATTTGTTTATGAATTATGGAAAGGAGTTTTATTGAATTTTGAGGTTTAAGTAGTTGAAATGATATTTAGAATACATATGACATGTTTGTTTTCATCAGTATTAGTTTCTATCCCCAAAATTGCCTTTTATGAAAAAACCATGCAGGAATTTTGTTCTTAAAGGTTGCCAAAAGACTTTATCTGCAATTTTCAGGCTTTATTGGTTGCAAGTGATGTATACATTTTATGCTTGTGAGATTTTTTTCATCCAATATTACTGGTTGATTGTCCCAAGACTATTAACTTCATAACTGATATTTACAGGGAACTCTTTCCTGTATTTGGATCTTAAGGGGGTTTTACTGTTTTTGGTGCAGATTGCCTACTTCAAGTGTCTCCTCAAATGTATAAGCACTTTCCCTTGATTGTTAGACATCATTTTCATACAGAATGTTTTTACATCCTGGTTTTTTTTTAGCGTTCACATAGTCAGTTATGAAACAACTTTTCAAAACACCTTTCATCTATACATTTAAATTTTCTGTAGCTTTTGTAAAGAAACCTAAGCTAATATTTATGTAATTAAATGATCAAATACTTTTAAATTTTCTAATTTCTATGTAAAACATTAATTTCTTATATAAATTTTTTAACTTTACCTTGATGCTCTTTTAAAGAAATCTGTAATTATTGGACAACTTGAATTGCAGTAAGGTCATGAAAGTTAATACAGTCTAAAGTCACTGCACAAGTGACAAATTGCAATTTTTAACCTTGAGTTTATGAAATTAAATAGTACTTTGTTAATCACTTTAATTGAGCAATCTGTGGGAATTTCTGCATGAAGTCTATTGAAGGTTGTTGATAGTCATTATATCTAACTAATCAATTTATTTTTTTTATATTTATTAAGGCTAGATTTTTCATTTTGATGAAATCTCTAAAAAGAAAAAAAAAACCAATGGGTTCTTGACAATTCCTATCTATTTTGCCATAACCATGCAAAGGTGATTGTGGCTCTTTTATCCCATTCTCTTTTTTGGAAAACCAATATGATATATTAGATAAAAAATTGACTGATTTTCGTTGGTTGCCAATCTTAATACAAGAAATATAGTCTACAGTGTTGAAAGCCATGTATCGATCATAATAGTAATTTTATTAATAATTTGACATAATATAAAGAAATGGTTTTAAAATTTGTACAGGTTCACAGAAATAAAGATGGAACAATTTCGATAAAGTTGGCAGACTTTGGTTTAGCGATGGAAGTAAAAGAAAATATATACACAGTGTGTGGTACGCCAACTTATGTAGCTCCAGAAATCTTGTCAGAAATAGGTAAATAATTTCAAGTTACTTTAAGAACACAGAGAACTTGTGGCAGACCTTTTGGTAAGTCTGTATGAATAATATTCAGCAATATTATTTTTGTAAATTTTTACGATTTTTATGCCCCTGGCGCAACAGAGGGAGCATTAAGATTTTCCCTTGACCTTCTGTACATCGGTCCAGTGGATATTGGTGGGATCATTTTCATTGTCTAAAGTTATGTCCCTTTCTAAATGGAAAATTTACAAATTTGTGGTTTCTGCAATCCAAATTTACTTTGCCTCTACCAAATGTTATGAAACTTATACACAATACTTACTACCACCAAATACAGATCAAGTTCAAATTTAGGTGGCATCACTACACCGTTTTCGAGTTATGTCCCTTTATAAATTAATAATATATATTCTGCAGATATAGAGTCACTACATTGAATGAGTTATAATATTTCTGTACCCAAGTCTTTTGAATTATCAAACTTCAAACTTGAAGCTTGAGAAAACGTGTGAAATTATGTAGTAGATTACATCCCTTGACAATGTATTGTTTTGTTTTATAGGTTATGGATTGGAAGTTGACATGTGGGCTGTAGGAGTTATATCCTATATACTGTTGTGTGGATTCCCTCCCTTTAGAAGTCCAGACAGAAACCAAACAGAACTTTTCGAGTTTATCAAAGCAGGAGAATATGAATTCCTCAGTCCTTACTGGGACAATATTTCATCTAGTATGTTTCTTACTATAGAAGAAAACAGTCTACATTTCACCTTTATCAAAACCATTTCATTTTCTTTTTAATTATGTGTATTCATTTCAATTGTATTTCTTATCATCCTGCTTCTAGCTAGAATCATATTTTATTGGATAAGAGCAATCCCATATTAAATTGTATTATGCTGAACTCACTGATGTAGGCCATATTGCTTTATGTCAAACATTTGATGATGTCTTGCTAGGTGATGCACATGTGAGTTCATTGATGAATGTTAGAAAATATTGCAATGTCATATACAGTAAGGAGATATTTAAGAAAATAAGATTTGATACTACAATTGCTTACAATATTCTCAAATGATTACATTGTATTGTCTCACTGTGGAAGTTCACTTTGCTTATTTTGTTTTATCAATATTCAGGTGGAAATACATTGATTGTTACAACATTAAATTAATTATTAACCATAATGAATATTTTATGGAAACCTGTTATGATTACCTATGATCATATGTAAACTCACCACATCTTGGTCAATATAGTTATTTAGTCATTTCCCTGAAGAGGTTTAGGAATAAAATTCAAATGAAAAACTAATAGAATCTAAATCATCCTAAGCATTCAAACATTTCAAAATCTATGAAAGCAAAATATAATTTGGTAACTTGAAGATTTTTCTTTTTAGCTGACATGGCCCATGTGAGCTATTGCCATCACTTCCATTGTTGTCTGTAGTCGTTAACTTTTCAAAGATTTTCTCCTCTGAAACTACTGAACCAATTTCAGCCAAACTTTGGGTGAATGATCTTTAGCTATAGGGTATCTAGTATAGTCTCCCCTCAGTCAACATACATGGCCACCATGGCTAAAAGTAACAAATTTTTGAATTTTTGCCTATTATTTTAATTATTGACAGGTGAGTGATTCAGGTTCTTAGGAGCTTCTTGTTTCCTAATCTTTCTGACTGATATCAGTACTCTTTGAATATGTAGGGATTTGTTCTGTATGATTGATTTATGTAGAGTTGTATGATTCTTTCAAAGATGAATCAGTTTCTTGTTATCATTTTAACAATTTGTGATTATAACAGAGGTAATGTCATTATCTAAAGGCTAGACATAATCTTGCTAATTTCACATGAAAAGTGAAAGTGATTGATTGGAATCTTGTCTTTTATAGTTGTTAACAAAGCAGTTTTAAAATGGCAATTATTTGCATCTTTTTTTTACCATGTCTTAATAAAAAATAATTGGCATAGATCTTGACAAAATGTGATTGAGTAAAAAAGACCTTATTTAGAAGTAAACAGAAAACTGCAGATAACATACCTGACCTTTTTTATTTTAAAGGTGCTAAAGACATGATAGAACACTTGCTAGTCGTGGATAGGAAGAGACGATTTAATGCCATAGATACTCTGTCTCATCCATGGATACTTACAGGTGGTGACACATCACATCCTCAAGACAACGCCAAAGTAGAAGAAATGCGAAGAAATGCACGCAAGGATTTGGAATTACAAGCACGACTGGCATTAGACTCTTATCAGAAACAAAAAGAGAAGCGATTAGCTGCTCTGAGTGCTGCATAGTGATATTTTATATAGTGTTGATAGGTTTCTTGGATTTCCAGTTTAATGGAAAATTTATCCTACATTTTTTAACATCAGATTACACTGGAAATATTTTTATTACAGTTTGATATTGATTTGAATATTTGTTGACATTATCAGAGGACTTGAAAATTGAGTTTTCAATTATTTGCAACATTAAAACATTGCTGTATTTTAGTATTCACATGCAGCTTAGTCAGTTCTAATGCAAAACTATAAAACATTCCCAAACTCAATTGTGAAGTTCTAAGATAGTCTGTGTCTCTGGTGTCAATCTTATTTAACACCAATTGCATGATAATTTCAGAAAGTTAAGCATGGTTGGGATGAAACAACATGTCATCTGCATGAAATATCAAATTATTGGTAATGTCAACTGACCATAGGTTTTCTACAGGGTTTGGGAATCAATATAAAAAGTGGTCAAATATTTTAAGTGTAAATCAGTCAAAATCATTCCATTTTCTTAATTCACCAATGAGGAAGAACAGGCACATGCCTGGAAAAATGTCACATGATTAGACTTTTTCAACCTCAAAGTTGAAACCACCAATTTTCTGGAATTTCAATGTTGTGAAGTACCTGAAAAGTCATCTGTCGTTGTAATGGATATACAAACTAATTGATACTTTGGATTGTAGTTTGTTAGATGTGGAAGTCTGCAAGAAACCTTGATTAGGGTACATCTGTTTATTTAAGCTGTCCATATAGTATTTATCTGATAATTTTATATATGTTTTTGTCTCAATACTTTATACTGATAGAGATTTATTTTTTAATAATCCGTCCAACAGTAGTATTTTGCTCTGTGTTTTTTCTGTTAATTTTGACAATTTTTGTATTTACACATGACAATTTTTGTTAAAGCTTTTTAACATGTGAATGGATGTTCATTATGAAATTTGGCTCTGTCGTATTGTTCTACCTTTTTTTTTTAAATTATTTTTCAAAGTCATTCAGTGCTGATGTAGTATGAAAAAGTATTATAGAGGCATACATGCATTTCAAATTATATTATGATTTTACATCTATTTATTTGTTTTTGTTTGGAGGAGGCAGCTCTATTGAAGTAACATTGCCATTTGCTCCTTTAATAAGGAAATAATTGTAAATTTGGAAAGCTTTAATTTGAAAAAAAATATTCTGGTTTTTCTAGGATGAGATTTAATTTTCTTTGTATCTTCTTTCTTTCATGACTTTAAAAAAATAATTTCAAAATGGATTTACAACTGTCCTTCCACTATGAACTTTAAGCTGTGTTAATGGTGTCTTGAATGTAAGTGAATGTGATATCGACGCACTACACAAGTAGTTTTTGTCTATGTGCCAAAAAACAGATTGTTTATATATTCGTTGCTATAACAAAGATGTAAATATACTTGTTTCAAATTCTGTGATATAAAAATCTATAAAAAGTGATATGTATATATATATATAAATATAAATAGAAATATATGTTAAAATATTTTTTCATGAAATGTATGTGGTGATGAATTTATCACATTTCTCCAAAATATCATTATATATTTTATCATTACAACAAAAAGGAACTAACAGTTACAGAGTACAAAAGACTTGAGTTTAGGATATGAATACCATTTGAATGGCAAATGCCCAGTTAAAGAAATAGTTACAGGTTATCTCCCTTGGTACCTCCCCCCACTATTTATGACCTGTACTAAACATATCGTTACATTGTTTGAGGTATAGGGTTATTGTTAAGTGTACATTTTTGAACTGCTTATGCATGTAATGTGTAATTTTGTTTAATGTCTATTTTACACTAAAGAATTTAAAATTTCAGGAAAAGTTGTATTTTGTTTTACTTTTGTTTTATTCCAATATTTTTTAGTTTAGTGGTCATTAATTATCAGAATATCACGACTTTTCATTTGTTTTGAAAATTCATTGTTAATGACAAATTTTTAATTAATAAGAAATTCGTAATCATTGGTTTCATGATATCAAAACTGTATGTGCTGTTAATACTTTTTAGTATTTAAATGAATATTCATTCATTTCACTCATACATGTATGAATATGTAAATGACATGCTTGCATGAATATTCAGTGTATAAGTGTCATAAGATTCCATGTTATTTCTAAGCATATTTGATATATATATATTAAAGTTGCTGTTTACTTACTTTTTTTTTAGACAAAAGACATTTAAATGGTAGTAAATTTAATTTATTAATAAGCTGTATGAAGATTATTTCTTAGTACATAAATCTTAGGTAGACTCCTTTCCTGCTGAAGTGAATTTTCAATATATTATTAAGTTATTGAGAAAAAACATTTTAATAAATTGAAAAAGAAATCCACCATAATTTATATTCCAACAAATAATTTGACTAAAGCTATGTTCATTAATTTCCAGTCCATCTAACAATAGCATGTAGAATGGGGTAAAAAAATCTGTCCAGCTTTATATTGTTTTTAATCTCCATTCTAGCAAATACTATGTAAAACTGAAAATATTTTATGTATTTTGTATATGAAGGAAATTATTTTTAGGGCGAGACAAAGGTCTTTGACCTACAAAAACATGATGATGTACATTCATTTTATAAATCATTTTCAGTTTATGAAAGAAGCCAGAAAATCCAATGTATTCAAATGGAGGATCCTGAAAGGTCTATTTCAAATAATGTCACTATCACCAGGAGAAGGAGCCTGCCGTTATTAGTCTTATAAAAGCTTTGTACCAATCAAAACATAGCTTAGAATTGTATCTTTTACCAATAAACAAAATCCTATTTACAAATCTTAATTATAAATATCTTGTTGGAATTATTCAAAGTAAAAAAAAAACTATTTTGTCCTGTAATGATGTTTAAAACATTTTTGATTTTTACTTTATGGTTAAATTATGTTGTCAGGCTTTTTTTAACTGCTGGAAGAATATTTACAATTCTCATGATAAAATCTCAGGATAATTTTCAGGATTGTATTTAAAAATATAACGGATACACTGTTGCAACGGTATAGTCTTGTTACTATGGAAATAACTTTTCATGTTACACTGGTTTATTGGTCAATAATAAAATATAATTCATAAGTCATTTTGTTTCTTTTTTAGCTCACCTGGCCCGAAGGGCCAAGTGAGCTTTTCTCATCACTTGGCGTCCGTCGTCCGTCGTCGGCGTTAACTTTTTACATTTTGAACTTCTTCTAGAGAACCACTGAATGGAATGAAACCAAACATGGCATGAATGTTCCTTATGAGGTGCTGACCAAGTGTTGTTACTTTGTAGCCGATCCATCATCCAAGATGGCCACCAGCGGGGGACTTAGTTTAACATAGGACCCTATGGGAAATACATACAAATGACTTCTTTTAGAGAACCACTGAATGGAATAAAACCAAACATGGCATGAATGTTCCTTATGAGGTGCTGACCAAGTGTTGTTACTTTGTAGCCGATCCATCATCCAAGATGGCCGCCAGTGGGGGACTTAGTTTAACATAGGACCCTATGGGAAATGCATACAAATGACTTCTTTTAGAGAACCACTGAATGGAATGAAACCAAACATGGCATGAATGTTCCTTATGAGGTGCTGACCAAGTGTTGTTACTTTGTAGCCGATCCATCATCCAAGATGGCCGCCAGCGGGGGACTTAGTTTAACATAGGACCCTATGGGAAATGCATACAAATGACTTCTTTTAAAGAACCACTGAATGGAATAAAACCAAACATGGCATGAATGTTCCTTATGAGGTGCTGACCAAGTGTTGTTACTTTGTAGCCGATCCATCACTCAAGATGGCCGCCAGCGGGGGACTTAGTTTAACATAGGACCCTATGGGAAATGCATACAAATGACTTCTTTTAGAGAACCACTGAATGGAATAAAACCAAACATGTCTTGAATGTTCCTTATGAGGTGTTGACCATGTGTTGTTACTTTGTAGCCGATCCATCATCCAAGATGGCCGCCATCGGGGAACTTAGTTTAACATAGGACCCTATGGGAAATACATACAAATGTCTTCTTTTAGAGAACCACTGAATGGAATGAAACCAAACATGGCATGAATGTTCCTTATGAGGTGCTGACCAAGTGTTGTTACTTTGTAGCCGATCCATCATCCAAGATGGGCGCCAGCGGGGGACTTAGTTTAACATAGGACCCTATGGGAAATACATAAAAATGTCTTCTTTTAGAGAACCACTGAATGGAATGGAACCAAACATGGCATGAATGTTCCGTATGAGATGCTGACCAAGTGTTGTTACTTTGCAGTCGGTCCATCATCCAAGATGGCCGCCAGCGGGGGACTTAGTTGAACATAGGACCCTATGGGAAATACATACAAATGTCTTCTTTTAGAGAACCACTGAATGGAATAAAACCAAACATGGCATGAATGTTCCTTATGAGGTGCTGACCAAGTGTTGTTACTTTGTAGCCGATCCATCATCCAAGATGGCCGCCAGCGGGGGACTTAGTTGAACATAGGACCCTATGGGAAATACATACAAATGTCTTCTTTTAGTGAACCACTGAATGGAATGAAACCAAACATGGCATGAATCTTCCTTATGAGATGCTGACCAAGTGTTGTTACTTTGTAGCCGATCCATCATCCAAGATGGCCCCCAGCGGGTGACTTAGTTTTACATAGGACCCTTTGGGAAATACATAAAAATGTCTTCTTTTAGAGAACCACTGAATGGAATTGAACCAAACATGGCATGAATGTTCCTTATGAGTTGCTGACCAAATGTTGTTACTTTGCAGTCGATCCATCATCCAAGATGGCCTCTAGGGGGGGGGGCTTAGTTTAACATAGGACCCTATGGGAAATACATACAAATGTCTTCTTTTAGAGTACCACTGAATGGAATGAAACCAAACATGGCATGAATGTTCCTTATGAAGTGCTGACCAAGTGTTGCTACTTTGTTGCCGATTTACTGTTCAAGATGGCCACCAGGATATTTTATTAAATAACGGGACCAATATTAATCAAAATTTGGCCTCAATCATTATTTGGGTATCTGTTATGATTTTTATCTATCTTTACATGATTTCTAAAACCAAAGTAGAGTCAGGTGAGCGACACAGGCTCTTGAGAGCCTCTAGTTATATATATATAAAATTAAGAAGAGATGTAGACCATTTATGTAGAGTACAGAAATAAATGATATATATTTGTACCTGAAACAGATATAGAAATGCAATGCTTTCTGAATTTTTGTAAATTTTATTGCACCTGCCACTGAGTGCCAAGGGTATATCATTACATCATTACCCATCCAAAAGTTGTCCAGAATATTTATTTCTATAAAGATATTTTGGTTTTTATACCCTGCCTACAATAGTAGTTTGTCCATTTATCTGTTGAATTTTAGGTTTAGATAGGATACTCTGAAGTTGTGGTTGTGAAATTTTAAAAATATGCCACAGATTTTGCAGATTACTAAACATACTAATGTAACAGTGCATTTCATGTTAAAGTTTTAAGTTTAAGTAGTTTACTGTGGTATTGTGGTCACGTCAACGTAACAGTGCATGTCATGTTAAAGTTTTTAGTTTAAGTAGTTTACCGTGGTATTGTGGTCACGTCAACGTAACAGTGCATGTCATGTTTAAGTTTTAAGTTTAAGTAGTTTACTGTGGTATTGTGGTCACGTCAACGCAACAGTGCATGTCATGTTTAAGTTTTTAGTTTAAGTAGTTTACCGTGGTATTGTGGTCACGTCACGTAACAGTGCATGTATAATACTAAACCCCTAACAGGAAGGATTGTGCCTGATATTCATATGATGAAGACATAACTTTCAATCAGTTTAATTGAGGTCTAGAGCTGGCATGTCAGTAACTGCTAGTAGTCTGTTGTTATTTATGTATTATTGTCATTTTGTTTATTTTCTTTTGTTTCCTATTCTGACATCGGACTCGGACTTCTCTTAAACTGAGTTTTACTGTGCGTACTGTTATACGTTTGTTTTTTCTACATTGGCTAGAGGTATAGGGGGAGGGTTGAGATCTCAAAAAACATGTTGAACCCCGCCGCATTTTTGCATCTGTCCCAAGTCAGGAGCCTCTGGCCTTTGTTAGTCTTGTATCATTTTTAATTTTAGTTTCTTGTGTATAATTTGGAGTTTAGTATGACGTCCATTATCACTGAACTAGTATACATATTTGTTTAGGGCCCAGCTGAAGGACACCTCCTGGTGCGGGAGTTTCTCGCTGCATTGAAGAGCCATTGGTGGCCTTTGGCTGTTGTCTGCTCTATGGTCGGGTTGTTGTCCCTTTGACACATTCCCCATTTCCATTCTCAATTTTATGTCATGTTAAAGTTTTAAGTTTAAGTAGTTTACCGTGGTATTGTGGTCACATCAACGTAACAGTGCATGTCATGTTAAAGTTTTTAGTTTAAGTAGTTTACCCGTGGTATTGTGGTCACGTCAATGTAACAGTGCATGTCATGTTAAAGTTTTTAGTTTAAGTAGTTTACCATGGTATTGTGGTCACGTCAACTTGAAACATGTGCATTATTATGTGAACTTTTAATAATACATGGCAAATAAGGGTTTATACCCAGATATCACGGTTCATTGAACACGAATGTGACATTATGAGCAGGGCTTTGTGTCCTATGGACACATATTCTTGTTTGGTTTATAAGTGATTAATTACCTTCACATGCTTCAGATTAATCATTTGTGTAGCGGTAAATATGAAATAATTTTATATGAAAATTTCCTACATGGTCCAATGTCATGTATTAGCTTCTCAAAATCACTGATTTTCTAAACGATTATGACACCTACATCCATACATAATTTTATTTCAATGTGTGAAATGGTTTTAAAGAAGAAGCTGTTTACATACCCTACATATTTAGATATAATGCATTGCAAATTAACACTATTGGATTGTGACTATAATGATAATGGATGGCTGCTTAACGTCCAGCAGCAAATTAAATGCATATTTTGGATGAGAACATGTTAATGATATATGAATATCAACCATTTGTACTAGACTGACACGCTGAGCCAAATTTTTAACTTGCTAGCTCACAAGGTAACAGTCCACAAGACCCTACCTACACACATTATTCTCTCTTACTTCTTAATACCCTGTGTGAAGTGGAGAAGCAGCAAATACAAATTTTAAAATCTTTGGTTTGACCCAGCTGGGGGTTCAAACTTGCGAATCTACACACCAATTATAGTTGACCTGTATCCGATAAACCATGAAAACTTTATATTGACCAATGAACAATGAAAATGAGGTCAAGGTCTGATGAATCCCGCAAGACATACATGTACACATAACAAAAATTTCTTACAACAAATATAGCTGATCTATTCATGGTGTCTGAGAAACAGACCAAACCACAAAAACTGAAAAATTGGACATTTTAAATGTTCAGGTATATATATTATTCATTATATTTATCATATACTCATCCTTACAGAAATCAAATCAAACCATTTATGATAAAGAAGTTTTTTTTTAAATAAAGGTGACTAAACAATTGACAATATAATACCACAGAAGAAAATAAACAAAGTACAGACAGACAAGAAACAAAACATTTATAGAAACTGCAAATACAGTATCCCAATAAAAAGCTTAAGTAATTGAAGCTACTGTTCTTAAAGGGAAAGGGGGAGGGCATAAACATAATTTAAGAGAAGCTTTATTAAAGCTATTCACATTATCTCATCAAATATAAAGTTGTTTCTAGGGTACACACATTCTTTTCCAATCGATGATACACTTAAAAAAAGTGGATGTAAAACAAGGAAAATCAAGAAATTTTACAAAATATTCAAAGTCTTCCATGATTACTCATTCAATGGGAAATTTAAGAATATGTATGGAAATTTTTCAATTTGCACTAGTATTTGGGTCAAATAAGGGCCTTATTGCCCCTACTCCTTTGTTATAAGAAAAAAACAAAGACAAAGAAATTATGACTGATATTTATTTACATTGTTATGTTAAGATTAAACAATACATATTAACAATAACCATTGACATTTAAAATATAGGAAACAACAATTTAGCAATGATTTTGTATACAAAAGCACCATATCAATCACATGGCTTGCATAAATCAGGTTTTTTCTCATAAAACACATACATATACAGAACAAAATATTAAAATCTGCTTAATATTTGTTATATTTCTATTGACATATCTCAGGTGAGAATATAGAAGTCTGGCTGATTCTTTGGAGAAAAAAGTCATCACTTTCATCATTTTTTCTCCATAGGTTGCTGAATGTAAGGTAAAAATGGACAAGATATAGTCAAAACTACATTTGTTTTAACGATGTAGACTACCCAAGCTACCTGTAATGTTGTTCTAGTCCATTACTTTATTAATGATTGGAATTCAAACAAATTTTGATAGTAAGGAAAATTTTAAGCATTGGTAATTTTACAGCAAAAGTAACATAAAATATCATAGACAATAATGTGAAATAGGTTTGACCAAAAATCTTCAACTGAAAAGTTTTCAATGGAAAGGAATCTCCCACTTATGAGTTTGAATAGTTGATAGCTATCCCACTGTCATCTCAATCACTTAAAATGATAAATAAAATTGCAACTGTTAATTATGTAAAATATATGCATAAATGTTACATACCATTAATTATAGAGCTGATGACAAGAAAATTCTCAAAATTATCCACCTTAAGGATGATGTAAAAAACATTGCAACAGAACCTTTGCCAGATATGTTGGATACTCATATTAATTTTTCAAAATGCTTTTATCTTAAATTAAATTTGGAAGTCTTACATGATAATTGAATCGCACAGTTTTATTCTATCCATATTTGAAAATTTGACATACTTAGCAGAGAATGATTTAACTATAGTCATATTTTATTCTTACTTAACTAAAATTCAATGGGAATTAACTTTTGATCCTTTCCAGCCACCTTAACAACTCTGCATATTTGAATAGATTAAAACAGAGTAATCAGAAGTCCATACAGGTAATTATTTATCTTGACATTTGGTGGTCCAATTAAAATATAATTCAACATCAACATAGGATCCTTATCACACATACCGGTATACATATACATATATTAAAAAAATACATAATACATATAGATTGCTATTATTTTGCAATGAGTTTGCATAATTATCACAGCTAACTAGATGTGCCTTCTTTGCTATCTGGTCATCAACTGGGCAAGCTTGTGACCATCCAGGTCGCTGATTATAGTTCTGTTTCTCCAACCAATCTTGTAAAGGTTGGAAGTATTCTAGGATTGGACCTACATCCATTTTACGTTGTCCTGTTAATTTCTCCATAGCTTCAGGCCAAGATACTGAGGATCCTAGTTTTAACATATCACTGTAAGATAAAAATACTCATCAATTTCACCTCATTAATGACTGTAATATCACATTAAAGTTCTTATTAAACATATAAATACTATTATAATAAAATGCTTCGCTGAGCGCAGCCAGATAAGACCGCAGAGGTCTAACCCTGAACAGTTGGGGCAAGTTTGGACACAATATTCAAGCTTGATACTGTCTGAATTTGGATTGTGATTAAATTTTTGACATAATATTCGTTTCTGACACAAAATAAATGTGGCCAAAGATCTTAAAAATTTGAAATGGGACATTTAATTTACCTAGAATGGTCTGATATCCAAAATCTAACAACATGGTTAGATTCAGCATATAAAAAAACACAAAAAATTGAATTTTAGTTGAAATCAAACAAAGTTTAATTTTAGACCCTTCAAACCTTAATATGGAATAATTTGAAAACAGGGCCCTAAATAAACAAGAGTGCACATGCTGAAATGTCTCGCCTTCTTTACTAATCATTGATATTATGTTGATAGTCCTAAATATAAAGCTTTACTACAACTATCACATACACTTGACATGATCCAAGAAAATGAGGTCAAGGTCATATAAACCAAACAAGAAATACATGTACACCTTACAATCATTCAATACACTAAATATTGTTGACCTATTGTTTATAGTTTCTAAGATACAGACTTAACCAAGAAAACTAAACATTGACCAATGAACCATGAAAATGAGGTCAGGGTCAGATGAACCATGCCAGGCAGACATGTACAGCTTGCAATCCTTCCATACAACCAATATAGTTGTCCTATTGCTTATAGTATTAGAAAACCAGACCAAAACACAAAAACTTAACACTGAGCACTGAACCTTGAAAATGAGGTCAAGGTCAAATAAAACCTGCAAGACAAACATGTTCATCATAAAATATTTCTATACACCAAATATAGATGACCTATTGCATATAGTATTAGAAAAAAAGACCAAAACTCAAAAACTTAACTTTGACCACTGAACCATGAAAATGAGGTCAAGGTCAGAAGACACATGCCAGCTAGACATGTACACCTTACAATCATTCCATACACCAAATATAGTAGACCTATTGCATACAGTATAAGAAAAACAGACCAAAACACAAAAACTTGACTATAACCACTGAACCATAAAAATGAGGTCAAGGTCAGATGACACCTGCCAGTTGGACATGTACACCTTACAGTCCTTCCATACACCGAATATGCTAGCCCTATTGCTTCTAGTATCTGAGATATGGACTTGACCACCAAAACTTAACCTTGTTCACTGATCCATGAAACGAGGTCGAGGTCAAGTGAAAACTGTCTGACAGGCATGAGGACCTTGCAAGGTACGCACATACCAAATATAGTTATCCTTTTACTCATAATAAGAGAGAAATTAACATTACAAAAAATCTTAACTTTTTTTTCAAGTAGTCACTGAACCATGAAAATGAGGGCAAGGACAATGGACATGTGACAGATGGAAACTTCGTAACATAAGGCATCTATATACAAAGAATGAAGCATCCAGGTCTTCCACCTTCTAAAATATAAAGCTTTTAAGAGGTTAGGAATGCCGCTGCCACCGCTGCATCACTATCCCTATGTCGAGCTTTCTGCGACAAAAGTCACAGGCTCGACAAAAATCTAAATGCACAGTAAGATTCAGCATATCATACAGCCGCAATCATTCAGTTTTTGATGAAATCAAACAAAGTTTAATTTTGGACCCTTTTGACCTCAATGTAGACTAATTTAAAAATGGGGCCCAATATCCAAAAAAGTAATACAAGGTTAGAACCCCCAAAAATATAAGACTTTAAATTTATCCCATTGAAATTGGTTAAAAGATTTGTATTTATTTTCAATTGAAGATTTGTTGCTATTGCGCAATACTGTGCAATTTAAGATTTCTTGCTATTGTGCAATACTGTGCTATTGCGCAATACTGTGCAATTGAAGATTTCTTGCTATTGCACAATACTGTGTTGTTGCGCAATACTGGCCAATTGAAGATTTCTTACTATTGCGCAATACTGTATAATTGAAGCGTTCTTGCTATTGCACAATACTGTGCAATTGAAGAGTTCTTGCTAATGCGCAATACTGTGCAATTGGAGATTTCTTGCTATTTTGCAATACTGTGCAACTGAAGATTTCTTGCTATTGCGCAATACTGTGCTATTGAAGATTTCATGCTATTGCCCAATACAGTGCAATTGAAGATTTCTTGCTATTGCGCAATACTGTGCTATTGCTCAATACTGTGCTATTGTGCAATACTGTGCTATTGGGCATTACTGTGCAATTGAAGATTTCTTACTATTGCGCAATACTGTGCAATTGAAGATTTCTTGCTATTGTGCAATACTGTGCAATTTAAGATTTCTTGCTATTGTGCAATACTGTGCTATTGCGCAATACTGTGCAATTGAAGATTTCTTGCTATTGCACAATACTGTGTTGTTGCGCAATACTGGCCAATTGAAGATTTCTTACTATTGCGCAATACTGTATAATTGAAGCGTTCTTGCTATTGCACAATACTGTGCAATTGAAGAGTTCTTGCTAATGCGCAATACTGTGCAATTGGAGATTTCTTGCTATTTTGCAATACTGTGCAACTGAAGATTTCTTGCTATTGCGCAATACTGTGCTATTGAAGATTTCATGCTATTGCCCAATACAGTGCAATTGAAGATTTCTTGCTATTGCGCAATACTGTGCTATTGCTCAATACTGTGCTATTGTGCAATACTGTGCTATTGGGCATTACTGTGCAATTGAAGATTTCTTACTATTGCGCAATACTGTGCAATTGAAGATTTCTTGCTATTGGGCAATACTGAGCAATTGACGATTTCTTGCTATTGCGCAATACTGTGGTATTGAACAATACTGTACTATTGTGCAATACTGTGCAATTGAAGATTTCTTGCTATTGTGCAATACTGTGCAAACATTTGAAATTTCAAAAATTTTGAAGAAAAATAAACATGAACCCCCAAAAAAAATTGGAAAAAAAAATCCCCCCAAATTTTTTGAACCCCCTCTCCCTTGGAGTAATTACCCCCCAAACTCAATCCCAGCCTTCCCTTTGTGATATGGAACCTTGTGGTACAATTTCTGAGAGATCTATACACTAACACACAAGTTATTGTCCGGAAACTACAAAAACGCTTGTTTTTGGCCCCTTTTTGGACTCTTATTCCTAAACTGTTGGTACCATAACCCCCAAAATCAATCCCAACCTTCCTTTTGTGGTATTGAACCTTCTGATAAAATTTCTTAGAGATCCATTCACTTAAACTAAAGTTATTGTCCTGAAACCAAATGTGTCTTCGGACGACGCCGCCGACAACGACACCATAGCATTATACGACGCAAACATTTTTTTGCGGTCGTACAAAAATGATATTCAAGAATTTTAAGATTTAAGATGATAGAAGTAATATTATTATAGTTTTTATTTCATGTTGGTCAATCTTTGATTCTCTTTGCATATTTAGTGGACTGTTATTTGTCTTTTTTTTTTTTTATTCTTTTGATCATGGTGCTTATTTTGTGGTTATTAATTGCTCTTTTGGTAACTTCCCCCCCCCCCCCTTTTACCCCCAACATTTCCTGGGGATGAAGCCTCAAAAACATCTAACCTATTCTATTAAACTTTGTAACTACAAAAATCAAAGAAACAATTATGTTGTTCCTTTTATCCATTATCATCAAGATATACTAGTGCTACTATAAATTCTGTTATTTTACAGAGCACCCTGAAAATTAGAAGAAATTGAAGCTGAGTGGTATAAGCTGTAAATTGGACTACCCTTCTTACAGGGAAGTGTTTGGATATTAAATTGCCTGATTTCAGTGAAGTAAATAAACGGCCTGTGTCACTGTGTCAATGACTGTCATTGTTTTTAACTAAGTGTCCATTTTGTCCTGTAGGGGATTTGATTTCAATGGTATATCTATAGTAGTATTAGTTATATCTATTTAAAACTTTTCTCAACTCTTGACAATTAAGAGCTTGACAGATATTTACGGTACTTATCTATTTTTAAAGACAGTATGTTGACTTCTGATGTTATTGTATTGATGGGCTGTTATCACATTGACTATTACTCCAGATCTCAATTTACTCACACTGCAGTGAAAAACTTCTAGGCATAAAAAAGATAACTGTCAGGCAGTACTGATTCTTCAAATTCCTAGTGTAGTACAAACATCAGTAAGTTTCTACTGTATAGATTTATTGAGTTGAAGGACCTTACCTTAATAGTTTACCAGCTTCTTTAGATCTGTAAATATCACATCTATGTAATGGTCCGGTATGTCCTGCAGCATCACATAAAGCTTTATGAAACTGGAACTGTACCACATAACTTATAAAATATCTAAAAATAGAAAAGTCATTATAAAACGTGCTGTATCACATAAAGCTGTATGAAACTGGAACACATAACTTATAAAATATCTAAAAGTAGAATAGACATTGTCAATCATGAAGCATCACTTTAAAATACATCAAACAGTATTCACAGAAAAAGATGAATATTAAAGGGTTCTGATAAACAATTAAATCTTTGCAGAGCTGACTGAACAATAGACTACATCACAAACATAAAAACTCATTGAATTTATCCTTGTCATTTTGTTTTAAGAATTAAAGATGTTCAGCTCAGCTTGAAAGCTGTTCCTAAATAACAATCTAAATATGCAGTTCAATACAATGTACACAGTATAATTGATAAACAACAATAGAAATAACAGTTGGACTGTTTCCATGTAATATCCATCTTTATATTCTCAATTATTGCATAATGTAAAATAAGTAGAGGTGGTATGATGCCAATGAGACAACTTTCTACCAGAGTACAAATGACAGAGATTTACACAACTATAGGTTATCGTTCAGCCTTAAACAATCAGCAAAACCCATACTGTATAATCAGCTATAAAAAGACCCTGACATGACAAAATGTGAAACAATTCACGGGTTATTAACCCACTTTAATTTAACAACTACATGAAATTGAGAATGGAAATGGGGAATGTGTCAAAGAGACAACAACCCGACCATAGAGCAGACAACAGCCGAAGGCCACCAACGGGTCTTCAATGCAATACATAGCATACTTCATTTGAGGATTAGGGCCTCGGTGGCCGAGTGGTCTAAGTAGTTACTACTGTAATCACTAGCTAGTCAACACTGAGGTTGTGAGTTCAAACCCGGCTTGTGCGGGTGCACTTGACTCCAATCTTAATTGACTAGGATTGTCAGTTTTCCTATCGAAGGTCGCTGGTTTTCTCCGGGCACTCAGACTTCCTCCACCAATAAAAACTGGCCGCCAGGAAATAGCCCAAAAGCAGTGCTTTAAAGAGGCGTTAAAACACAGAAAATCAAAATCAAATCAAATCATTTGAGGATTTCTTTTCATTCATATGATGCTCAAATATTCTCATCCAACTTACAAGTCATTTTATTTAATATTGATAGAAAGTCTTACCTTATGTAAGCCACATTTGCAGGAATGTGATATTTTGATCCAGGATCAAAATCATCATCTGTTCTCTTTACAGGGGGAGAAATACCCTGATATCTGCATCTGTAGTACAAATACATGTCAAGTAAGTTTATAGGCCTTGATAAGAAAAATAGAAGGCTAATTAAACAGTTCCAAATCATGTACTATGTATAAAGTTTATAAAAAATGAGAGATAGTTTTACAAAGAATACATGAGAATAAGAGATTTTAACTTTTTACTTGTAGAATTTAACAGTTCTGATTACCACAGTTTTATATATAAAAGTGATTTGTTCATAATTTCGTTTTTCGTCAGCTTTGCTATCAAAATGATGTTAAACACCAAACTTAAACTTAAAATTGTTATATTGTAAGTTTTAAAATAGGAATTGTTTTGCAATTTAAATTAAAACTAAAATCAAAATTTGCAGCTACTTAACGGATATTTAGTCAAAAATGGGTACCTTAATTGCCACCATTTATCATTCATTCTAGCTGGTATTGTCTCACGACTAAACACACTCCATCTCCATTTATCTATTAGGTATCCAAATGGTAAAAATGCTACTTTGTCTAATGCTCTCTGCATCAAAAAGTTTATATCAGCCTCTATAACATAAGTACACAAGACCTTATAAAAAGATATTTTTAAGCATCAATATCCAAATTATATCTACAGCTTTTTATATTTCAATCTTATTGAAATAAAATGAAAATAAAGAAGGAACAAAAAGTCATTAAAATATGGCATTATCAAGCTCAAAGTAAACGAAAGAATATCACATCAGTTTACCTAAATGAAGTTTTTTATTAAAGGACTAGAATCTTTAGTTTGTAATCATGTTTCAGTCTCGTTGAAATCTCGTTCTGGAATTATTTCCAAAACATTTGATACAAGTGGAAAATATCAATGAATTTATAAAATATTATAATCAAATTTAACTCTGTGAAAAAAATTGTGTATTTACAATAAGTAGTTTTTGAGTAATAAAATTTTCAAATTTTAATACAGATCAGTATCATTAGCCAAAATGTTGAGAAAATGGGTGAGGGGTACAAGAAATGATTTTACCAGAAACATGTACATCCCATATCAATTTTTTCTTTTTTCAAATTTCTTAGATATGTATTTTTTCAATCATTTATAAGAAAGGAATTGAAAAAATATGCTAATTGTTCTAAAAAAAGAGAAAAATCACAAATTTACAAAATTGACAGCATGATAAATTTGACACGAAAAAAAAACAAAATTTTATAAAACTTTCTTATATTAACACCTACCTATAGTTTTTATTAAGTTAAATTTATTCAGATTGGTCCACTGCATCTTTTATTGAAAGTATGAAAAAAAAGTTTAATTGTGAAACTGTGATTTTTTTCATGATAATAGCCCCAAAATGGGTAAAAATTGATGAAAAATGGGAAAATCATCAGAATTGGGTACTTTCAAATGGCCGTAACAAAAAAAGAATTCCACCACCATATGATTTTTTTCTTCACCAATTATTTTTTTACAGTCATATAAACCCAAAAATCAGGTTTAGAAAAAAAGTTTAATTCTAGAAATTTTAGGGTCCTCAGAGGTGTACATCCTTAACCAATCTATAGTATATGTAGACATGATTTACAATTATCATTTCATTTTTAAATAAAAACATTGTCCTTTTGTGTATGTAAATTAAGCTTACCTTCATCATTTTCTACTTTTTCTAACAGATTTATTTTATGTAAATGTTCAGGAGTAGAAACAGACAGTGCCATAACATCTCCTATAGCTTCATGGAATCCTAAAAACAAAGCAAGAAGATAACATCTTTTCCCAAGTAAGTTACAAAAGATCTAAACTTTCTACATCAAGCACAACATTTTTTATTTCAAATCTAAGCCAATTTAAATATTATTTCTCCACTTGAGGAAATCATAAAATTTCCTTCATTTTAAGGAATAAAGGTGAATTGAGAAATATTAAATGAAGAACTTAAGATGTGAATTCACAATAAAACAAGAAACAACATCAATGGGTGTTTTTTAAACTGTACCAAATACATGCATTATACTGTTACAGGGTCCACACCACATTAGATAAAATGGGAAAAGGTAAAACTTTACAATGCCTGGAATCCCTCAAATTGAAGTATCTATTATGGATAAAATCTTACCACTGTTAGCACCCTCCCTGAATTTCACTGGTTGATTTTTATACTGCAAGAAGTACTGTACATGACCCATCTCATGGTGGATAACAAATAAATTCTCCATGGTTACTGTAGTACACATCTTTATTCTGAAAGAATCATACAGCGACATCTTATATATCTTTGTACTAGCTACTTGTGAGCAAATTTTGTTTAAAAAGATGTATTATCAATTTTTTTCATAAAAATAGTTGACTGATTTATTTCCCTTGCAAGTACTGTTTCCCTTGTGCATTTTAAGACTTTTTAGTTAAAAAAGAAGGATTCTTAAGAAGATCAACTGGACTCTTTCCTTAAAGGATGTGAATACCAGTTTATTCTCTAACTCCACTGTGTTCTACACACAGTTCTTTGTTCAATGTAACTTCACAGCACGCCATGTTACACGTTAATCTTCTCATTTGTTTACAATGGTCACTTTGCTTGCTTTAAAATTCATATGGACAGTACAAAATTATATTCAATAATGACGCCAACCATTAAATATATTTAATACCTGAAATCCTTACAATTATAGAAATCCCAAGCTGAAGCATGGCAGACCATTTGTACACTATATAAATAACACATAGCTGAGAGGGTGATAGAGCAGATTGTTACCCCGAGAAAACATTGTCAACGGAGGTGAAGCCAAGGTTGACAATGCTTTTTGGAGGGGTACCAATCTGCTCTATCACCCTCTCAGCTATGTGTTATTTAATTTATTATACTGAGTGTCCTATCAATATTGTCTTTTACTGTTGAATTTTAAATTTAAAGTATTTTACAATGACGTCACGTACATAACAACTTTAAACAAGAGTGCACACGCTGAAATGTCTCGCCTTCTTTACTTTCCATTGATTTTATGTTGATAGTCCTAAATACAAAGCTTTACTACAAGTAACACATAAACTTAACATGATCCAAGAAAATGAGGTCAAGGTCAGATAAACCAAACGAGAAATACATGTACACCTTACAATCATTCAATAAACCAAACATAGTTGACCTATTGCTTATTGTTTCTAAGAAACAGTCTTAAACAAGAAAACTTAACATTGACCAATGAACCATGAAAATGAGGTCAAGGTCAGATGAACCATGCCAGACATACATGTACACCTTACAATCAATTTAGGCATTAAATATAGTTGACCTATTGCTTATAGTATCTAAGAAACAAACTTAACCACGAAAACTTAACATTGACCAATGAACCATGAAAATGAGGTCAAGGTCAGATGATACCTGCCAGACAGACATATACACCTTACAATCCTTCCATACATCAAATATAGTTGATCTATTGCTTATAGTTGAAGAAAAACAGACCAAAACACAAAAACTCAACACTGAGAAATGAACCGTGAAAATGAGGTCAAGATTAAATAAAACCTGTGAGACAGACATGTACATCATAAAATATTTCCATACACCATATATAGTTGACCTATTGCATATAGTATTAGAAAAAAAGACCAAAACTCAAAAACTTAACTTTGACCACTGAACCATGAAAATGAGGTCAAGGTCAGATGACACCTACCAGTTTGACATGTACACCTTACATTCATTCCATATACCAAATATAGTAGACCTACTGCTTATAGTATCTGATATATGGACTTGACCACGAAAACTTAACCTTGTTCACTGATCCATGAAATGAGGTCTAGGTCAAATGAAAATTGTCTGACTGGCATGAGGACCTTGCAAGGTACGCACATACTAAATATAGTTATCCTATTACTCATAATAAGAAAGAAATTAACATTACAAAAAATGTTGACTTATTTTTCAAGTAGTCACTGAACCATGAAAATGAGGTCAAGGACAATGGACATATGACAGACAGAAACTTCATAACATAAGGCATCTATATACAAAGAATGAAGCATCCAGGTCTTCTAGCTTCTAAAATATAAAGCTTTTAAGAAGTTAGCTAAAGCCGCCGCCGGATCACTATCCCTATGTCGAGCTTTCTGCGACAAAAGTTGCAAGCTCGACAAAAGTCGCAGGCTCGACAAAAAATCAACATAAGTTTAGCAAGGTTTTTTATATTATTATTTTGAGCCTATGAAAAAGTTCTGAGCCAAAACTTGGAACTTAAGCATTGTCTTTAATTATTTGATGTAAATTCAATTTGTTATCCTTTAAACTATTGATTTTTGATTGGTCTGCACGAGAGGGTGACATTCAAAAAAATTGTCTCCCGCTCAGCCATGGGATAGAGTAAATTGTCTCCCTCGTATTAGCCAATCAAAATCTGGCATTTAAACATGAAGTATAATAGATTAAATATATTTAATACCTGAAGTCCTTTCGATTATAGAAATCCCAAGCAGAAGCATGGCAGACCATTTGTACACATTAAATATATTTAATACCTAAAGTCCTTTCTATTATAGAAATCCCAAGCTGAAGCATGGCAGACCATTTGTACACCAGGAGGATTTACCATTATGGTATCATTCCAGAATGTTGATGGCATCTTTTCCAGTCCCAATGATGTGAAAAATTCTTCTGCCACTTCAAACATTTTCCTTGGTGTATATCCCTGTCATAAATTTAAATTAAATTCTTTACACTCTTTTTAATGAATAAGAATATAAATACAAAATAATAACAATGTTTATACTAGGATTGATGAATAAAGAAGCAGTATGGTGATAATTACCATATATATGTTGTGTACAAGTTATCATTTTGTACAAATTATAATTTGTACAAAAAAATTGTACAAATTATAATTTGTATTTTGACTTTGTACAAATTATAATTTGTACAAAAGGTGCTTGTACAAATTACAATTTGTACAAAATAAGGCTTAATTTCACTTATAACTTGTACAATAATTTATCATATGGATATTGTGATAAAAAAAAAGTGTTGATACCCACTATAAAAACTTTTCAATGCTATTTTTAAAGTTATATTGATTCATTCATATTGCCCAGGTTATAAATTGAACTCCTGTTCACTGGTCTTTCACATGGTCATTAACAAAAGTAAAAGTTAAGGTGTTCAAAAAAATAGCTAGTATTGTTGATCAACAGGATAAATTATATCAAGAAGTTCAGCAATTTGCTGAGAATAACACATCTAAGCACATCCATCTTTATACTAGCTATAGGGACAAATTGAATGAGTTAATTTCTAAAGTTAAAAATGCAAAAGAGGTATAAGATAGGTTTATCTTCATCTTCTTTGCCCAAGGAACTTTTGCCAAATCTTGAAACTGAGGAAGATTTGGAGAAAGTGTTCAAAGAGGTTTCAGAGGAGAACAGTGACACTGAGATTGATGGCACGGATGAAAACACAGATGCTGAATCGGTAGAATCAGAAGGAGAACCTAACGGTTCTGTGACTGATAGTGAAACTGGATCAACTAGTACAACTATTGAAGTTGTATCAGAGGAAGTCGAAACCCCAATCATTCGTGCAATAAAATGCGCATTGTCTGGCCAACAAATCCAAGCAGATGTCCTTACAAGAAATACAAAACAGAAACTGAGTGAGTTATCTGTTGGAGACAATGTTATTATCCCAATACCACAGTATGACAGAGCACCGACCGATCCGAGGAATATACAAGGTGTTGTTGTAGAAGTAGGAAATTTTGACTATCGTGTAAGGACAATAGCTGGTAATTTATCAGGAGTCTTAAGCAGAAACCAACTAGAATCAATTAGTGACTCTTCTTTGTCCGTTACACAAATTCCAGATTAACAACTTTCCCTAAGGGAAGCTGTGAAAAATTTTCAAAAACTGGTGGACAGGGTTATCTCTCTTGCTAATGTAAAGGCGGTTGTAACAATTCAAAGTGTAAATGCAAAAAGCAGAATGTATTGTGTAATTCAAGGTGTCATGGTTCGCTCACCTGCTCCAACAAATAAGAGCATTATATATTATTGTATAGTATTGTAAATAGAGTTATCGGTGTGTTTCATATTGATTCGTAATTAAAATTTAAATTATTTTGTATCATTTGATTTGAAACTTATTCTATGTAAAATATTGAAAGACCAGTGAACAGGAGTTCAATATATAACCTCAAGGCAATATAAATAAATCAATATAACTTTAAAAATAGCATTGAAAAGTTTTTATAGTGGGTATCAACACTTTTTTTTATCACAATATCCATATGATAAATTATTGTACAAGTTATAAGTGAAATTAAGCCTTATTTTGTACAAATTATAATGTGTACAGGCATTTTTTGTACAAATTACAATTTGTACAAAGTCAAAATACAAATTATAATTTGTACAATTTTTTTGTACAAATTATAATTTGTACAAAATGATAACTTGTACACAACATATACATTATTTCAAAAAAGCTCACTTTGCAAAATAAAGTTAAAATCTTGTGTTTCACTGTTTGAATTATACATCTCAAACAATTTCAATTTCTTATTCATTCCATGTTTTATGCCATTTTGAACAGTATTCCATTTTCATGGTTCATCCATCAACAGTAAATTGTATTGCTTAGATCAATTTCTTATTTACTCCAAGAAATATTTCTATAAGTCCAATTATATTACACCCAAACTCTAGGTGTGGAGGAAAATCACACTTTTCTTAAGTACTACTAAACAGTATGACTTCATATTTGGTTAGATTTCATATGGGACCATTGGACATACAGAATTTCCATAGATTAACTTGTATCCAGTAGTCTTATTCATACAAAATACATATACAGGCTTGATAGTTTGGGGAAACATGATTTATTTATTATTTGTAATTGGCTTTCAACTAGCTTTCAGAAAATGCAAGTACTCTTATTTCAGTGCTTTGTGTTTATTGTTTTATACTAATTGTTTTTGTGCCCCATACCAATCTTTTAAAATAAGTCAATTGCAACTGATTTTTACAGTTTTTTCATGTGTTATTACACCATTATCCCAGCCTTTTATAGCCAAGTATAGGGTATATGGGTTTTTCCCATTATTGAAGGCCATAAGGTGGCATATAATTGCTCACAACCACTTCATTATAACTCTGGTGGATAGTTGTCTCATAGGCAATCATACCACATCTCCTTATTTTTATATTGATAGGTTGATTTCTTTGTCATCTGCATAAGCAAATTGGAAATTTTTTCAAAATCAATTGCTCCTTAAAAGCATGACAGATATCTCAACTTATGTAGTATAAAATAAATGTGGACACAGATGATGCCCCGCTTGCATATCATATAGTTATAAAGGGACATAACTGAATAACGGTAAAAGTGAAGCTACCCAAATTGGAACTTGATCTGAGTTTTGTGGTAATAAGCATTGTGTGTATGTCTCATAACATTTGGTTGAGGCTAACTTAAGTAGAGAACAGAAACTAAAAATTCAGCAATTTTTCTATTTGTAAACACGCATAACTCTAGAACAGTTGTGTATAAGTTTTATTACATTTGGTAGAGACAAACTAAAGTTAGAGAATGGAAATGAAAAATTCAGCAATTTTTATGTTTAAAAAGGGACATAACTCAATAATGTAAAAGTGTCGCCACCAAATTTCGTACTTAATCTGTATCATGTAGTACTAAGCATTGTGTATAAGTTTCATAACATTTGGTTGAGGCAAACTAAAGTTAGAAAACGGAAACAAAAAATTTGTACTTGATCTTAGTTTTGTGGTAATGAAATATTGTGTTTAGGTTTCACAATGTTTGGTTTGGGCAAACTTAAGTTACAGAATGGAAACTAAAAATTTTGCCATCTTTCGATTTATAAAGGGCATAACTCAATAATGGTTAAAGTGAGACTACCCAAATTCAACTTGATCTGTGTTTTATCAGTGGAAGTCAAAATTAAACATTGCATTGTATAAATCATTGATTGTAGTTGATTCAACTATAATCATGGACAAAGGAAGATAACTCCAATTTTAGAAATTACTTGATATTTAGAAGAAAATAAAAATTTTGCAATTTTTCCATTTATAAAGGGGCATAACTCTAGAATGGTTAAAGTGACGCCACCAAAATTCAAACTTGATCTGTGTTTTGTGGTATTAAGCATTGTGTATAAGTTTCATAACATTTGTTTGAGGCAAACTTAAGTTAGAGAACGGAAACTAATAAATTTGCATTTTTTCCATTTATAAAGGGGCATAACTCTAGAACGGTTAAAGTGACACCACCAAAATTCAAACTTGATCTGTATATTGTGGTAATAAGCATTGTGAATAAGATTCATAACATTTAGTTGAGGCAAACTCAAGTTAGAGAACGGAAACCAATTTTGGGAAGTACGTGATGAATAATAATGATGAATGAGAAATAAAAGTATAAAGGATAGGATGTTAACCTATATATATAACTATTGTTAAACATTGATTTTGCCTGATCTCTCATTGCTTGTTAAACAATGATTTTACCTGATCTCTCATGGCTTGTTAAACATTGATTTTGCCTGATCTCTCATGGCTTGTTAAACAATGATTTTACCTGATCTCTCATGGCTTGTTAAACAATGATTTTACCTGATCTCTCATGTCTTGTTAAACAATGATTTTACCTGATCATTCATGGCTTGTTAAATGATGATTTTAACTGATCTCTCATGGCTTGTTAAACAATGATTTTACCTGATCATTCATGGCTTGTTAAACGATGATTTTACCTGATCATTCATGGCTTGTTAAACAATGATTTTACCTGATCTCTCATGGCTTGTTAAACAATAATTTTACCTGATCTCTCATGGCTTGTTAAACAATGATTTTACCTGATCTCTCATGGCTTGTTAAACAATGATTTTACCTGATCTCTCATGGCTTGTTAAACAATTTTTTTACCTGATCATTCATGGCTTGTTAAACAATGATTTTACCTGATCTCTCATGGCTTGTTAAACATTGATTTTGCCTGATCTCTCATGGCTTGTTAAACAATGATTTTACCTGATCTCTCATGGCTTGTTAAACAATGATTTTACCTGATCTCTCATGGCTTGTTAAACATTGATTTTGCCTGATCTCTCATGGCTTGTTAAACAATGATTTTACCTAATCTCTCATGGCTAGTTAAACATTGATTTTGCCTGATCTCTCATGGCTTGGTAAACAATGATTTTACCTGATCTCTCATGGCTTGTTAAACAATGATTTTACCTGATCATTCATGGCTTGTTAAACGATGATTTTACCTGATTTCTCATGGCTTGCTAAACAAAGATTTTACCTGATCATTCATGGCTTATTAAACAATGATTTTACCTGATCTCTCATGGCTTGTAAAACAATAATTTTACCTGATCTTTCATGGCTTGTTTAAACAATGATTTTACCTGATCTCTCATGGCTTGTAAAACAATGATTTTACCTGATCTCTCATAGCTTGTTAAGCATTTATTTAACTATACTCTTGTGGCTTGTTAAACATTGATTTTATCTGTTCTCTCATGGCTTAGTAAACATTCATTTTACCTGATCTCTCATGGCTTGTTAAACATTTATTTTACCTGATCTCTCATGGTTTGTTAAACAATGATTTTACATGACCTCTCATGGCTTGTTAAACAATGATTTTACCTAATCTGTCATGGCTTGTTAAACTTTTATATTACCTGTTCTCTCATGGCTTAGTAAACATTCATTTTACCTGATCTCTCATGGCTTGTTAAACATTTATTTTACCTGATCTCTCATGGCTTGTTAAACAATGATTTTATCTGATCTCTCGTGGCTTGTTAAACAATGATATTACCTGATCATTCATGGCTTGTTTAACATTTATTTTACCTGATCTCTCATGGCTTGTTAAACATTTATTTTACCTGATCTCTCATATCTTGTTAAACATTTATTTTACCTGATCTCTCATGGCTTGTGTGACATCAATGTCTTCTTTATTTTTAAATGGTACAAGTAAATGATAGATGTTATTCCAATGCTGGCCCCACATGTTACCTGTTAAACATAACTTTGTTTAATAATAATGGAAGGCAATAAAAGGTATATATAAGTTTTCCATAAGTTTCAACAGTAACATTTGAAAAGAATAAATAAAAATGTACAAGGTGCAGGCAAAGAACAGCTTACATCTGCTTTTATACAAAGGGATACATTTACACTTAAATCTTAATCAGATAACTACAGGTTCCAAGGAATCTAAATCGCTCACCTGTATTACTTTGGTTGATAAAAAATACAAATTACAATTGGCTTGATTCCCAATTATCAATCCTGTACATTTTCAAAACATCTTTTCTTGTAATTTCATTAGAGAATTGGCAGTCATTTATAATATTAAGAGAGCAATACTGTTTTGAGTATAAAAAGGTTATTTTGTTAACTTCCTGATTAAAATCGAAAGTGAAATTTGGACCATTTACTCATACCTGTCAACCTATGAAAATGAAAATGTGCAGGTCATGACCTGCATTGAAGAAGAAAATCTCAGGTCATAACGCATACAAACTTTTTTTCAGCTGAATTTAAGTATTTCTTTATATTTTAAATCGAACAGTTTCCAAAATATGTTCACATAGTGAAGTACTAACTGAAAATAATTTAAAGCTTTAATTTTATTTTTTCATTGCATAATAAGCCATTGAACTATTGATGTGTTATACTTTGTCATTTCAAACCAAGCCATACCCCCTCATCTTGTTTCATTCATAGTTTTATATCAATTCTCAAGCTACATGCTTCCCAATATGTATCATATTGTGCAGTCTCTAAATTGGTTGATATTGGAATATAATGATCGATGAGGGTGGTTTTTAATGACCTTGACAACCCATGAGGGTCTTGCATGGTCAGTTGTAATATAATAAAAAAATTAAGCATTTAAAGGAAGTAGAGATTAAAAAAAAAGAATGTGTCAATAGTACACGGATGCCCCACTCGCACTATCCTTTTCTATGTTCAGTGGACTGTGAAATTGTGGTCAAAACTCTAATTTGGCATTGAAATTAGAAAGATCATATTATAGGAAACATGTGTACTAATTTTCAAGTTGATTGGACTTCAACTTCATCAAAAACTACCATGACCAAAGACTTTAGCTTGAAGCGAGCACTATCATTTTCTATGTTCAGTGGACCGTGAAATTGGGGTCAAAACTCTAATTTGGCATTAAAATTATAAAGATCATACCATAGGGAACATGTGTACTAAGTTTCAAGTTGATTGGACTTCAACTTGACCAACAAATTTAACCTGAAGCGGGACAGATGGATGAATGGACGAACCAACAAACGGATGCACAGACCGAAAAACATAATGCCCCTAGGTGGGGCATAAAAATAATTTTCAAAATAATTTTCAAAATAATTTTCAAAATAATTTTTTAATTGTTCTAAGGTAGAAAAATAAAAGAATGTAATATTCTGATATGTATTTGCATTTAATTTGTTTTAGATTTAATCTTTTTACAAAAACAAAACATAAAATTAAGGAGCATATTGTGAAAGGTGACAAAAAAGAGGAAATAAACCGAATTTATTGTCAAACAACTTTGAAATAGACAAATTATTTATGACCTAAAGCTAAGGTAATTGGTGTTATTAAACAGTGTGTTTAACACCAAAGCTGTCAAGTGAAGCCATGCATTTAATGGGTCACTTTATTTGACAGTTAACACAGCTAGTTGAACTTCCTGTCCAGGAAGAATTATGAATTTGCCGATATTTCAAAGGAAAATCACTTATGAATCAGTCTAAAGGCTCAAGAATCCGGGTGAAAATGGGTCATTTTCCCGAATTCCCGGGTTATTTAACGACCCAGCGGGTATTTAAAAAATCCCGGGTATGGGGTGAAATTCTCGGGTGTGACCGGCAGGATACGGGTCAGTTGACAGGTATGATTTACTAATTAATCATCCACCACAATTACTTCAGTATTACACAAAATCTCATAGAGTTTGAAAAGTTTAATGAACATCCTATGAATACATTACAAATTTAAGCACCTTAACATAATTTTCATCTCTGTATGATATCCCATTTAAAAGATGATTGATATATTAAATGACTTCCTTGGACTGGTATCCTGTAACTGGGATCCTATTCCATATATTGAAAGCTCTATAACCTATTAGTTGAAAGAAGCATAAGAGAATTGCCAAAATGAGTGATGTTAAACTTTAATGGATGACACCACTTTTCTTATACCATAAATGTATTGCAGGCATTCTTCAAAAGTATTTTTATATCATTTACCTCACCCAAGTCAAATTACAATGTTTACCTAATAAATGAGCAGGTATATGTCCAGACTCAGGGAACTTATCCTCTCCATACACTGTCATCAGTTTACTACGGACATATGTATGTAGGTTCTGGTAAAGAGGCTGTAGTTGTTTAAGTAAATTCTCCAAATCTTCTTCAAATGTTGGTACGTCATAGTGAGACCTCCAGTAATCCCCATAATCATTATAGCCTACAAAACATACAATATGATGTTATATTAACAAGAATGGTACAGGGGGGATACATGCACGGAAAAAAAGGTTGTAGAATGAACTTAAAATGAAAGAACCCCAAGCCCCAAAGTCAAAATTCTAAGTTCAAAGGGGCATAACTCCTAGAAAAAAAAATCTGTCGATATGCACATATTCATAGTATTTCCTTATTATCTACAAAGTTTAATGAAATTCTGTTAAGTGGTTTCAGAGGAGTTGTGATGACAATAAACAGGACTGACAGACAGATGGATGGGTCAAAAACATTATACCCTACACAACTTTGTTGTGTGGGGTATAAAAGAACAGGACTGACGGATGGGGCAAAAACATTTTACCCTATGCAACAAAGTAGTTGCATGAGGTATAATAATTTTATTACTTATTATGTTGCAGGAATATCTTGCATAGAAGCTAATTTAATGAAAATTAACCGAATGTAACCTTTCACTACCATATTCAACAAGTTATGATTAGTGGTGTATGTCTAATATACAATTTATATGCATGATAGAAAATGTGAAATTAATTTGTACAAGCTCAAGAAACAAAACAAAAAGTGAGGCTTAACAATCTATTTTCTCATATTTGAAACAAGTCAAAATAAATAAAATCTTTTTATATCAAAAATGCATATATTGTTTATATCAAAAAAACAAATTAATGTTGGGGGGTTTTCACTCAAAACTGCTATGCATATAAGTAAAGAAATTGACATCACCGGACAGGGCAACAAAATTTAATGTAAGATGATGCAGAAGTTTTTCATTTCAATTGCATAATTATATTTAGTCCTGATCAAAGTGTCAATACAATATTACTGTAGAAATGTTCTCTTCTATTATTACTGAGAATAATTTTAATCATTTAATTCATGAAAGGTTTATTCCAGTAAATTAAACTAATTCATTTCAGGCATGATTTATTAGGATTTCCCCAGTTCCAGAAAGTTTTAATAATATAGGTTTACCTAATTCCCTGATGGCTTTGTTACTGAGATAAACATATTCCACATATTTAGGTTTCATTACACGACACACATCTCTCCATCCCTTCCATACAGCTAATAACTTGTCATAATCTGTAGACTCTGCTAAAATTTCATATAAATCTGGAAAAAAAATCATAGCATTATTAATTATGTCCATTTACAGCATACAGCTAAGAGGGGCCGATAAGGAATTTTTAAAAGGATAAACAAATTATATATTTCCAATCAAAGGGGACATACGCCCTCTTTGCCCCTAACACTGGTTTATAATGTCTTATACCATATACCTTAAATTCCAGGCAGACTGGAGGTCATATCAAAAAGATTTTCTAAGCATGTAGAAATATTTCAAATTCACCCATTTTATTTTCAAACTAGCTTTTTCATTTTATAAAATGTGAAAGTCTTTCAAGGAAGACCTGTATCTCATGCTGTCTTCAAACAAAAAAGCAGAAATCGCTGTAAAGTCCATGTTTTGAAATTGCAAATCCCAAAAATCATTCTAATCAATAAATAAAATAGCAGTTACTCATTAAGGCCAAATTGAACAAAATATTAATTTCCAAAATAGCACAATATTCACTCCCCCCAACTCCCAGTTCAGATTCTAGACTATGTTAATTATAAGATAATTCTACATCCATATCCCATAGACCTTATCTAGAGTAGATACAGTATTCTAAATGACAGTTTGCATAATATTGACTAATTAGATATAAGAAGATGCGATATTTGTAGTATTTCCGCGGATATATTTTACAGAGAAAAAAACAGTACCAGTGATCAGTTTCACAAAAAATCTTACGACTAAAGTTGATCGTACATGTAAGTATACTGAATTGTTCACGACTTACGATCACTTTAGTCGTAAGAATTTTTGTTAAACTGATCACAGAAGTGTGAAATGAACATATTCATTGTAATAAACTGTTGACACAGAGATTTGTCTCGTCTATCGGCATAAAATTCAGAAAAAGACAATCTGATGGACAGCAACATTGATTATTAATTCAGTCACTGGACCATGATCTTGTGGGCAGGGCCTAGAAATGGTCTACAAACTGATATGTACTGATAGTAATGCGACTTCATACAATATATCATTGATCTATCACAAGTAGATCCTATCAAACTAACTTGAGCAGAAAACTTAACATTGAAAATTGCTAATCAATTCAAAGTCACTGGACCATGTCCTAGGGGCAGGGCCTCAAAATAGTCGTCAAACTGATATGTACTGATAGTAATGCAACTTCATATTAAATATCAATGATCTATCACAAGTAGTTCCTATCAAACTAACTTAAGCAGAAAAGTTTACATTGAAAATTGCTTATCAATGCAGTCACTGGACCATGACTTAGTGGGCAGTTCCTCGAAATAGTCATCAAACTGATATGTACTGATAGTAATGCAACTTCATACTAAATATCAATGATCTATCACAAGTAGATCCTATCAAACTAACTTAGGCAGAAAACTTAACATTGAAAATTGCTTATTAATTCAAAGTCACTGGACCATGACTTGGGGGGCAGGGCCTTGAAATAGTCAGCAAACTGATATGTACTGATAGTGATGCAACTTCAAAGTAAATATCAATGATCTATCACAACTAGTTCCTATCAAACTAACTTAAGCAGAAAACTTAACATTGAAAATTGCTTATTAATTCAAAGTCACTGGACCATGACTTGGGGGCAGGGCCTCCAAAGAGTCAGCAAACTGATATGTACTGATAGTATTGCAACTTCAAAGTAAATATTAAATCGTGTACACTATGGAAGTGGACCCCTCCCCCCTTATTCCCATGTATACCTTGGCCTTATACAAGTGTAGTGTGTATGCGTGACAACTATTGTGAACTCATAAATGGTGGGGTGCTATCACATGGTTGGAAGCAAGATCAGATCCTAAACAGCCACTGCAAGAACCAAGCTGAATAGAGTCTCATACTCCCACCACCATGTATAACCACATAGACATAGGTTGAAGAAAACATAATACAGGTTTGGGCCAATAACCACAGTTTAATTAATCTTTGCATCATATATAAAGACAATTAACAATGAAACAATAATATTTTCATTTTGCACAAACAGTCTTTGAAAAATCTGTGGTACTCCAGTAGAAAACACAAAACTACGATAACTACACATTAAAATAAACAATAATAAAATCATGCAATAAAGGAAACTATTGAAATAACATTGCAATGTGTTAAAAGATTTTTCACATAACCAATAGGGAGTGGTGGGTGGGACTAGAAATTTTTCTGCCCAAAATTAAAAATGTCTGCCTACGCCGCTGGTAAATTTGAAAGTGAATAATTGCCCTCTTGATAAAACAAGAGCAACTAATTAGTGCCTTGATTGGATAATTCAAATAAATACTGGGCCCTGATTGGCTAATGTCTTAGTAACCCAAATAGCAACTTAATTAATTAGTAAGGGCTGCAGATACAGGGAACAACCCAATCTGATTGGTTAAAATGCAATGTATCTCTAAACAACATATTAGATAAAATTACACGGATCATGCTAAAGCAAGGAGAGCAAGTTCCCCCTATATTAATACTTCATTTAAATAAAATGAACACATCAATGATCTATCACAACTAGTTCCTGTCAAACTAACTTAAGCAGAAAACTAAACAATTGTTGATGCCGGAGCCATAGCCGGAGTCGCCAGAAAAGCAATCCCTATGTCTCGCTCTCAGCGACTTTCGTCGTTGTCAAGACAAAAAGTAAGGTAAAGAACAATTAGAATTTATTATCTGCTATTTTTTCATTAAGTCAAATTTGTGTCCGATAATGATGACTTCAATTAGGGGAGATATGAGTTGAATGTTAGAACTCATCCTATAGCTGCCAGAATTTCTATCTTTTATCCTGCTAACCATGTTACCTACCTGGTTCTAATTTGTGACATACGTCATCAGATAAACACACCTTTCCATTACCATAGATACCAGACATGTCTGATAACAACCCCTTCAGCTGTAAATAAAATAATACTATACACTTAATTGAAACATGTAAACATTCTTATTACAAACAAAAATGTGTAATATAAGTTATACTAACTGTATAGTTTTGTAATTAATGTAGGCATAATGTATTTACTGGATTTATTATCACTTTCTTCAATCATAAAATTGCAGAAATAATTTTTTTTGCTTCAAATACATGCAGCTATTTCTGTGTAATCATATTTCTAGTTCAATGAAACAGGAGCCTATTGATTGTTATGTCCATTCATTCATCCATTCTGCCCATCCACAATCGGTAAATGCATATTCAATGACCAGTAAATCAGTGACTGGATTTTCAATAAAACTTTCAGAGTGCCATCAGTATCTGATGGTATTGTGAATCTTAAGATTTTTATTTTTATTTGATATTTGTGTTTTCCTTTATCAAAACCTTGACATTTCCAAATCTTTAAATTTTATACCTGCTCAAGCTGATTCATATCTGATAGGGCACTTGTTCCTATGTTTGTGATGGCTTTAAACAATCTCTTCTGTGTTGTATTGTAAAAAGATTGCCAGTCGTACTGTGAGGCTTCATTATACATCTGTTTCTCAAAATGAGCTAACTCTACTTGTGATCTAGTCTGAAACAAAAATATAAACAGTTAATGTACCTTGTTTTGTCATATCAAACTTCTGCAGATTTGCAAAAATGTAACAAATACAGGTTTTGAATGAATTATAAATGATTGATTGATTGATTGGTATTTAATAACATTTTCACCACTATTGTGCTATCTTGTGAAGGTCAGTTATTGGTGGAGGAAGCATGAGTGCCCAGAGAGAACCAATGAATGACCTTCGGTAGGAAATTGGTGGAGGAAGCCAGAGTGCTTAGAGAGAACCAATGACCTTAGGTAGGAAAACTGAAAAATCCTAGTCAATTAAGACTGGAGTCTAACACACTTTCCATGTGCTGGATTCGAACTCACAACCTCAGTGTTGACAGCCTAATGATGCAGTAGTTCGACTACTTAGGCCACTCAGCTACCGAGGTCCACCAATTATGAGTGATAGAAAATACTAGAATATTTAAAAAAAATTTGTAGCAGGGATTATATGACTTGTAATCTAAAATAAATTAAAATTAAATCAAACAAGTATCTGTTTTGGCAATTACAAGATAATACAAAAGTAATGGAGAATTCTTTCTCCAAAAATCAAGTACTGATACAACATTACATAATTCTCGTTTACATACATATTATATTAAATTTCCTCTTTTATACTCTCTTACAATTGACAGATATTTATGACATTACACATTATAAACCAAAATAAGATATTTACATAAGCAGCCTTTGTCTTGCTTGTTATATTAGATGTGTAGGCCCATTCTGCCTTGTAAGCTTTATCATATGCTACTGTGGCCTGTTTCTCATACTGTGTTAGCCATTCTTCTACCTTTCCTATTGATGGTGGTAGTTGTGTTACGGAACATGTCTCACTCCAACCTGGGTTATCTCCCTTATTTTGTTCTTTAAGCCAATCAATAAGAGGTATGAAGTAATCAATGATAGGTTTAGCATCCATGTTAGGTTGTCCTGTGATTGCCATCATTGCCTCTGGCCATGGTTTTGAGGATCCAAGTCTTAGCATTGCACTGTAAAAAAGGAATGTTTTGTTTAAAGATATATGTAGAAGTTTCACAAAAATATCAGAGAGCAGTGCTTACATGTCTGTCAATATGTGTGGACATCTTGATTTAGTTCTTTGATTAAGAACTTCTGACAACTTTCAATATGAAGAACAGCAATAAAAAGATTGTTGTCTCATGTTTACCCAGTCTTTCATTTTCAGGAAAAACAAAGTGTGTTTGTATTTCCATACTAATTCTCTGTATGTTAAAATGTAATCATTAAGTCATCGCAGGTTATGATTAGCAGTGATAGACAATTTCTGATTGTAATAAGCTCTGAAATATAATAAATATGTTTTTGTTTTGTTTACAAAAAAACTTAAAGACAAGTTCTTTTTTACCAACGGATTGTTGTTGAAGGATTACAAACTCTTTAACTCTGGCTGTTAATTTTGTCAACTGTACAATTAAGTCAGTCCATTTAATGTTAAGTAAAACAATGCACAGATTAGATTGCAGCACTTTTCCTGATTGTAATAATTGTTGACTAAGCTGTTTGGTGTCCTTATGTGGTGAAAGATGAGGCATATAGGAGTAACTTAAAATTTATGTATTCCATTAATGTATTTACCCTACTTTATCCCCTGCTTCTTTAGTCCTGTATATGTCACAAGTATGTAATGGATCTGTATGACCAGCAGTATCACATGTACCTACCCTAATTTATCCCCTGCTTCTTTAGACCTGTATATGTCACAAGTGTGTAATGGTCCAGTATGACCAGCAGTATCACATGTACCTACCCTAATTTATCCCCAGCTTCTTTAGACCTGTATATGTCACAAGTGTGTAATGGTCCAGTATGACCAGCAGTATCACATGTATCTACCCTAATTTATCCCCTGCGTCTTTAGACCTGTATATATGTCACAAGTGTGTAATGGTCCAGTATGACCAGCAGTATCACATGTATCTACCCTAATTTATCCCCTGCGTCTTTAGACCTTTATATATGACACAAGTGTGTAATGGTCCAGTATGACCAGCAGTATCACATGTACCTACCCTAACTTATCCCCTGCTTCTTTAGACCTGTATATATGTCACAAGTATGTAATGGACCAGTATGACCAGCAGTATCACATGTACCTACCCTAATTTATCCCCTGCTTCTTTAGACCTGTATATGTCACAAGTGTGTAATGGTCCAGTATGACCAGCAGTATCACATGTACCTACCCTAATTTATCCCCTGCTTCTTTAGACCTTTATATATGTCACAAGTATGTAATGGTCCAGTATGACCAACAGTATCACATGTACATACCCTAATTTATCCCCTGCTTCTTTAGACCTGTATATGTCACAAGTATGTAATGGTCCAGTATGACCAGCAGTATCACATGTACCTACCCTAATTTATCCCCTGCTTCTTTAGACCTTTATATATGACACAAGTGTGTAATGGTCCAGTATACCAGCAGTATCACATGTACCTACCCTAATTTATCCCTTGCTTCTTTAGACCTTTATATATGACACAAGTGTGTAATGGTCCAGTATGACCAGCAGTATCACATGTACCTACCCTAACTTATCCCCTGCTTCTTTAGACCTGTATATATGTCACAAGTATGTAATGGACCAGTATGACCAGCAGTATCACATGTACCTACCCTAATTTATCCCCTGCTTCTTTAGACCTGTATATATGTCACAAGTATGTAATGGTCCAGTATGACCAGCAGTATCACATGTACCTACCCTAATTTATCCCCTGCTTCTTTAGACCTGTATATGTCACAAGTATGTAATGGTCCAGTATGACCAGCAGTATCACATGTACCTACCCTAACTTATCCCCTGCTTCTTTAGACCTGTATATATGTCACAAGTATGTAATGGACTAGTATGACCAGCAGTATCAAATGTACCTACCCTAATTTATCCCCAGCTTCTTTAGACCTTTATATATGTCACAAGTGTGTAATGGTCCAGTATGACCAGCAGTATCACATGTAACTACCCTAACTTATCCCCTGCTTCTTTAGACCTGTATATATGTCACAAGTGTGTAATGGTCCAGTATGACCAACAGTATCACATGTACCTACCCTAATTTATCCCCTGCGTCTTTAGACCTGTATATATGTCACAAGTATGTAATGGACCAGTATGACCAGCAGTATCACATGTACCTACCCTAACTTATCCCCTGCTTCTTTAGACCTGTATATATGTCACAAGTATGAAATGGATCTGTATGACCAGCAGTATCACATGTACCTACCCTAATTTATCCCCTGCTTCTTTAGACCTGTATATATGTCACAAGTGTGTAATGGTCCAGTATGACCAACAGTATCACATGTACCTACCCTAATTTATCCCCTGCGTCTTTAGACCTGTATATATGTCACAAGTATGTAATGGACCAGTATGACCAGCAGTATCACATGTACCTACCCTAACTTATCCCCTGCTTCTTTAGACCTGTATATATGTCACAAGTGTGTAATGGTCCAGTATGACCAGCAGTATCACATGTACCTACCCTAACTTATCCCCTGCTTCTTTAGACCTTTATATATGTCACAAGTATGTAATGGTCCAGTATGACCAGCAGTATCACATGTACCTACCCTAATTTATCCCCTGCTTCTTTAGACCTGTATATGTCACAAGTATGTAATGGACCAGTATGACCAGCAGTATCACATGTACCTACCCTAACTTATCCCCTGCTTCTTTAGACCTGTATATATGTCACAAGTATGTAATGGTCCAGTATGACCAGCAGTATCACATGTACCTACCCTAATTTATCCCCTGCTTCTTTAGACCTGTATATGTCACAAGTATGTAATGGTCCAGTATGACCAGCAGTATCACATGTACCTACCCTACTTTATCCCCTTCTTCTTTAGACCTGTATATGTCACAAGTATGTAATGGACCAGTATGACCAACAGTATCACATGTACCTACCCTAATTTGTCCCCTGCTTCTTTATACCTGTATATATGTCACAAGTATGTAATGGTCCAGTATGACCAGCAGTATCACATGTACCTACCCTAATTTATCCCCAGCTTCTTTAGACCTTTATATATGACACAAGTGTGTAATGGTCCAGTATGACCAGCAGTATCACATGTACCTACCCTAACTTATCCCCTGCTTCTTTAGACCTGTATATATGTCTCAAGTGTGTAATGGTCCAGTATGACCAATAGTATCACATGTACCTACCCTAATTTATCCCCTGCTTCTTTAGACCTGTATATGTCACAAGTATGTAATGGTCCAGTATGACCAACAGTATCACATGTACCTACCCTAATTTATCCCCTGCTTCTTTAGACCTGTATATGTCACAAGTGTGTAATGGTCCAGTATGACCAACAGCATCACATGTACCTACCCTACTTTATCCCCTGCTTCTTTAGACCTGTATATGTCACAAGTGTGTAATGGTCCAGTATGACCAACAGTATCACATGTACCTACCCTAATTTATCCCCAGCTTCTTTAGACCTGTATATGTCACAAGTATGTAATGGTCCAGTATGACCAACAGTATCACATGTACCTACCCTAATTTATCCCCAGCTTCTTTAGACCTGTATATGTCACAAGTATGTAATGGACCAGTATGACCAGCAGTATCACATGTACCTACCCTAATTTATCCCCTGCTTCTTTAGACCTGTATATATGTCACAAGTATGTAATGGTCCAGTATGACCAACAGTATCACATGTACCTACCCTAACTTATCCCCTGCTTCTTTAGACCTTTATATATGTCACAAGTGTGTAATGGTCCAGTATGACCAGCAGTATCACATGTACCTACCCTAACTTATCCCCTGCTTCTTTAGACCTGTATATATGTCACAAGTATGTAATGGTCCAGTATGACCAGCAGTATCACATGTACCTACCCTTATTTATCCCCTGCTTCTTTAGACCTGTATATGTCACAAGTATGTAATGGTCCAGTATGACCAACAGTATCACATGTACCTACCCTAATTTATCCCCTGCTTCTTTAGACCTTTATATATGTCACAAGTGTGTAATGGTCCAGTATGACCAGCAGTATCACATGTACCTACCCTAATTTATCCCATGCTTCTTTAGACCTTTATATATGTCACAAGTGTGTAATGGTCCAGTATGACCAGCAGTATCACATGTACCTACCCTAACTTATCCCCTGCTTCTTTAGACCTGTATATATGTCACAAGTATGTAATGGTCCAGCATGACCAGCAGTATCACATGTACCTACCCTAATTTATCCCCTGCTTCTTTAGACCTGTATATGTCACAAGTATGTAATGGTCCAGTATGACCAGCAGTATCACATGTACCTACCCTAATTTATCCCCTGCTTCTTTAGACCTGTATATGTCACAAGTATGTAATGGTCCAGTATGACCAGCAGTATCACATGTACCTACCCTAATTTATCCCCTGCTTCTTTAGACCTGTATATGTCACAAGTGTGTAATGGTCCAGTATGACCAGCAGTATCACATGTACCTACCCTTATTTATCCCCTGCTTCTTTAGACCTGTATATGTCACAAGTATGTAATGGTCCAGTATGACCAGCAGTATCACATGTACCTACCCTAATTTATCCCCTGCTTCTTTAGACCTGTATATGTCACAAGTATGTAATGGTCCAGTATGACCAGCAGTATCACATGTACCTACCCTAATTTATCCCCAGCTTCTTTAGACCTGTATATGTCACAAGTATGTAATGGTCCAGTATGACCAGCAGTATCACATGTACCTACCCTAATTTATCCCCTGCTTCTTTAGACCTGTATATATGTCACAAGTGTGTAATGGTCCAGTATGACCAGCAGTATCACATGTACCTACCCTTATTTATCCCCTGCTTCTTTAGACCTGTATATGTCACAAGTATGTAATGGTCCAGTATGACCAGCAGTATCACATGTACCTACCCTAATTTATCCCCTGCTTCTTTAGACCTGTATATGTCACAAGTATGTAATGGTCCAGTATGACCAGCAGTATCACATGTACCTACCCTAATTTATCCCCAGCTTCTTTAGACCTGTATATGTCACAAGTATGTAATGGTCCAGTATGACCAGCAGTATCACATGTACCTACCCTAATTTATCCCCTGCTTCTTTAGACCTGTATATGTCACAAGTGCGTAATGGTCCAGTATGACCAGCAGTATCACATGTACCTACCCTTATTTATCCCCTGCTTCTTTAGACCTGTATATGTCACAAGTATGTAATGGTCCAGTATGACCAGCAGTATCACATGTACCTACCCTAATTTATCCCCTGCTTCTTTAGACCTGTATATGTCACAAGTATGTAATGGTCCAGTATGACCAGCAGTATCACATGTACCTACCCTAATTTATCCCCAGCTTCTTTAGACCTGTATATGTCACAAGTATGTAATGGTCCAGTATGACCAGCAGTATCACATGTACCTACCCTAATTTATCCCCTGCTTCTTTAGACCTGTATATATGTCACAAGTATGTAATGGTCCAGTATGACCAGCAGTATCACATGTACCTACCCTAATTTATCCCCTGCTTCTTTAGACCTGTATATATGTCACAAGTATGTAATGGTCCAGTATGACCAGCAGTATCACATGTACCTACCCTAATTTATCCCCTGCTTCTTTAGACCTGTATATGTCACAAGTGTGTAATGGTCCAGTATGACCAACAGTATCACATGTACCTACCCTTATTTATCCCCTGCTTCTTTAGACCTGTATATATGTCATAAGTATGTAATGGTCCAGTATGACCAACAGCATCACATGTACCTACCCTACTTTATCCCCTGCTTCTTTAGACCTGTATATGTCACAAGTGTGTAATGGTCCAGTATGACCAACAGTATCACATGTACCTACCCTAATTTATCCCCTGCTTCTTTAGACCTGTATATATGTCACAAGTATGTAATGGACCAGTATGACCAGCAGTATCACATGTACCTACCCTAACTTATCCCCTGCTTCTTTAGACCTGTATATGTCACAAGTGTGTAATGGTCCAGTATGACCAGCAGTATCACATGTACCTACCCTAATTTATCCCCTGCTTCTTTAGACCTGTATATATGTCACAAGTATGTAATGGTCCAGTATGACCAGCAGTATCACATGTACCTACCCTAATTTATCCCCAGCTTCTTAAGACCTGTATATGTCACAAGTGTGTAATGGTCCAGTATGACCAGCAGTATCACATGTACCTACCCTAATTTATCCCCTGCTTCTTTAGACCTGTATATATGTCATAAGTATGTAATGGTCCAGTATGACCAACAGCATCACATGTACCTACCCTAATTTATCCCCTGCTTCTTTAGACCTGTATATATGTCACAAGTATGTAATGGTCCAGTATGACCAGCAGTATCACATGTACCTACCCTAATTTATCCCCTGCTTCTTTAGACCTGTATATGTCACAAGTATGTAATGGTCCAGTATGACCAGCAGTATCACATGTACCTACCCTAATTTATCCCCTGCTTCTTTAGACCTGTATATACCGGTATGTCACAAGTGTGTAATGGTCCAGTATGACCAGCAGTATCACATGTACCTACCCTTATTTATCCCCAGCTTCTTGAGACCTGTATATGTCACAAGTATGTAATGGTCCAGTATGACCAGCAGTATCACATGTACATACCCTAATTTATCCCCAGCTTCTTTAGACCTGTATATATGTCACAAGTATGTAATGGTCCAGTATGACCAACAGTATCACATGTACCTACCCTAATTTATCCCCTGCTTCTTTAGACCTGTATATCTGTCACAAGTATGTAATGGTCCAGTATGACCAACAGTATCACATGTACATACCCTAATTTATCCCCAGCTTCTTTAGACCTGTATATATGTCACAAGTGTGTAATGGTCCAGTATGACCAGCAGTATCACATGTACCTACCCTAATTTATCCCCAGCTTCTTTAGACCTGTATATGTCACAAGTGTGTAATGGTCCAGTATGACCAACAGTATCACATGTACCTACCCTAATTTATCCCCAGCTTCTTTAGACCTGTATATATGTCACAAGTATGTAATGGTCCAGTATGACCAACAGTATCACATGTACATACCCTAATTTATCCCCTGCTTCTTTAGACCTGTATATATGTCACAAGTATGTAATGGTCCAGTATGACCAGCAGTATCACATGTACCTACCCTAATTTATCCCCTGCTTCTTTAGACCTGTATATGTCACAAGTATGTAATGGACCAGTATGACCAGCAGTTTCACATAAAGCTTTTTGGAATTGGAACTGAACAACAAAACTTATAAAATATCTGTAAATAAAATATAAAATGTATTCAATAGCATATACACCAATTTTTCACTACATCAATCTTCATAAACAATTAAGAATCAAAACCAATAGGGATTTTCTTTCATTATGATACAGAATGTAACTTTGACTTTATCCAAGGATGTAAAGTAATTAAAGAGCTGCGTCAACGGTCATGAGGGCATGATATGCTTGTCGCCCTTTTAGTTTTGATGATTATTCAACGAATAAAGTTCCATAACTCAGCAATGTCATAACAGAAATTTATAAAAAAAAAAAAGACAGCTTATTTCAATAGATATAAACAAGTCACCATAGATTCATGAAAATTGCTCAAAGCCTTTTTGATTAATTGTCTGAAAACTGGAAAATCCCCCCTTTTTTATGACTAAAATTTCTTAACTTGGAAACGTAAAATCTAAAATTTATAATGATTGAAAGGGAGCTTATCTCAGATGATATCAACAATTCAACAAAGTTTTATGAAAGTTGGTGAAAGCGCTTTTGAGTTATTGTCCAAAGTGTTGACGACAGATGGACAGATGGATGGACATAATACCATAATACGTCCCGTCTTAGACAGGCGTATAAAAATAACGAAAATTTTGTATTTTGATTTTGAGGTAACTATGTCTATAGTCAAGGATTCATTTATTTATGTGACCACATATAAAAGTATGGCTGTAATCTTATTTCAACTTTCAATCAAGTAGCAAAAGATAAAAAATATTTAATTTAGCACAGAAACCACTTTTCTGCACAGATTTCAGTCTACTTTTAGTAACTTTGACCTTGACCTCATATGAAGTGCCTAAAAATCAATATGAATCTTCCACTCATTTTAACACACCAAATTTTTTAAAAGAACAAATGATATCAAGATAAAAAAGCAAAAACTGATAAAGTCCCTGGATTTTTCAGCAGAAAGGGAATATTCATGCAAAATTGCACAAAATATTATATATCAGCCATCCTCCCAAATACTTATTTAGGATAGATATGGTACTAAAACAAATGACTGACTTACCTTATATATGGTGTATTTCCTGGAATATGATATTTTGCTCCAGGATCAAAATCTTCTGCTGTTCTTTCTACTGGGGGTGCTATTCCTTGATATTTACATCTAAAGAAATTTGAATAAAATTAAATTAAGCAATGACTCTGTCATTACATACTGTTATTGTGAATTTGTTTTTTTATTGTTTCATTGTAACATAAATATGGTCAAAACTCATTATGTTGAAAAAGAACAAGATATATTTCTTTACATTATTTTATTACAAAAGTTACAGCTACACAATTAATATGCACTATTTTGTTCTACAATGCTTCGGACTACCAGCTAATCCTTCAACTTCTGTTTGAAGTAAAAACAGTTGAATATCAATTCTATTGTAAATTGTTCACCTCAACTAGTCAATTAATAGGAAAAAAAGTTTTGAAAAGCAAGTATCTCACCTAAGATCCCACCATTTCTGATTGTAATCATCAGGAGTTGTCTCCCCACTAAATACACTCCATCGCCATTGGTCCATGAGATATCCAAAAGGAAGGAAAGCTATCTTTTCTAAAGCCATCTTCATTAAAAAGTTAATGTCACTCTCTGTTAAAATGGAAAAATGAAGAGTGAGCATTTGCACAGCCAATTAAAAGCTAGTCCGATGCATCTGCTAATGTAACCTGGTGGGTATACAGATTTACAAGAAAATATTTGTCATGAAACCTTTACTGTGGTGAAAATGAGATTAGCAATTTCTATCTGTGCTTTTTTTCTAAAAAATTGTTTTACCTGTTTAAGGCATGAAATATTTCTATAGGCTAAGATGGCAATATGGAATCCTAAAAATTCACTCCAAAAGACAGTTTTTTTAACTTAAAAGATCAGTTTATCCACCATGTCATTTATAATTACATTTAACTGGACTAAATTTTGTAGATGGTCATTCAGAATGTTGCATCAAATTAGCCTACTGTTTGACACATATAAAAGGGGTATGTCACACATTGTCTATAACATTTTGAATGTTATTTATGAAAACTAGATAACAAATGTATCCTTATTTAACCCTAAGAACCTAGTGATTCTATAATCATGTAGAATAAATCAAAGTCTAATAGGTCTGTCACATTAGCCAGCTAAATATATATATATATACCTTCTGAATCTAAAGGCAATAATTATTCTTAAGTTGAGTTCTTCAAAAAGATAGACAACATGTTGCATTTATCCTTACTTTAAATCAATAATGGCAGCAAATATCATTCAAGTTTTGGCAAAATGTCTTGCAACTTGTAAGTAGATTTTATCAAGAGCTATTCAAACATTTGTCAGGTGATGACATAAATATTGCGCAAGCTACATATTATATTGTGTCTCTACCTTAGAACTACTTGTGTAATGCTTTAGCAATTCCAATTTCATATCATTTTTTAAAAAGCTCTTTATAGAATTACTGACTTGCAAGAAAATTGGTCAACACATTAATGGTTTCTAGTGAAATGTATAATGTTTCATTATCAAATAGTCAAATAATAATTCAAAAATAACTGCCTTAAATTCCAACAAAAACAAGGTACCTTTATCATTTTCCACGGTATCTAACAGTTTTATTTTCTGTAGATGTTTTGGTGTGGCAACAGATAGTGCTAAAACATCACCTACTGCTTCATGGAAACCTAATATGTAGAAAAATGTATTGTTAATGTATATGCATTTATCTGAAATTTTATTTTGAATGGTTTTGTGTTTGTGACTATCTCATAGATTACAAGAACTAATTGTCTGCACCCAATCAAACCATGTGTTCAGAACATATATTGACATGTGTGACAGCAAGTAGACAAAATATAAAACTATTTAGAATGAGATAACAATGAAGGAAGATCCTTTACTTCCAGTGGCAAATATTACATGCATTTAAAGGATGATTGCATTTTGAAGTAATATAAATATACAAGGTTGTGAACTATACTGCCACACAGAGTAGAATTTTAATGTGCTAGCTCACAAGGTAATAGTCCAAAAGTCACCCTACCAAGACATATTCTTAAGCTGAAGTAGTTTGACCCTAGAGGTTATAGATTCCTATTTGTACTGTGTATGCTCAATTTGTGGTCATAACTATATCAAATTAGTACATATGTGGATTTGCTCCATCTTTGAAGATTACTTGTTAATCTTTATGTTGTAATAACTACTATTAATGTCAAGACACCTTGTTACCACGATTAGTTTACAGGATTTTTTCAATCTCTGAGGTTATGTGTTAATTTTTATCTTCTAACACTATGTTGCCATGGTTACTTACCAGGATTTGCTCCATCTCTGAAGGTTACAGGTTTATCTTTATATTGCAAGAAGTACTGAATATGTCCCATCTCATGATGAATAGTGATAAGATCTTCCATGTTCACAGCTGTACACATTTTAATCCTGCAGGTTGAATGACAAATGATAATGTCAGTCATTGAAAATAATAAAATGGTCCACAGGTGCAGCTTGATACAACAGCAGAGGTCGAACCCTTAACAGTTGGGCAAGTAAGGACACAAAATTCAAGCTTGATACAGCTCTGAATCTGGATTGTGATTAAATATTTGACACATCATAGGTTTCTTATACAGAATGAATGTTTTAAATTTGAAATTTGACATTTACCTATTATAGTCCAATAACCAAAATCTAAATACATGGTTAGAATCAGCACATCAAAGAACCCCAAGAATTCAATTTTTTATGAAATCAAACAAATTTTAAATTCGGACCCTTTGGACCTCAATGTGGATCAATTTGATAATGGAGACCAAAATCCAAAATATAAATACATGGTTATATTCAGCATATCAAAGAATCCCATATATTCCAATTTTGTTGAAATCAGACAAAAAAAGTTTCACTTTGGACCCCAATTGAAAACTTGAAAACTGGGCCCAAAATCAAAAATCAAAATACATGTTTAAATTCTGCATATCAAAGAACCCCAAGAATTTAAGACTTTGAATTAAACCCCATTGAAATTGGTCAAGAAATAAGCAATTTAAACAAAGTATTAGAAAAGTATTGTTTTTGGCCCTTAATTCCTAAATGGTTTGGGCCATAACCCCCAAAATCAATCCCAACCTTTCTTTTGAGGTATGGAACCTTGTGGTACAATTTCATAGAGATCCATTCAATTATACTCAAATTATTGTCTGGAAAATAGATATCTTTGGATTTGGAGGGCGACAATGATGCTGACGACAACATCGCCATACCATTATATCGCTTTCTTATAAGATTAGGCCATTCATGATTACCATGATACCTATAAATGCTATTTTTTCATACATTCTAGTTCTACATTTATATCTCAATATGCTAATTACTCAATTTAAAGACAGTACAATTAACATTTTAACAACTTTCAGATGTAGATCCACATGTTTAAAGTGTATGTAAAATTCGTATGATGATCTATTGCTGTATCTTTTACCATATACATAACATGTAAATATTCTGCTGAGCTGCACTGTTCTACATACAAAAGGACTAGAGAGGTGAAATATCATTGTTACAGTACATTTTTATCAACAGACCTCAATGTTAAATTGAACAAAATCACTCAAGCATTTAAATTTAAAACAAAAATACCTGAATGATGCTGCATTGCATTATACTAATGTAAATTACAATTGTTATAATGCAATGTGTTTTTGAGAAATGTGCCTGTCAAGTGTGTGTAGAGATTTTGTGTAATGAATTAATATATCATATCTGTTCTTTGCCATTCCTAAACATAATAAAAACATGTTAATGTTTGTCATATGTAAATATTAACAGTCACTTTCAAAGCAGAGGAAATAAAAAATATGTCCAACAAGTCAGTGCTCTTCTTTCATCTGAATATGGAATAATAATTTTTATTTAATTTTTATTTCCTCCTCTTACTCTCTTTATTTAAATGTTGTAAACGAATATATCAAAAGATGTCAATTGCTCTATTCATTTTATATTTAATAAGAAATTTCCAAACCTAAAGTCCTTTCTATTGTAAAAGTCCCATGCTGAAGCATGACAAACAATTTCACGGTCTGCTGGTTTCTCTATGATCGATTTGTCCCAGAATTCCTTAGGCATTGACTGCAATCCTAATGATGTGAAAAATTCTTCTGCCGTCTGGAACATCCTCAGTGCTGTGTAATTCTATAATAGATATATAGCTTTTGACAAATGATATACAGAATGAATAAAATAACTAGAACTTTTTGTATGAGAAATATGGTTCTACTTATAAATTTTTATGAGAAAAACTAAAAAATCTTATCTTGAAATATTTTTAAAAAAGAAATATATTTTTGAACTGAACTTATAACTAAATTAAAAGTAAAACTCATCACTAACATTTTGCTCATTTTCCCCGAATACAGTAACCTTTACCAAGACATTGCTACCTTAGAGTTTAATCTTTCACCATTAAAACTAATGCAGTATACATTTAAAACTTCAGCAACTTATGAGACAAAAAGAAATATTTTCTTTAGTCTCAATTGCATTTATATTTTCTTTTGTCCCATTGCATTTATTTTTTCTTTTGTCCCATTGCATTTATATTTTCTTTTGTCCCATTTGCATTTATATTTTCTTTTGTCCCATTTGCATTGACTATATTTAATGTAATTCTGTAGACTTGTAATGTATGCGAATCATTTTGCAATAAAGTTTACTGCTACGAAATGTTTAAAGTTCCAAGCACATGTTTATTAAAGTGATATAAAATATGATGCTTACCTGTGACCGCATTTGAGATGTTACATCCACATTTGATTTACCTTTATAAGGTATCATGATATCATACAAATTCTGCCATTCCTGAGCCCACATATTACCTGGAACACATATCACATAAAACTATGTAACTTGAACTATAAAGGGACATCCTTAGATTTAGTATTTGTAACATCAGTAGTATTTTCACAAAAATTACAGAAGCACCATAGATGGAAAAGACAAGTTGCAATATTTATGGATTTGTAGTATAAGAAATACATTTTTTGTCATACACTGTTTTTTTGTTTAGTGATGACAACTTAAGTCTGCTGACAATTTATATAAAATGATGGCAAAACCAATAAAGAGCTGTGCCATGAGCGCATGATAAGCCCGTTGCTTTTTCAAAGAATAAAGTTCCATAGCTCCTCAATGTCATACCAGAAATTAATAAAAAACTAAAGGGAGGTTATTTTGATAGACATAAAACAGTCACCAAAGTTTCATGAAAACTGCTAAAAGCACTTTTGAGTTATGTCCAAAAACTGGAAAATCCCCCTTTTTTATGAATAAAATCCCATACTCGGAAACATAAAATCTAAAATTTATAAAAATCAATAGGGAGCTTATGTCAATAGATATAAATAAACTGTTAACAAAGAGATATGTCTCGCCTGTTTGTTATTTTGATAATGCAAATGTTGAAATTAAAATAGCAATACTTTAACATGCAATTTATGCAAATATTCAGAGTCAATGTACCATGACTGAAGGTACAGGGCTAAACAATCTCCATGGAAATGAGATGTGCCAATGCTAATACAACTGCATACCAAATACCATAGACTTATCATAAGTCGTTCCCTTTCAACAAACCTAAACACAAACATTGACTTGTAATTTATGTAAAAGTTTCAAAGTCAATGAACCATGATGAGGGGGTGGGGCTATATAATCCATGGAAATGAGACTTGCAAATGCCAATACATTTGCATACCAAAGATCATTGACTTAACATTAGCAGTGCATCTTAAACTGATCTAATCACAAACTTATACATGTAAACTAAGCAAAAGTTTCAAAGTCAATAGACCATGACTGAGGGGGCGGGACCAAATATTCTCCATGGAAATGAGATGTGCTAATGCTTATACAACTGCATACCAATTATCATTGACCTACCACTAACAGTTCCCCTTGAACTGACCTAATCACAAACTAAAACATGAAAACGAAGCAAAAGTTTCAAAGTCAATAGACCATGAATAAGGGGTTGGGGCCAAATAATCTCCATGGAAATGAGATGTGCCAATGCTTATACAACTGCATATCAAATATCATTGACCTACCACTAGTGGTTCCCCATAAACTGACCTAATCACAAACTAATACATGTAAACGAAGCAAACTTTCAAAGTCAATAGACCTTGACTGAGGAGGCGGGGCCAAATAATCTCCATGGTAATGAGATGTGCCAATGCTAATACAACTGCATACCAAATATCATTGACCTACCACTAGTGGTTCACCATGAACTAGACCTAATCACAAACTAATACATTGTTGACGCTACCTCTGTCGACGCCGGAAACAGCATACCTATGTCTCGCTTTTTGACTCCGTCAAGGCGATACAAAAATTCAAAAAGTTTCATGAAAACTGCTCAAAGCATTTTTGAGTCATTGTCCCAAAACTGGAAAATCCCCCTTTTTTAATGAATAAAACCCCACAACTCGGAAACGTAAAATCTAAAATTTATAAAAATCGAAAGGGAGCTGACGTCAATAGCTATAAACAATTCACCAAAGTTTCATGCAAATTGGTTAAAGCTTTTTTGAGTTATTGTCCGACAAGTTGACGATGGACGGACGGACGGATAGACAATGATATACCATAATACGTCCCGTAAATGGGCGTATAAAAAGGAGGAGGTTTGATATAAATAGATAAAAGTGTTTAAAAAATGCCAAAAATAAAATGTCAAGGAAACTGAACTCTCACTAACATTGATATACTTACCTAGGAGATGGGCTGGGATATGACCAGATGCTGGAAACTTGTCTCTTCCATATTTGTCCTGGAGTTTACGTCTAACATAAGTATGAAGCTGTTCATACAAAGGTTTCAGTTGATCTAACAAATGTTGAAGATCTTGTTGGAAAGTAGAGGATTCGTACCAGGACCTCCAAAATTCTCCAGTGTCATTGTAAAACCCTAAATTAAAACAAGAAATGTGTCCAATCATTATCTTTCATGAATTCTTATATTTTTATTTCAAGTGATACATATTACACCATTAAGTTTCACAAAATTCTTTCCAGCATTTTTGCCTTAATTTTCTTTATCCTTTGTTTATTTTTTATTTGACTGTTTTCTTTCTTTAAGATAAAACCACTCAGAAACGATCATCTTTATATCAATTAAACATTTACAGCAACCAGAAATAAGTCAATAAATACAAGGTTTTCTTTCATATGAAAAGGTAGTGTTTAATATGAATCATTTAATTGGTAGATCATATAGAACTCTATAGCATACCTGCCAACTTCTAAAAATCTCCATGGAATATCTAAAGCACAAGACCTAGTGCATCTCTTATACCGCTATTGTTTGACTAAGTCCCTAGGGGTATCATAAGCTCAGCAGTCAGTGTTTTGATACTAACATGATTTGAAACATATTTTTCTAAAATTTCCCAAAGATAAAATAAGAAATTATCAAGAAACTAAGGTTCAAACTGCCCCAGGTGAAGTTGACCTTGAGATGAATTTGGTTATGCTTTAAGGTTCCCTTATGGTAGTATAGCTCCTAACATTTGTACGTATTTACACATCCCAGGATTTAGATGTTTAGGTTTGATTGTTCCCTTATGGTAGTATAGCTCATAACATTTGTATGTATTTACACATCCCAGGATTTAGATGTTTAGGTTTGATTGTTCCCTTATGGTAGTATAGCTCCTAACATTTGTACGTATTTACACATCCCAGGATTTAGATGTTTAGGTTTGATTGTTCCCTTATGGTAGTATAGCTCCTAACATTTGTACGTATTTACACATCCCAGCCCCAGGATTTAGATGTTTAGGTTTGATTGTTCCCTTTTGGTAGTATAGCTCATAACATTTGTATGTATTTACACATCCCAGGATTTAGATGTTTAGGTTTGATTGTTCCCTTATGGTAGTATAGCTCCTAACATTTGTACGTATTTACACATCCCAGGATTTAGATGTTTAGGTTTGATTGTTCACAATGAAGGTAAATCCAGAAAAGTGCTTCCAACACATGAAATTTATTTGGTTTTAATTTTTTACATAAAACATGTCATAAGTGTTTTCAGTGTTATATTCCAGGGCTTCCAAAAAATATTTGTGCCAGCCGGACATTTTTTGTCTTATCCCGATTTTGATCCATTAAGACTACGTAAAAAAGGCAATCATGCTTATCAGTGGGGCATCATTTAAACAATGAATGATTTGACGTAAAAATGATATTAATCTTGACTTTTGATACAAATTCGATGTACTGACGTAAACTGTTAAATTGACAGTGCATCATTCGAAGTGTGCAACATTAGCGTACTAATATCTGCCTTATAATCTTTATTTGTGCAAAATTACATTGTCAAAGTCTTTACTTTCGTTTTTGAAGGTACATTTTCTTATACCGGATGTTGACTTGACAATGGTAAAACACGGACCAGAGACAGATACGAAAAATCCGTGTATTTACAAAGCACAATCAAGTTTATGTAGCTCTTTCCAACGTTATTTCTTCAAGAAAATACTTGAAATGAACGTTAGATAAAGGTACCATTGATAATTTTAGCATTTTTGAAGAATTCAGATGCATAATTAAATCTTACAACTGTGCACATGCGCATGCATGTACTTTGTTCAAACAACGTGGTCCTGACAATTTTTTGGCTTAAAACCTTTATAACTACCTTTTAAAAATTGTCATCAAATCATATTTATATACATATTTTTTGATAATTTAAATCTTTTTGATTAAATTGATTAGATGCAAACCGCTGAAATTTATGAAAATAACTTCAAATAGACCGATCAATGTCCGGTACCTATTAGTTTACCTGTCACCTGAACAGGTAAATTTCAACTGTCTGACAACTAATTAACCTTGATTATAATGAGAGGGTATTAAAGTAGGGTTTGTTTTGATAGTACTTATTCACCATGTCACTTTTATGACCGGAAATGTGGCTGTTTAAGGCAAAAGGTATGGTCAAAAAGATCGCAAAAACTTAATTTTTTTCTGAATTATGTTAAAATGGCAAACCCACCTTAAATGTCTGTTTCAGGTTTGGCACAAGAAGTCATATTTATAATTTATCGGTCATGTCCGGAAAATACGACCGTTTTGGAAGCCATGTTATATACTATGGTTTTGAAAAGTATATATGTGCTGTAATGCCATTGCCTATTTTGAGCCATTTGAGGTATTCAATTAACACAATGGAGATTTCAAGAGTCAGATCAAAACCTCCCATAAGTAGGAAATTCCAATACAGCGGGAAAGTTAACAGGTCTGCTATAGCTGACCGCTATAAAATATATCTTTATATAGCTATATATCAGTATCTGTCAATCTGAACTTTGAGGTAATTGAATTTGAAAAACAGGTATATCCCATAAAATAATGATAATAAAAGATAGGTATAACAGTGTTAGCAAACTTATTAATCAATTACCATACCTTTGGCCCCTTACCTGATTGATATATGCCTTCAACCTCTTACCTAATTCTTTAATGCCTTCATTACTTAGCTCGACAAATTGAGCATATTTATCTTTCATCTTTCTGCCAGTTGCATCTCTCCATCCTTTCCAAATCTTCAGCAGTTCATCATAATCTTTTGACTTAGCCATCATTTCATACAAATCTGAAACAAAATGAATTCAAAAAGTTATTGTTTATACCATAACTTACAATATTTGACCAAAACTTAGATCTATGATATTAGGTAGAACTCAAACTAATAATGTTAGTCTTGTAGGTTTTTTAATTTTAGTTCATTTATACGTTTTGGAGTTTAGTATGACGTCCATTTTCACTGAACTCGTACACATTTTTGTTTAGGGCCAGCTGAAGCCTGCCTCCGGGTGCGGGATTTTCACGCTGTGTTGAAGACCCATTGGTGGCCTTCGCCTGTTTTCTGCTCTTCGGTCGGGTTGTTCTCTCTTTGACACATTCCCCATTTCCATTCTCAATTTTAATATCACTACCTCTGGCTTAAATATTTTTCAAAGTATATACTATTGCAATTTATATATAAACAAGAATGCACAATTCTCAAGTTTGTATTTCTTGTAATTAATTTTTAAATTATGACTTATCCTGTCTTACAATTTTGAGAATCTTACCTGGCTCCAAGGGCAGACAATTTTGTTCAGTCAAACATACTTGGCCTTTACCATATATTCCCTCAATATCTGACTGCAAACTGTTCAGCTAAAAACAAGAATTTTAGTTTTTAACAAAATTCCATGGCACTAACAAGATTGAGGGCCAATCCCAAATATTATATAGATAAGAAAAATGTCCAAATATTTTTGAAAGAAGTCCAAACTTATCCGTAAGCTAGCTTGAACTGTGACATGATAAATTAAATATAACTCAACTATTAAAATATTCTAACAAAATTGTAGATTCATATTTTTAAGCCAAATTTCATCACTACCTGTTGTGGATTTCACTGAACATTAAACTTCAAGATAATTTCTCAGACTGGTCTCCTTCTAATGAAGTCCTTCTAGTTTGTTATTTTTGAATAGTTTCTTACAAAATGTCATACCTGCCAACCGTCACTATTTGCAGGGGATTTCCCCCATGGAGGCTCCCAAATGGAAATTTTGAAAGAGCAATTTTGTCCACAAGTTAAAACAAAACAATCAATTTTACCATGGATATAGGATTGTTAAAGTATGAAGAAGCAAATAAACAACATTAAAATAAATTTGAAGGCCCCTTTAAAGGTTTTATAGGACTATGAGAGCCATCTTGCACTTATAAACCCCCATGGGCATTTTGAAATGTTGGCAGGTATGAAATGTTTGAAGTAAAAAATCAAAATACATTTGAATGTGGATTGAAGAGCCAGCTGTATAGGTAGATATCCTGATCCGTCTTCCTCCAAAAAGGAAATGTCTTGTTTTTACAACAGAAGACAGACAAGAGGGTATAGACCTCACAAGAGGGTATAGACCTCTCTATGGACAGTTTAAGTTTTACATATCATACTTACTTGTTTTAGTTTATTTTCATCTGACAAACCATCAGTTCCTATATCTGCAATGCTTTCAAACTGTCGCTTCACCGACTCATCATTAAATGTCTGCCACTTGAACATTGATGCATTGTGGGCTGCTTCTTTATTGAACTTAGCTAAAACCAGTCTAGCAGCAATCTGTAACATAACATTCAAAGGGTAATCTTACAGCAAAGAATAAATATGTTAACATGTATCAATATGAACTTACTTTGTATTATTCACACATATTAAATATTTAACATGCTTACTTTTTTAGTTGATAAAATAATTATAGGTTTCATAACGAGTGAGAATTGGATATCGCTTGATATCAACTCGAGTTATTTTAATTTCAAAATAATAATACACGAGCCTTTGGCGAGTTTATTATTACTATCTAAATTAAATATCAAGAGTTGATACAAGCAATATCCAATTCTCACAAGTTGTTAAACCTATTTCTCTTATGGTCAACACTCTTGTTATGTTTAAAATTAAAAATTCCGCGAATAAATGATACAGTCTTTTGCACATACAAATATGACATCATATGTCCTATTCTGGTGTAAAACTTTAACATCTGACATTTTAAAACGTTTTGTACACTTCAGAATGTAATAAAATTTGACAAAAAGATTATTTTCAGGTGAAAAGTGTGAGTGTTTTGTATATCATTGAAGAAATCACATATGTCCGTTGCCATGGTCGAAATTAACATCGTCTTAACCTTTGAAAGTAATCAATGACCTAACCAATAGCCAATGGAAATGCCGTAATATTGTCTCATGATGCTAGATAAGCCAATCAAATTAACACAGATTTTCGTATCACACCCCGTGCAGTGTGATACGATAAATATCTCTTCATGCAAGAAATAGATAACAGGCCACAACCATAAGAGAATAGTCAGAAAAAGACATGTTATTACCCAAACACATTGTTTTCTGCCTGTCTACCTCTAATTTGATAATTACATTTATTATACTTCATGTCAAAATGCCAGATTTTCATTGGTTGATACGAGGGAGACAATTTACTCTATCCTATGGTAAATAATCTATTACCCTTCACGGAGATGCTTGATCAAGTGTGCGCTTTATTAAATATGGATGGTTGTTATGTACAAGACGTCATAGTTTATTACTTTGCATTTGAAATTTAATAGACAGTAATAACAGAACATTCAGAATAATAAATTAAATAGCACATATCTGAGAGGGTGATAGAGCAGATTGTTACCCCTCGAAAAGACATTGTCAACCTTGGCTTCGCCTCAGTTGACAATGTTTTCTTGGGGTAACAATCTGCTGTATCACCCTCTCAGCTATGCGTTATTTATATAATGTTTGGTGTTTACCATTCCTATTTGCCTTCAAATTTTAAACATATCAGACCTAAGCTAGGTTCCTTGTTTTCAAGATAATGTTTTTTTTTTTTTATAAGGTCTGCTCTAACATCACGACGCCTTGATATTTGTTTCAGGGAGCAACTGAGCAGGGTAATAAGGACCATGGTAAGTATGATAAGCTCATTTATAACTACAGTCGAACCTCGTTGTGTTGAAAACTCGGATGTGTCGAAAACTCGGATGAGTCGAGGTAATTTCTTGGTCCCTGTAAAAATCCTGTTTGTTCAATGCATATTTACCTCTGATGAGTTGAACTCGGTTCATTTCGAATATTGGGTTATGTCGAGTAAATATTATAGTTCTGTCGATGTAAAATTAATGTAAATTTACCCCGATGTCTTGAAGTTCGAAAGATTAAATTACATGTTTATGGTGACCGGTAATTAACACCTTTGTTGATTGTCTAAGCGGATCTTTAGTGTGTTGAACATATTTCACCTGACATAAAAACGAAACGAATTTAAATGACCCAATTTGAGATTAAATGAATTGTTAGAATTATAATTCATTAATTACAATAAATAAAATGATAAAGACAATTATGATAAATTTATAATAATTGAATGCAAAGCAGACGACCCTCATCAGAGATTGTTCAGAACTTGTTTCGTTCCGTGAGTAATTTTATAATTTATAGTGACTGACCTTTGTGTTTGTGTATGGATTTTATTTGTGAATGTCTTGTGTTTAATTATTATGAGGGACCAAAAAATATGGAGATTGAATACACAATCATTAAGTGTCATATCGAAAAAAGGCACCCTGTTCAAATATCTAGTTTGCACAAATCTCGTACCGTATTTCGTGCATTCAAAATTTATGACGACACACTCGACCTCGGATGAGTCAAACCTGGGATAAGTCGAATATTTTTGTCCGTTCCCTTTGACTTTGACATAACGAGGTTCGACTGTACTTTCTACTGAAATACTGACCTGTTTCACCTGGTTTTCGTCAGTTATATTTGATGTGTATGCCCACTCAGCCTCAGTTTGAACATACAGAGCATGTTCAGCAGCAGTGTTGTATTCTGTCAGCCATTTCTTAGCCTGATTAAGTTCTAATGTCATTTGGTTAGGAACAGAACTGACCGGGCATGCCGTGTCCCAGCCTACTTTATAACCTTTATTACTATTTTCTGTCTTCAGCCAATCAGTGAGGGGTTTGAAGTAGTCTATAAGAGCACTGGCGTTCATTTTACTTTGTCCTGTTAAAACTTCCATTGCTTCTGACCATGGTTTAGATGATCCCATTTTCAACATATCCCTGAAGTATATAAATATCTTAGAATGATCTCATTAAGTCTTCAATGAAATGCTCTCAAATGTATGCAAAAATTTGTAACATAAAATGTATATGTGCTTGAAGAAGCTTAGAAAAGAAGCTTGGTAATCTGACCAGATACAAGAAAGGTTGCTTAATTGTACCCAAAGTACATAACAATTTTGTGGACAGCTATTACTCACATGACAACTTTGTGGACAACTATTTCTCACATGACAATTCTGTGGATAACTATTACTCACATGACAACTTTGTGGACAACTAACTATTTCTCACATGACAATTCTGTGGATGACTATTACTCACATGACAACTTTGTGGACAACTAACTATTACTCACATGACAATTTTGTGGATAACTATTACTCACATGACAACTTTGTGGACAACTAACTATTACTCACATGACAACTTTGTGGACAACTATTTCTCAAATGACAATTCTGTGGATGACTATTACTCACATGACAACTTTGTGGACAACTAACTATTACTCACATGACAACTTTATGGACAACTAACTATTACTTACATGCCAATTTTGTGGATAACTATTACTCACATGACAACTTTGTGGACAAATAACTATTACTCACATGACAACTTTGTTGACAACTATTTCTCACATGACAATTCTGTGGATAACTATTACTCACATGACAACTTTGTGGACAATTAACTACTACTCACATGACAATTTTGTGGACAACTATTACTCACATGACAATTTTGTGGACAACTATTAACCACATAACAATTTTGTGGATAGCTATTATATAAAAATAAGGAGATTTTAACCACATAACAATTTTGTGAACAACTGTAACTCACATGACAATTTTATGGGCACTTATTTCTAAGTTTTACTGTGATATTTATAAAGCAAGTTATTGACAGATCATTAAACACTTTTCTCGCAAAGATATTTCCAAGGGCCATAAATCATGTTTACTTGATTTTTTAAACTGAAGTGAGATATTCGTAACTAGATATCATTGAGATGGGAGCCATCTCTGTGGGCCCGCTGTGAATAATGTGTGGTAAAATTTGTTTATCTTTATCATTGGACATGGGGTTGTCAACTGAAACCAAAGTTTTTGACCTTGACCTTTGACCTAGGAAGTTGTACATAAATTATGACACACCCTCTGGTGTTTGTTTATATACATGTCAAGTATAAACTTTGAAATCATAACGGTTCTCAAGATATAGAGCGGACACGATCTTTACCATAGGACATGGGGTTGTAAACTAAAACCAAGATTTTTGAACTTGACCTTTGACCTAGGAAGTTGTACATACATCATGACACACCCTCTGGTGTTGGTTAATATACATGTCAAGTATAAACTTTGAAATCATAATGGTTCTCAAGATATAGAGCGGACACGATCTTTACCATAGGACATGGGGTTGTCAACTAAAACCAAAGTTTTTGACCTTGACCTTTGACCTAGGAAGTTGTACATACATTATGACACACTCTCTGGTGTTGGTTAATATACATGTCAAGTATAAACTTTGAAATCCTAACGGTTCTCTAGATATAGAGCGGACACAATTTGTTACGGACGGACAGACGGATGGACGGACAGACTGATCACTATAGGGCGTCCGCCATTCGGCGGGGCCCGAATAAAAATCTTGAATATTAGTTTCATCAAAATAAAACAAATTACATATAATAAAGTCAAAAGTACATTTTAATATTAGCATATTATGGTTGCTCCTCTAATTCTATCAACTACAATATTTACTGATGTATTCTATAGAGAAATGTGACTTACCCTAATTTTTTGCCTGCAGCATGTGATCTATAAATATCACATTTATGTAATGGACCAGTATAGCCTGCAGCATCACATAGGGCCTTGTGGAACTGGAACTGGACTACAAAACTTACAAAGTATCTGTAAACAAAGTAGAATGCAGTCTTAATGTCTCATATTGTTAATTTTCAAATACTGTAAATTCAGAAATTATTGTGAGCATTTTTTATTGTGATTTAAAAAAAAAGGGGCAAACATGCTAGATTAGTTATAGCAATTTCAGGAAAATCTGCATACTGTTATATGTACTGGATATCGGAATACAAGATTTTCTTATAGCGAAACTCACTCAGTCGCATTATTTGTTTTATTAAAAACCTCACAATAATTTCTGAATTTACAGTAGACATTGTTTTTATCCCTTGCATTGTTGAAAGCAATATTTTTAAAATATATGTATTTTGATCATTGTTAACATCAAATCGATAAAAAATCAATATAAACTAATTTGGAAATAAACTTTTCATGAATTCACAAAACAAGGAACCTCATTAGCATACCCAGACCTTTTATAACTCAAAATTAATTATGAAACAAGAGTGCACACCCTGAAATGTCTCGCCTACTATACTGACCATTGATTTTATGTTGATAGTCCTACATATAAAGTTTTACTACAAGTATCACATTAACATTTATGATCCAAGAAAATGAGGTCAAGGTCAGATAAACCAAGCCGGAAATACATGTACACCTTTAATACAATCCCTCCATACACAGAATATAGATGACCTATTGCTTATAGTATAAAAAAAAAACGACCAAACCATGGAAATTCTATATTGACCAATGAACCATGAAAATGAAGTCGAGGTCATTTGAACCCTGCCAGACAGACATGTACACATTAAAATCATTCCAAATATAGTTGACCTATTGCTTCAGCTATCTTAGAAAAAAAGTTAACCAGGAAAACTGAACATTGACCAATCAACCATGAAAATGAGGTGAAGGTCAGATGATACCTGCCAGACAGACATATACACCTTACAATCATTCCATACACCAAATATAGTTGACCTATTGCTTAAAGTGTAAGAAAAACAGACCAAAACACAAAAACTTAACATAAGCAATGAACCATGAAAATGAGGTCAAGGTCAGATAAAACCTGCCAGACTGACATGTACATCATTAAGTATTTCCATACACCAAATATAGTTGACCTACTGCATACAGTATTAGGAAAACAGACCAAAACACAAAAAACTTAACATTTAGCAATGAACCTTGAAAATGAGGTCAAGTTCAAATAAAACATGCCAGACTGACATGTACATCATTAAATATTTCCATACACCAAATATAGTTGACCTACTGCCAGGGCTCGACATTACCGCTTGTCCGATTGTCCGGGACAAGTGGACACAGAGGTCGGGCAAGTAGATTCACTATACTACTTGTCCGATGGGACAAGTGAAAAATCGATGTCAGATATAAAATATATCAAATTCAAGACTTTTAAATTCCCAAAATATTGAAAGATTCTTTTAATGATGATGCGAAATGAAATATAGTCATTGATTGAACATGCTTGCAGCGGCTGACCAGGGGAATATAAGTAAGGGGGAAGGAAACCAATATTAATATGCTGGGAAGATTTCATTCGAACCTCTCAGGGAGAAGCGTTTATATCAAAAGGATAAATCCCGAGAGATCCTGATCACTGGAATCGCGATCTCTAACATGTTTTAATCAGTTGAAATTCACAAGGTGGCCAGGTGTTTGAATGGGACAAATAATAAAGCTATGAATTTCACTAATACATTGATGATAGGAACCATATCTTGTATATAAACCTTTTAAAATTATTGATGGTGGCAAAACAAGCTTTTATAATTTTAGCTTGATTTTTAAGTACATTGATACAAAAAAATTGTTTATGAAGTACATAAAACATTCTACTGAGAAAATGTGCCTTTTTAGATTTTATTATAAAGCAAAATCAAATGAAACATACTAATTATAAATAAAACTGAGGTACTTATATTAGTGAATTTGTATTAAAAAGTTCCCGTAAATATGCCATGCATGTCACTTTTATTGTTTATTTATATGATCTATACATATGTTGGAAAAAACGTTTTTATTCTTTAAAATTTTAAAGTTAAGGTAAAACTCCATATGGAGGTGGTCCTACATTTGTAATTTATTAAAGTGATGATGAATTAATGATCGACACATGACAGTGACATTGAGTCAGATAACTCAGTCTGAAATAATAAAATGAATTTTGATGTGGTATTCTTTATTTAGTTACAAACAAATTCATATAGCATAGCTATTAGCAAATTGCTCCCTGGCTTCATTAGGTACGATCAAAGCTCAAGTGTTATTGGTGCATACCTTCAATATGTAAGATTTTCAATTTTGAATTCGGACAAGTGAGTTAAGAGTTCGGACAAGTTGATTTTCTTACAACTTGTCCGAAGGGACAAGTTAGAAAATATGATAATGTAGAGGCCTGACTGCATACAGTATTAGGAAAACAGACCAAAACACAAAAACTTAACATTGAGCAATGAACCCTGAAAATGAGGTCAAGGTCAAATAAAACTTGCCAGACTGACATGAACATCGTAAAATATTTCAATACACCAAATACAGTTGACCTATTGCATACAGTATTAGAAAAACAGACCTAAACACAAAAACTTAACATTGAGCAATGAATCCTGAAAATGAGGTCAAGGTCAAATAAAACTTGCCAGACTGACATGAACATCGTAAAATATTTCCATACACCAAATACAGTTGACCTATTGCATACAGTATTAGAAAAACAGACCAAAACACAATAAAATGCTCCGCTGGGCGCAGCTTGATACGACCGCAGAGGTCGAACCCTGAACAGTTGGGGCAAGTATAGACACAACATTCAAGCTTGATACAGCACTGAATTTGGATTGTGATTAAATATTTGAACAGCATAGGTTTCTGACACAGAATGAATGTGGTCTAAGAACTTAAAAAATTTTAATTTACCTATTATGGTCCAATATCCAAAATCTAAATACATACACGGTTAGATTCAGCATATCAAAGAACCCCAAAAATTCAATTTTTGTTAAAATCAAACTAACTTTAATTTTGGACCCTTTGGACCTTAATGTAGACCAATTTGAAGACGGGACCAAAAATTAAGAATCTAAATACACGGTTAGATTCAGCATATGAAGAACCTCAATATTTAAATTTTTGATGAAATCAAACCATATCATTATTATTTGCTTTTATATATAAATAAAAAATAACAAACTTAAAATGGAAAATTTTAAAGGAAAAAAAAAAGGAAAAAAAAGGAAAAAAAATCCCCCCCCCCAAATTCTTTGATCCCCTTATGATTCATCACCCCCAAACTCAATCCCAGCCTTCCCTTTGTGGTATGGTACCTTGCAGTACAATTTCAGAGAGATCCATACACTTACACACAAGTTATTGTCTGGAAACTAGAAACATGCTTATTTGTGGCCCCTTTTTGGCCCCAAATTCCTAAACGTTTAGGGCAATTACCCCCAAACTCAAACCCAGCTTTCCCTTTGTGATATGGAACCTGGTAGTACAATTTCATAAAGATCCATACATTTACACACAAGTTATTGTCCTGAAACTAGAAAAATGCTTGTTTTTGCCCCTTTTTTGGCCCCTAATTCCTAAAATTTTGAGGCAATTACCACCAAAATCAATCCCAGCATTCCCTTTGTGATATGGAACCTTGTGGTACAATGTCAGAGAGATCCATACACTAACACACAAGTTATGTCTGGAAGTTACAAAAATGCTTATTTTTGGCCCCTTTTTTTTTTATTCATTAACTGTTGGTACCATAACCCCCAAAATCCCAACCTTCCTTTTGTGGTATTGAACCTTATTGTAAAATTTCATAGAGATCCATTCACTTAAACTAAAGTTAGAGTGCGAAAACCAATGTGTCTTCGGACGACGACGACGACGATGACGCCAACGTCATACCAATATACGACCACAAATATTTTTGAGGTCGTATAAAAACTAAACTATGACCACTGAACCATGAAAATGAGGTCAAGGTCAGATGACACCTGCCAGTTGGACATGTACACCTTACTATCATTACATATACCAAATATAGTAGACCTATTGCTTATAGTATTTCAGATATGGACTTGACCACGAAAACTTAACCTTGTTCACTGATCCATGAAATGAGGTCGAGGTCAAGTGAAAACTGTCTGACGGGCATGAGGACCTTGCAAGGTACCCACATACCAAATATAGTTATCCTATTACTTATAATAAGAGAAAATTTAACATTCCAAAAAATCTGAACTTTTTTTTCAAGTAGTCACTGAACCATGAAAATGAGGTCAAGGACATTGGACATGTGACTGATGGAAACTTCGTAACATGAGGCATCTATATACAAAGTATGAAGCATCCAGGTCCTCCACCTTCTAAAATATAAAGCTTTTAAGAAGTTAGCTAATGCCGCCGCCGCCGCCGGATCACTATCCCTATGTTGAGCTTTCTGCGACAAAAGTCACAGGCTCGACAAAAATCAGTGTTGTTGTATTATTTTGATTGTATAAGTTATAGAAGTGTTAAGAAAAGTATCTATATTCATTCTTTCATAAATCTTATTTTTTTGTCAGTGTACAAATTCATTAAAGTTGCATATCTATATTCTAAATTAAAATCAGTATACAGTATCTACAAATGATAGACCAATGTACTGTCCATGGAATTAGTAAATGTATTTACTATTTACCCAATTAAGTGTTACATTGCAGCTAAAAATTATACTTTTACCTAATATAAGGAGTGTTTGCAGGAATGTGATATTTGGCTCCTGGATCAAAATCTTCTTCTGATCTAACTATAGGTGGTGCTATACCTTGATATTGGCATCTGAAAATAAATACTGTAATTATTAAAGTACTTCTTGTGTCACATTTATTACTGCATAACTGTAGGAATTTAATGAAAAGTTGTATCAGACTCGAAACATTTTATTGAAATCATTTAAAAATCAAAACGAGTTTGAAAATTGTCCTATAACCATTTATTCAGCCTTAGACTTATTGATAAGAGTTTATAACCATACTGTTGTTAAATCATTTAGTATGGTATTTTTGGGAGTAAACATCAACTCCCTTATTCATCGTTTGAAAGATGACATTAATGTTTTTTTTTTTTTCTGCACTGATATTCTGGACTTATTTATTCCAGGCATGGCACAAGATAGTTTCTTATTTCTTGATACATTTTTATATAGTTGGTGTCACAATGTGGATTCTACTACAAAGTACATTCCCCTTGATATGAGAGTGTAATACCACATGATTTAATATCAGTAGGTTTAGTACTTTGACCTTGCTGTACGTAACTGTGGGCATTATTTTATATGTTTTGCTTATGTCTGATATTGTTGTCTATTAACCGACTATTACATAATCAATTTATTAACAATTCTAAAAAAAGTGATGTGCTTATTTTTTGGGGTAAGGAAAACGGCGGAGTCAATGGCCTCCTTTACAAACCTTTTAATTCAAGTTATGTTATTTTTTTTCGTATTTTCCCCCTTATTAAAAAGAACACTTAACATTTACGTTTGTATTCTGGTGGATAGCTGTTTCATTGGACAATCATACCACATCTCCTTATTAATAATGCATAGACAAGGTTTAAAATCGTAAATATTTCCACACATAAAAATCAGCATCTGACAATACAGCAAATAGCTTGCAACCTAAATGTCTAGTCAAACACAACAGATAACTCACTTGAGGTCCCACCATTTTTGGTTGTATTTATCAGGAGTTGTCTCCCCACTAAAAACACTCCATCTCCATTGGTCAATGAGGTATCCAAATGGTAAGAAAGCTATTTTTTCCAAGGAAACTTTTAGCAAGAAGTTGATTTCTGCTTCTGTTGTAAAAAAAATATCAAATGAGACATTTATATACCAAGAACTTTTTGTAAAAAGTATGATCTTTTAACCATTTATAAATACTTATTGCACATATCCTCTGACCTTTTTCGACAAGGCATTGGTGATCAAGTTACAATTCTATAATTGAATATCTTTGTTTAATTGTTTAATCTTATTATTCTCTATTGTGCACACAGATGTATTCTGAAAATTCAAAAATCATGCATTATAGACACACTATAATATATACCATGATCCTTTTCCTCTTTATCTAACAGACCAATTGTTTTAAGATGTTTAGGTGTAGCTACAGACAATGCCATTACATCTCCTATTCCTTCATGAAATCCTACAAATATAACAAAATATATTGTCAGTTCAAAGCAATGTAAAAGGTTGGAAAGATAATGTGTCTGGTTTAGAGATAGCATATGACAGAATACAGGCATTCTGAATAATAATGTTTTGCATACACATGAAAATGTCACCTTCTAGCAGAAACATTGGTCCATTTGACACTTATATGGAATATAGTAGATTTGGGGGTGCATAGGGGAAGGGGAGGCGCTTTAGAGCCTTTTGTTGTATTTTACTACAAACAATTTATTTTTCTCATTGAAAATCCTGTATCAGTATTTGAAATAAGAAGTTTTGATATCTCAGGGAGGAATGTTATACATAAAATGTGAGAATCATAAATCTTCTGTTGATAAAAGTTTGCCACAATTTTTCATAAAATGTCAGCAGTAATATTGTACAAGTACCTAAAAACTAATGTTGGCATTAATTAAGTGTGCCAATCTTTGTTCTTTTATTAATTGCAGCACTGTTATTCCTGAATCAGTTGATTATTTATTTGATATGTAGTCATATCATTAGAAGTTACTGATTAACTTTGAGTTTCTTTCTAGTTTTGAACTCCATTTGTCCATCTGCCCATCACATTTGAGGTTTCAACACCTTCTTTTAGTCTACTGATGAGATATATAGTATCCATAGTAATAAAATTAAAAGTTAGAGATTACCTTTGAGTTTCCTTCTGCTTGAATAATTTTCGCAGAAGTTGTGGACCTGGATAAAAAGTTTTCTGAGGGAAATCCGGCCCTATGATATAGAAATTGCTTAAAAAATATTGGTTTTTCCAAACTTATTTCTATAAACCTGATTCAATTGATTAGATTCTTGGTACAAATTTAAAGTTATTTCATAAGATGTTTTGAGTGATTTTCTTGGAAGTTGTAGCCTCAGGACTTGATTTTTAATTTTGATAGCATTATTTAATGCTGCATTTCTTAAAATTGCAATAATTTATAAATATAGTTTTGTCAATTGTAAAACAATCACAATATTTAATGCATGGAAAAGTTTCTGAATTTACAGTATGTATTTAGTATATGGTCATAACATAAGAAGTCACAGTTTGGGCTTTATTCAGGTTGAGTAAAAGCTGTGGTACTTAGGCATAGAAAATTATTCAAAACATCATTTTCATGAGAGAAAGAACTTGATTCATCAGAGGATGGGGGGTGGGGCTAACAGTTATTGAAAATACACCTTATGACGCCCACCTAGGTCTATGTACATCTTCAACATTGGTCACTCTGTAACAATAGAATTCATGACAAAAATCTGTGTTTTGTTGATCTAGTATTGCTGATATTTTTTCTTTTAATAGTTTCTCTCTATTTTCTTTAGTATTTGCCAAAAACATAGAAAAGGTAAAAAAATCGTCATTTAAGAGCAATCACTCCTATTAAGAGTCTACTAACAATTTCTGTAAAATTTGACTTATTTGTAGATCTTATCTTGCTGATAATTTTTTATATTAAAAGTGTATGTCTATTATAGTTTTCAAGATAATGGATAAAAACACTAAAAATTGTTATAAATCATCATTAAAGAGCAATAACTCCAATAAAGAGTTGTCAGACAATTTCCTCCATGATGACTTAATTGTAGATCTTGTCATGCTGATCATTTTTGCTTTTTAAGTTTCTACCTATTATAATTTTTTGATATAAGGCAAAAACATAAAAAATGGTAAAATTCTTCATTAAAGGGCAAAACTCCAATATGGAGTCGTCTAACGATTTCAGCAATGTTGACTTAATTGTACATCTTGTCTTGCTAATCATTTTTGCTAATTTAAGTTCCTCTCTATCTATTAAAGTTTTCAATATATTAGGCAAAAATGCAAAAAATTGGTAAAAATCCTCATTTTAGAGCAATTACTCCTATAAGACGTCGTCTGACCATTTTTGATGTAAAAAGAAATTTTTGTAAATAGACCTATCTGTCCTATCTTATTATGTAGCCATGGTTACTTACCAAGGTAAGCTCCATCTCTGTATACTATAGGTTGTCTCTATTTTGTAATTGTACATGTCCTATTTATGTTGTCATGGTTACTTACCAGGGTTAGCTCCATCTCTGTATACTATAGGTTGTCTCTATTTTGTAATTGTACATGTCCTATTTATGTTGCCATGGTTACTTACCAGGGTTAGCTCCATCATCTCTGTATACTATAGGTTGTCTCTATTTTGAAATTGTACATTTCCTATTTATGTTGTCATGGTTACTTACCAGGGTTAGCTCCATCTCTGTATATTATAGGTTGTCTCTATTTTGTAATTGTACATGTCCTATTTATGTTGTCATGGTTACTTACCAGGGTTAGCTCCATCTCTGTATATTATAGGTTGTCTCTATTTTGTAATTGTACATGTCCTATTTATGTTGTCATGGTTACTTACCAGGGTTAGCTCCATCTCTGTATATTATAGGTTGTCTCTATTTTGTAATTGTACATGTCCTATTTATGTTGTCATGGTTACTTACCAGGGTTAGCTCCATCTCTGTATATTATAGGTTGTCTCTATTTTGTAATTGTACATGTCCTATTTATGTTGCCATGGTTACTTACCAGGGTTAGCTCCATCTCTGTATACTACAGGTTGGTCTCTATATTGTAGGTAGTACTGTATATGTCCCATCTCATGATGGATAGTTACTAAATGTTCCATTGTAATATCTGTGCACATCTTAATTCTGAAATAAATACAATGACAACTATGGGCCACAAATTCTGTCATGTTCCATACCCAAGCAACATGAAATGTGGATCCTTTGTAAATGTTTTTCTAATTATCAATTTTCTTAATTTCCAAAACATTTCTTCTTGTAGTTTCAGAAGAACAGATTTTAAAAACTGGCCATATTATTACCTCTGACAGCCATGTTTTATATTCAATTGTAAATAAATGAGGACTTCTTCAATAAAAGAATTATCCATATATTATTACTGCCATAGAATGATTTGAATTGGTCTTGTGGTTTAAGGGGAAATGAACAAATGTAAATTGTCTTTCACCAGACAGACAAATGGACAACCCATGCAAAGTGATGATAACAATAACGAACCACATGAGCTAAATACACAACACACCCATTGATGAATCCCAAGCTTAATTCCCCCCCCCCCCCCCCCCCCTTTACTTCTTAGTTGCATGCAGCATAAAACATAACCAGATAAGATTGATATTGATAAACCCCTTTTACATATATCTGATATAATAGAATCATATTTACTGATATAATATTATAGTTGACCAAATGTAGGTGAACATTAGTAATCCATGCCTTTTTTATAGCCTTTTTGTTTAAGAATTATTGGCTGCAGCAGATGGGGAAATACTTGTTTATAAATAGAAACAAAAATAATTGTTTATTTAATACCTGAAATCTTTTTGGTCATAGAAATCCCAAGCTGAGGCATGACAGACAATTTCTCTATCTTTTGGTTTCTTTAGTACAGAGTTCTTCCAGAATAAATCTGGCATTGCTGTTAAGTTTAAGGACTTGAAGAATTCTTCTGCTGTTCTAAACATTCTTTCAACTGTATAGTTCTACAATAGTTAAACATTCTATCAATAATGTAATTCTATAATAGACACAGATGAGATGCCCCCACTTGTAATAAGGCAAATTCAGCAATTTTTCCATTTATAAAGGTACATAAATCAAGAACCCTCAAAGTGATGCCACCCAAATTCAAACTTGATCTGTGTGTTGTTGGTAATAAGCATTGTGTATAAGTTTCATAAAATTTGGTTGAGGCAAAGTATAATCAGAGTGCTGAAACAGCAAATTCTACAATTATTCCATTTATAAAGGGACTTAACTCAAAAATGGTAAAAGTGACACCACCCAAATTAGAACCTGTTTTGTGTTTGTTTGAAACAAGCAATGTGTAAAGTTTTATAACATTTGTTTGAGGCAAAGTAAAGTTAGAGTGTGGAAACGGCAAATTAAGCAATTTTTTCATATATAAAGGGACATAGCTCAAGAATGGTGAAAGTGACAATCTCAAATTCAAACTTGATTTGTGTTAAATGGTAATAAGCATTGTGGAAAAGTTCACAACATTTGGGTGAGGCAAACTAAAGTTAGAGAATGGAAACCAATTTCGGGATGTACGTACAGAGGGACAAGGGTAAACCTTAATGCCCCCTTCATCCACGATTGGGGCATAAAAAAACTTGTTATCATCAATATAACTCTGTAATAGTCCTTTTGTAATGAATATCATTTCTATATAATCATAACTACATGTAATTACATTAATCATATTATTATTTATATTGGTTACACAGTTGAACAAAATATTTTTTCCTACATTTTGTATTTTTACTTTGTACAAATTCAAATTTGCCCAGAAAGTGCTTGCATAACTTAGAATTGGTCTTTCTACATTTGGACAGTGTTCTACAACTTCTCCCCCCATTTAAGTATGATATTTATCCACACTCTTTAATTTATTTTCCATGTTTTAAAAATGTTGAGTGAACCAAATATCATAAAATTATACTGTAAATTCAGAAATTATTGTGTGCATTTATCATTGCAAATTTTGTAGAATTGACTTAAATGCCAGATTAAATATTGTGATTTCAGGAAAATCTGCATACAGTAATATGTATCAGATATAGGAATGCGAGTTCTTTTTATTGCTATAATCATTAAGTCGCATTATTCGCATTAATAAAAAACTCACAATAATTTCTGAATTGACAGTATATCAAGTGTTCTCAGGATTTTGAATGACGCTTCCAGGCTTTATTTTACCTGCCACAATCTATGCCTATTTTCCAAGCTATAAAGGAACATAACTCCTGAATGGCAAAAATGTATCGAAGTTTACCACCATTTTGTCACCAGTAACTACATATCAAAATTTCAAGAACATTGCCTAAACGGTTCACAAGTAATTGCAAGGAAACAATATAAATTTTTCAATTTATCAAGGACTATAACTCCTAAACAGCAAAATTGAAAATCATCAATATCGATCATGACCACCATTTTGACATCAATAACAGCATATTAAAATTTATGGGCATTGGTAGAACTGTTCATTATTAATTGCATGGAAACAACTTAAAGTGCCATTTTTCAATTGATCAAGGGCCACAACTCCTTAATGGTTAAAGTGCAAATCATCAATATTGAACTTGACCTCCATTTTATCATCAGTAACAACACATTATAATTTGAAAACCATTGGTAAAAGAGTTCATATGTTATAGAACAGAAATGACAAAAAGTGCCATTTTCAAAAGTAAAATTGCCAATATCAAACTTGACCTCAACTTTTTCATCAGTATCAACATATTATAATTTGAAAAGAATTGGTTGAACAGTTCATAAGTTATTGCATGGAAATAACATAAAGTGCCATTTCCCAACATATCACAGACCATAATTCCTGAATGGTAAAATGTATATAGAGATCTTGACCTCCATTTTGTGATCAGTATCAACATTTTGAAATTTTATATAAACTGTTCATAAATTATTGCACGGAAACTATTTGCAGCAGCCTGCAGGCCCTACTTCACCAAATTAATAACCAGATTTTTATTTCTGAAAACCCTGTTAAAAATTTAATTTCTGTATTGTTTCAGTATGAAAATAAGGGTGTATAAATTAGAAAAGTTCAAGGGGTTTCTCCAGGACTTTCATCTATTTTCAAATGAAATAAATTACTAATCAGTACATTACTTTTGACTTTTAAAATATAAATTACATTACTTATGTGTTTTTCTTTATTTAGACCAAAAATATTGTTAACATTAGCATCTATACAACACCATACCTGAGCCCTGAGTTGTGGAGTGATGTCGACACTAACTTTTCCTTTGTATGGCATAACAATATCATAAATATTATTCCATTCTTGAGCCCACATGTTGCCTGAAAATAAAAATTGAATACATATTCTAACAATAGTATCTAGAGATCTAGCTTTAAAACAGATAGTTACATTGTTTAACTATATTAAGTTTTAACAATATAGAACAAAGAATCATCTTGCAATTATTTAAAGAACAGTTTTATGGAGTAGCTTGTAAAAAAAAACATAAAAATTCTTATGTCTATGGCACTAATTCATTTTAGCTCTTAAAAATAAGTATACTGAAAATAAACACAGGGCTGCAAAAGGTACAAATTAAGGAACTGTTTCTTGACAATTCAAAACCTGTTTCATTCAATCAACTGAATTAGAATTTTAAAGATTTTTTTTCAGTTCCACAATATTCAGTAAATTGTGGTGAGCTATTTTAATATTTTGTATTATAATATATGATAAAAAGTGTACAAAACAACAACAATATTAAAAAAAGGAAACAATAAATGTAAGTATCTATAAATATTTCGGATAACAGATATCCTTCATCTGTATGATTATGATGTAAAATGAATCATGTCAATCTATTCTGATTTAACTATAACAATCTTGAAATTTATGCAATTAAAACCAAACACAACAATGCTTGTACAATTCTAAAATTTCAAAAATGACGTAGGTCAGGTATTTACAACAGAGACTGTATAGATATGCTTCTAATAAAAAAAAGTAATGTGCGATATGAACTGGTACATTTCTAAAATTTCAAAGGTGACGACAGTTAAAATATTACAACAAAGACTGCGTACAAATACATTCCCAATGAACAGCACTGACTGATATTATACCAGCTCAAATCGGTCAGTGCTGATCATTGGGAATGTATTTGTAATCCTTCTTTTAATCCTACCTGCAAAAAGATGTGTTCTTTCTATGTGACGTCATCAGGCATGGTCGCCTTTTTTATGACGTCACAATAGGAATTTCCGAGGAAAGCAAGAAAATTTGATGTCATAATCGAATTTTGACCAATGAAGAACTGAGATCAAATGAACCATACCTTGATTAAAAAAAAATAATCAACAGGTCAGGAAAAGGATAAATCAAGTAAGAATTAGAGAAATATATATATCACTAACCTAACAAATGTGCAGGTATATGTCCTGACTCAGGGAAATCTATCACTAACCTAACAAATGTGCAGGGATATGTCCTGACTCAGAGAAATCTATCACTAACCTAACAAATGTGCAGGGATATGTCCTGACTCAGAGAAATCTATCACTAACCTAACAAATGTGCAGGTATATGTCCTGACTCAGAGAAATCTATCACTAACCTAACAAATGTGCAGGGATATGTCCTGACTCAGAGAAATGTTCAGCTCCATACTGTTCCATCAGTTTGCCCCTTACATATCCATGTAATTGTTCATACAGGGGACGTAACTGTTCTAACAGGTCCTTTAAATCTCCCTGGAATGTAGGAGATTCATACCATGATCTCCAGTAATCACCTGTGTCTTCATATCCTGTTAAAATTAAATAATGTTACCATCAAATGTATTTGCTGAAACAAAAATCAAAAAGAATATTTTATATATGTGCATGACATTTTAAAGATATGTTTTTGACAAAGAGGAAGTAGAAGTTCAAAGGAACTGAACACAGTATGGCATACCAAATGAATCTAAGTGCCATATATCAATAAGTTATAAAATGTAGTTGCTGAGAGGAAATAAATGGGGGATGTGTCTATGGGACACAGATGATGACCCCGCATCCATATAATGTTATAAAGGGACATTACTCAAGAATGGTAAAAGTGAAGCTACCCAAATTTGTACTTTATCCGAGTTTTGTGATAATAAGCATTGTGTATAAGTTTCATAACATTTGGTTGAGGCGAACTTAAGTTAGAGAACAGAAACTAAAAATTCAGCAATTTTTCCATTTGTAAAAGGGCATAACTCTAGAATGGTAAAAGTGACGCCACCAAAATTCAAACTTGATCTGTGTTTTGTGGTAATAAGCATTGTGTAAAAGTTTAATATCATTTGGTTGAGGCAAACTAAAGTTAGAGAATGGAAATAAAAATTTGTAAAGGGGCATAACTCTAGAACGGTAAAAGTGACGCCACCAAAATTCAAACTTGATCTGTGTTTTGTGGTAATAAGCATTGTGTATAAGTTTCATAACATTTGGTTGAGGCAAACTAAAGTTAGAGAACAGAAATTTTGGGACGTATGTACGGAAAAGGGTAAAACTTAATGCCCCCTCCGCTACGGCGGGGGCATAAAAAACACAACACAATGTGTTATGTACATATGGACAGACAGGGGTAAACCAGTGTAACCCCTTCTTTATTGCAACACCTATAAAGTACTAGTAAACAAGAATGTGTCCATAGTACATGGATGCCCCACTCGCACTATCATTTTCTATGTTCAGTGGACCGTGAAATTGGGGTCAAAACTCTAATTTGGCATTAAAATTAGAAAGATCATATCATAGGGAACATGTGTACTAGTTTCAAGTTGATTGGACTTCAACTTCATCAAAAAAAAGCTGTTTCACACAATCCCATTTTCATGTTCAATGAACCGTAAAATTTGGACCAAAACCCAAATTTGCCATACTTTTTAGAAAGTCCCAATCATAATGACTATGTATGCAAAGTTACAAGTGGATGCAACTATAACTTCATCATAAACTACCTTGACCAAAACTTCAACCTGACACGGGACAGACGGACGAACGAACGGACGCACTGACAAGAAAACATAATGCCCCTACTACTATCGTAGGCGGGGCATAAAAACGTTCCATCCATGAACAAATATGTATTTTGTTTTCACAATATTTTATCCTCCTTTAACAGCCTGGCAATAAACTGCATATTTTTTTATGCAGTTGGTGTTTATGTTCATCCTGGTGAGTGAGTGTGTTATTCAATTTCATAATGTATAATAATTTTACCCAGTTCTTGTACACCCTCATTACTGAGTTGTACAAATCTGGCATATTGTGTTTTCATTTTCTTTCCTGTATTATCCCTCCATCCTTTCCATGCTGTCAACAGTTCCGTATAATTCCTTGATGTAGCTATCAGTTCTAATAAATCTGGAATCATAAATACAAAATTTTATTTCAGATAAAGATTAAATTATTGTGAAATATTTATCCACATACTACATTTTTAAACTTTACACTTATGTTTCACATTGTACAAGCTGTCTAAATGAGATCAACCCAAACATCAAGGATAACTCCGAAAGGGACAAAACAAAGCAGAACACCCCCTTGTGATTCTAATCTAGAATGTCCCTATTAAAGTATCATAAATCATTATCTGCACCACCTTCCTACAGTGCTTGACTCCATGATCAAATGACAACTTTTCCTCTTCAATATGTTTTTGTATACCAATTTGAAGAAGACTGACAAGGTCATTTTGTCTGTGTTGATAAAAACCTTTGGTCTCAGATTTGACCTTGTAACTAAATAAAGGTCATCACATGGATTAAGTTTTCATTACCCATACTGGATTAGGACAAAAATATCAAATACTCCAAGGATAATAAAACTGTTATAAAATCCAATTCTGCAATTTTGTTACAAATATATAACACTTTGGTTTCCATCACTACTACTGTGACTGTACTCAATGATTTATTGTAATGTGGGAAATTCTAAACAGATTATTTTTTTTCTAATTTTCTAATAAAGATAAAATGAGGAAAGTATCACTCCCAAAAACTTTATCTTGGGAAGATCCAGGGTACATCAACTGTACTACCACAATTTGAGATTGTCCTTTTTACAACATTATAGACATTGCATACACCCACTGTGTTATTAATTACATTTTAAAATACAAAGAAGGCCAACAATTGTAGATCAATGAGGGAAAAACAATATCATAGGAAAAACAAAACACAATCATATTACACAGAAAGCTTTACCCTAATGAAGTTTAAAGAATTATGTGGTGAGTTATAAACAAGGAAAGAAAGATTGTAAGCATATCTTTAGTCATCTGTCGGACATACTATGTAACATTCAAAGAAGACTAAGACTTAAATTAGAAGCCCTTTACTGTTATATATAAATCTAAAGTTCACAATAGGAAAACTGAACTCATCTCTCAACATAGTTTCATTCTCAGCCAGTCAATTTCCACTTCTAAGTCAATGGAGGAAGAAGATCTGCTTTAAGCTGTGGATTTTTTTAATCAGTATTAAAAAGTAAAACTGTGAGCTACTGCTCACTGATGATACCCCAGCCGAAATATTTCGGTAAACAGGAAGTTGTTGAGTGATGAATCCGAAAACGCATCACACAGTATAGCTGACTTATATAAACCCTGAACCCAAATTTCAGAAATCCTTGTCAAGTAGTTCCTGAGAAAAATGTGACGAAAATTTTCAACTTGGCTATCATGTGTAAAATAATACAAGGGTTCGGTAAACAGGAAGTTGTTGAGTGATGAATCTGAAAACGCATCACACGGTGTAACTTACTTATATAAACTCTGAAACCAAATTTCCTGAAAAATGTGACGAAAATATTCATGAGACGGACGGACTGACGGATGGATGGATGGATGGACTGACGGATGGATGGATGGATGGACTGACGGAAGGACAGACAGAGGTAAAACAGTATACCCCCACTTTTTAAAAAGGGGGTATAATAACATTAACAGTACCAATGTAAGTGACAGGATTATGCTTTAAAATTTTACACAAAGAATTCCTGTATGAATTGTTTCTGATTTATACAAATGAACTCAGAGTTGTTCTATACTAGATTATGTAAAAGAGTACCTACCTGGTTCCAAAGACAGACATTTTCCTTCAGACATACACACAGTTCCTTTACCATAAATACCTTCTATATCTGACTGGGCTTTATTCATCTAAAACAAATTAATTTAATATTTCTTAATAATCTGTTTAAAAGACTACTATTACAAACTGTTTAGGGATATTTGAAGGAACATTTCAAGCAATATTTCAGATCTCAAAGTAAAGAATTGTTTTGAAAGATCATATATCATATCTCAAATAGTTGTTTAAAGAATCAGTTTGAAAGAAATATTATTTTGTTCTGTAGACGATAATTTTTAAATCTACATTTAAAATATGCAGCACTGAACATTCAACTGTTTTTTAGAAGGTCATTCTATAACTTAATATTTCTTAACTATTTCTTAGAAAACATTTGCAGCTTAATTTCTTTCTAAATTCTATGAAAAGAAATTAAGTAGGAAACTCACCCTTATCCATCTTAATTGGCTTAGAAAACTGCTACTTGCTTAATCCAAATCTCAATAAACTTTTGTATATTTCTTCCATTACAAAATATTATAATGTCTTCTTCAAAATTCATCTTATATTTGGAAAATAAAATTATGGACTTACCTCTCTAAGCTTTGACTTGTCAGACAAAGGACTTGTTCCAATTATGGACTTACCTCTCTAAGCTTTGATTTGTCAGACAAAGGACTTGTTCCAATTATGGACTTACCTCTCTAAGCTTTGATTTGTCAGACAAAAGACTTGTTCCAATTATTGACTTACCTCTCTAAGCTTTGATTTGTCAAACAAAGGACTTGTTTTAATTATGGACTTACCACTCTAAGCTCTGATTTGTCAGACAAAGTGTTTGTTCCAAGTACAAAGTTACCTCTCTAAGCTTTGATTTGTCAGAAAAAGCACTTGTTCCAATTATAGACTTATCTCTCTAAGCTTTGAATTATCAGACAAAGCGCTTGTTCTAATTACAAACTTACCTCTCTAAGCTTTGACTTGTCAGACAGAGCACTTGTTCCAATATCTGAAATCTTACTGAACTGACGTTCCATGTCAGCTGGGAATGTTTTCCAGTCAAATTCTGATGCCCCCTTTGCCATTTCCTGCTGGAACTGTGCAAATACATCTTTAGCTTCAAGCTGAAATCGTAAAAAAAGTGTTTTATGAACCCAGTGTTTTCTTTGTAATACTATTCTGTATTTCTATATGATAGTGCTAAGAATAATTTAACAACACTTTTAGATACAATCATACTGTAGAAAGATAAGCCAGGGGTCTGGGAACTGTATGGATTACCTAGATAAAGATGGAACCAAACATTAATAAATTAATAAGTAAACAGTCAGAAAGAAGCATAGTTTTTTAGGAAAATATGATATATAGAATGGTGTCAGGGATACTCAGACACCCACAAAGACAAAATTAAAGTAATGGGTATAATACCTGTTTTTGTTGATTTACGTCAGTTATATTAGCAGCATAGTTCCAGTCAGCAATAGTAGCTTTATTGTACTCAGTCTGAGCCTTTGTATTATATTCTGCTAGCCACTTATTGGCTTTGTTAATGTCTGTTTCTACTGAGACAGGATCAGGGCATTCTTCTCCCCATCCAATGTCCTCACCACCAGCATTTTGTTCTGTCAGCCATTTAGTTAGAGGTTCAAAGTATTTCATCAAAGACTTGGCACTCATTGCTCTCTGTCCAGTGATCTGTTCCATGGCTTCTTGCCAGGGTTTAGATGATCCAAGTCTAAGCATGTCCCTGATAAAACAAAATAATGTTACTGTGTACTGATTGATACTTTTGTCTGGGAGAACATAATTTATCTAATAGTTGTCATTAGCTTTAACTAGCTTTTTAGTAGCTGTGAGTACTCTTAGATCATTACTTAAGTGTCTTTTGTCTTTATGTTATTTGTTTTTTGTGCTTTGTACCAATCCAATGTCAGAGTCAAATGCTGTTAAACTGCTGTCCAAGGTTAGAGGGACTGTTGAATGCTCTTGAGAGCCTTTAATTTAGTGGCTGTGGTTAGTTTATGTCTGTCATATTTGTATTTTGTTATCATTTTGTCCTTAATGAGGCTGATGGTTTTCTTGTTTAAACTGTTTCACATCTTGTCATGTTAGGGTCATTTATAGCTGACTATAGTGTAACAGGTTTTGTCCATTGTTGAAAGTAGTTCGGTGACCAAATGTCAAATGAGTGCCAATTGGCTTTATACTTTGTTCACAGTACCTCTAGTTAGTGGTTAACCTACTTCTAACCCAATTATTATAATGATATGAATTTTATTGAAAATGACCATCTCCTGCTCCGTTTTCAGTCATCTTAGGGGATCAATGATTGATATTAAGTATTTAACATGTAATTTGTAATCTCAGATAACAACTAAAATTTTGTAATGATTATTAATGACATCTGCACTACTACCATGCACCATATAACCAAGTATGGAGGTGAAAGATATCTTAATATACTGCAGCTGTGCTATTTGCGCAGTCGAATTGCATATGTGATATACAGTCACTGACCATATATCACCTTGTTTATGATGTTGACAATGCTTTTCCGTAGAGTTTTATTTATGACGTCATCAAAAGTACAGGTTCGTGGAATTTTTACGTCTTTCGATCCAAATTAAAAAATGATGGTTTTAGCCTTAAATATTTCATTTGGAAGAGTTGTAGGAGTTGCAGTATATAAAGAATAACCATACATTGTCTCAAAATATAAATTTTATTTGTACTCGGCTCAAAACAGGATAGAAATGCTCGACACAGCCTCGCTTTCTACCTGTTTCTAAGCCTTGTACAAATAAAATATATATTTCAAAACAATGTATGGTTATTCTATATATAACAACATTGAGAGAATTATTGATATGTAGTTGTTACCCAGTATTTCCTGTAGTCATGTTTCTTCATTTAATAAATCAAATCCTTTTTTTTTTCTGTTCATTTCAGTAAAATATAGTACAATTCAACTCTTTCACAGTTAAAAGTACATACCCTAAAAGTTGACCAGCTTCTTTGGACTGGTAAATATCACACTGATAGAGAGGTCCTCTATGCCCAGCAGCATTACATAAAGCTTCATGGAACTGGAACTGTATCACAAAACTAACAAAATATCTAAAAATAAAAATACTTGGTTATAGAATACTTCGTTACATAGCTATCAATGTTTTAAAATGTTAGATGATGGCATGATTAAATGCCACATAATAAACTATATTTTAGTGTACACTTCTATCCTAATGGGGTTATACTAAAACTGCATGTATCATGTGTACAGAAATAAAAAGGTTTAACTGTCTGAATTTGTATTAATGACTTAAGAATTGTTAACATCATAAGAATATGACGTAAGATGTACCGATTATCAGGTTGTCTGCATACTAATATCAGCTGAGAGTCACAATATGAAGTTTTTTGTCAAGTGAGTGCAGAGTTCAAAAAGGCTTTATATTGTGTCCAGCAGCTGATATTTTATAATATCAATATGCAGACAACCTGATAATCAATTTATCAGATTGTATTTATGTATTTCCATGATAGAAACAAGTGTTTTTCTTTGTTTCACCAGCAAACCGGAAGATAATGTGATAAGTTTGGGACAAACTTATCAACATCAGTTCATTCATTGTGACGTCGGTGATATGTCCTGGTCAAAGTTATTAAGGCCAGGTTAATGTATTTGACGTCACAAAGCCGTGATATGCAATTTTATGACGAGCTGAACAGAGTGATAGACAGTGAATAATACCGTGTTACGATAACATATTCTTCTGTGAGTGATTTCCAACAACTTTATTAAACTGTTATCAAAAGTTAATTATTCGGGCATTTAAAAGAGGCATGATACACTTGGACTCCATTCAAAAGGATTAATAGTATGCCATCCTTGACAAGACAGAAAACTTCAGTGTCAAAAGTGAGAATTGCTATAAAGGCTGACTGCTTTAATAAGGTGGCCCTACCTGTCATTATCTTAGTCTTGAATGTATTACACCTGTATTTTTAATGAAACACTTACTGATGATGGGTGAACATTGATTTTACCAAGATTGGGTTACACTGATTGTCTTTTATTATCTATTCATTTTGAGAATCTCAATCATAGCGTATATTGCCTTATTCACATAATATAGTCTGACCTGATGTATGGAACATTTGCTGGAATATGGTACTTTGCTCCAGGGTCAAAGTCATCTTTACTTCTCTTAACTGGAGGTGATATTCCTTGGAATTTACATCTAAAACAAAATTGACATAGTGTATGTATTTTATAACTTTTAGGTGGAGTATAAAAATCTCATATGCACACCTTTTGGTCATTACACAAATATTCTGCAAAGAATAAAGTTTATGGCTGGTTTTTAACAGGGGTTACGCATACTATGTGCTGTATGCCTATAAAATTTTCACAAAAATTTACTGAATTCAAAAACTTATAATTTGATGAAAAAATGACCAAAATCATAATCTTAACAAATATGCAAGCCTTTGGTATATGTACAAAGGTTTTATACAATATGCTCAGCCTCCTTATCATAAATCAAGCAGACAAAGCTAAGTTATAGGGAAGGTAACTCACCTGAGATCCCACCATTTTTGGTTGTATTCATCAGGAGTTGTCTCCCCACTAAATACACTCCATCTCCATTGGTCTATGAGATATCCAAAAGGTAAGAAAGCTATCTTGTCCAAGGCCATAGACATCAAGAAATTCAGATCTGCTTCTATAAAAAGAATGCATCCAAAATTACAAAAATGCAAATAAAAACTAGAAGTGAATTATTTGATTGGGTTTTTGTCTCATACTCTCATTGATGTCTTGCTCCATTTCTCATCTTATTCAGGTTTATTACTTTAAAACTGCAGTAATACTTTTATCCATGAGTAATAATTGTATGTAGATCAACAGATTTTTGTTGGTTCTATAAAAAGTGATGTTAGACTTAACTTTGAACAAATAAAAGGTAACATGCAATGGATTCTTATCATGTACTTGTGTACCTGTACACTTTTTTACCATCAAATAAAGTTTCTTAATTTATTGTAAAAACATTTTGGTAATGGTTGTAACCATCAAAGTTACAAGGTAAATCCATTAAATTAAAGCATAATCAAAGCACCTTTGATGCTGCTAGTCAGCGAATCTGACATGATGACAAAAAACAGCACATCCTTACATGTTAATTATTACAGGAACTCTTTTTATGTATTGAAAGGGATAGACTTTGTACATAATTCTCTGACTTTTGATTATTTCATTGTAGCAGAAATTGTTATTTAAATTGAAGCATCATCAGCAGTTAAGTAAACTTGTAACATGTCAGCTGTTCATATTTTTTGGATAACTGGGATTGAATTGTCTCCCTTTTTTATACGATTAAAGTGGAGGAAATCAATATTGATAGTACTGATATTTATTCAATTACTTCCACAATTATAAGATACTGAAACAAGAATGTGTCCATAGTATACGGATGCCCCACTCGCACTATCAATTTCTATGTTCAGTGGATCGAGAAATTGGGGTCAAAACTCTAATTTGGCATTAAAATTAGAAAGATCATATCATAGGGAACATGTGTACTAAGTTTCAAGTTGATTGGACTTCAAATTCATCAAAAACTACCTTGACCAAAAACTTTAACCTGAAGCGACCAAAAACTTTAACCTGAAGCGGGACAGACGGACAACAGATGAACGGACAAACGGAGGCACAGACCGAAAAAACATAATGCCCAAAGGTGGGCATAATAATACTGTTATAATGACTGTTTAAAAACTAGGTGGAGCTATTTAAGTGGACTAAAACTAATGTCTCCCCTTCATCTACAGAAGTCACTGAAATTAAGAGGCAAGCTATAATCCCCTGTCACCACCCAGAGATAAAATTGATGGTGCAATTAAAATGTCTTGTCATGTCAATTTGCTGGCTCAAAAGTGTCAAAACCAAAACACAATAATGTCTTGGCATTTTTTTTTATGATCCAAGGCCCTGAATTTATACTACTAGGAAAGAACTTACAAACAAATTTTCTGCAATATCTGTTTAAATTGAGTTCAGCAAAGAAAATATTTATACTACTTGGAAAGAACTGAAGATTTGCTAAAATAATTGATACCTAAATCACTGTCTAACTTATCCAGTAATCCAATCTTGTTTAGATGTTTAGGTGTAGATACAGACAAGGCCAGTACATCTCCTACAGCCTCATGGAAACCTGAAATATTATCATACAGAAATCTATGTCACAAAGAGTATGAAATTATAATTAGTCCAATTGACATCTTCTTTCTGAAAGAAAAGTTTAGAGGAACTTATTTCTTCAATTCAAGATTAAAATAAATTCATAAAAATGTAAAGTTCAAACTCCTTCAGTCAAAGTTGACCGTAAATTAATTTGGATATTCTGTTTAGGTACTTTTTGGTCATGTAGCTTCTAACATTGCAGCATGTTTACACATTCCTGGCTTTCATATGTTTAGGTTTGAATATTCTGGATAAAGGTAAATCCAGAACAGCGCTATGGACACACAAAATTTATAAAGCTGTTAATTCAATTTTTCAACTCATCAATAATAAAATTTATATCAAGAAAGAAAAAGATAAAATTATTTTTAGAATATGTAATCCAGAAGTACTAACCAGAGTTTGCTCCCCTTCTAAATGGAACTGGTAAATCTTTGTACTGTAAGTAGTACTGTATATGGCCCATCTCATGATGTATAGTGATCAAGTCCTCCATATTAATGTCTGTGCACATTTTGATCCTTAATTCACAAGAAAAAATAATATAAATCTATATGTACAATATCACATAAATGTCCATAAAATATTTCTTATTCAAAATAAAGTACACGGCCATGTTTTTGTTTTACGGAAGGATTACCAGTATGTGTTGCTGAAACAGACTTCATATTATACAAATCAATGGAAACTTTGTATTTGTTTTGGTTAGGATTTTTTATGGAACTTTTAAAACCAGGCATTAAAATAAATTTTGTAAACTGGTATTATTTCTTTAAGAGCTAAATAAAATTTTCTGATTGACTGAAATATGTAACATAGTAAACAGCAAGTCGTAGAGGAATGTTATTAACAAATTTAAAAAAAATCATTCCTAAATAATCATGATTAGTTTTGTATTTTTAAAAAAATTGGCAATTCAGCATAAAATTGGTGAAAATAGTCATCTAAGGGCAATCACGAGGCACTGCTAAAAAGAGTGAACTGACAATTAAGGGCAGGTAAATTATTTGTAGATCTTGTTTTGCTGATCATTTTTGCTTTTAAAGCTTCCATCTATCAATTAGTGCTTTTAAGATAATAAGCAAAAACGCAAAAAATTGGTAAAATCTTTAAAAGGCAACACTTCCAGAAATCTCCTGATATTTTGGCATAAATGGACAGTAGATATCTCATTACTCTGAAAATTTTTGCTCCTGTCAAATTTCTCTATCAATAGCAGTTTCCAAGATAATAGACAAAATTCCAAATGATGAGAAAAGCTCGCTTGACCCTTTGAGTCAGGTAAGCTACAAATATGATCGCAAGGAGATGTGAGTAATATCTGTTTGTCCATAAAAGTATCTCAGGTAATTATTTTTCCACTTTTTCTTTGTTTATACATGTGAAATATACAAGAAACCTGCAGCATCTTACTATGGAAGATCACTTGTAAAGATGACTTCTTTTGATTTTCAACAATTACCTAAAATCTTTTTGATTATAGAAATCCCAGGCCGATGCATGACACACCACCTCTCTACCATCTAAAGGTTTTGTAATCATGGACTTATTCCAAAAGGTCTCGGGCATTTTCTTCAATCCTAGTGACACAAAAAATTCCTCTGCAATTTTGAACAGGTCTAATGCTGTTTTATTCTAAAAATATAAAACGTTTAACGGGTAAATATGACATATCCATAAGTATTCAACAATTAATAAATATCAATATCAGAAGTATGTAAATATATCTGATTTTTGTGAAACTTTTCTTGTAACTAGAGCACCTGTATATAAAAAAAATCGTTCTTCCATTGATGACAAGATTTAAATATACAGTAAAAAAAGGTATACAATGCACTAAGCACCCTGTAAAAAATTCAATAATATGACTTGAAATTGTCAGTTATTGAAAAAGTAAAAGAATTAATTGGTGACTAATTTTTGATGGAGTTGTATAATCATGAAAATGCATCCTGAGACCAGAGTATATGATTATAGGTCACATATCAACTGAGATGAGGGTCCAAGGTCATAAAACTTTACTCAGTGCTCCGAATTACAAAACTTGTGCTCGAAACATCAAATCCAGTATTTTGATTGGTTGATTTCTGAGTCTGAGTAAGATAATTGTGCTAAATTTTTTTATGACTGCAAGGCCTGTTCTTGGAACGTTCTTGATGTGTAAAATTTATGTCAGAGTGGACTACTTTTTGTAAGAAGCTTCAATACTGATTATACTAAGCATCTGTGAGCATAAAAAAACAAAGGTTACACTGACATATGTTTTGTTGTAGGCTGACATCTTCCCAAAAATGATTCTTACACAAAGTTACCGTATATGATTATAGGTCACTTGGTATAAGAGATCTTAACTATGTAAAATTATTAATGTAGCATAAAATACAGGTCAGAGTGACCTACTTTTTGTGGAAGACTGCCGTACATTACAAGATACATCAATGCAGTCAACATGATAATTCCATTAGTCTCCTGAACTTTGTTGAGGGGAATTAGGAATTTTTTGAAAGTGGTTTCAGAAGGCTTATTCATGAAGATTGGTTCATTTTATTTTTGTTGTATAAGAATATAAACCACCTTAGTAACAAGTCAGGAAACTCTAGCCTTCAATTAACCATTTACTCAATAGATAGAATATCAATCCCTGCAACAATCAGTGAGTAAAATATTCAGTGGACTTTTTGTGGCTTTGTTGTTTGTTGTTTTACTTATATTTTGATGTTCTAGAATGGGCATCCCTTGTTTCTCCTATCATTATTGATCGTTTCAAGAATGCTGGGTGACATTCCCTAGATTTATTTGTTGAGTTTCCCTAGCAGTCTGTGTAATTTTCTATGCTTGAAAGATTCTTTGTACATCTGATTGGTGGTGCAGTGTGGGTTGTAAAAGCATATAATGGAAAATGCAAAGGTCAATGTTAAACAATGGACAAAGTGAACCAAGTCAGGATAGGGATTCCATCAAACACAGGTTTGCCAGGCATTATTTCTTTGAAGGGTATAATGAATAATTACCTGTTGTTTTAACACAGGTGTAACATCTATTCCTGCTTTACCTTCAAAAGGAATAAGTATATCATAGATGTTATTCCACTGCTGGGCCCACATATTTCCTGTAAATGAAAGTTTAAAATTTTTTAAAATTACATTGATTCCAGGACAATTTCTCCATATTTGAATGGCATTACAAATCCAATTGGTCAAGAGTAAAAGTTACTTTGTATACAAAATTATAAGAAATTTTTATTCAAAATAGTAGATAAAGTTCAGTAACCTCTCTTTTTTAATTTAAGGGCAAATTACATCAAAAGTTGGTAGCAAATGATTAAAATGGTGTTTTATACTTTCTGCAAGTCATTCAAACATCATAAAACACATCTTTGGTTTCATCATATGTCTACCATTCAAAATCTGCACCATCTTAAAATCACATATGTGATTTCAGCTTCAAAAGATGTTTACAATAATACATTGTTAAGAAATTATGTATTGTGTTTACCAAATAAATGTGCTGGTATGTGTCCTGATTGCGGGAAATATTGGGATCCATATCTCTGCTTTAATTTCCTTCTTACATATGCATGTAAATTTTCATACAAGGGAGATAACTCTTGTAATAAATTTTCCAAATCTTGTCTGAAAGTTGATGTTTCATATCCTGATCGCCAATAATCTCCAGTGTTATTATAGCCTGAAATATAAAATATGTACTGTATGTACACATGAATACATGTTCATTGTAGGGATATTGCAATGAAATGTTTTAAATTCACAGTACATTTATTTCTAAATATATCAAAAATAGTATATTAAAATTGTTGTCAATATAATGGAATTCTATATGACTATCCTACAAGTGAGAGGTTTAGCTAGCTATAAAACCAGGTTTAATCCACCATTTTCTACATAAGGAAATGCCTGTACCAAGTCAGGAATATGACAGTTCTTTTCCATTCGTTTAATGTGTTTGAGTTTTTGATTTTCCCATTTGATAAAGGACTTTCCGTTTTGAATTTTCATTGCAGTTCGGTATTTCTGTTATTTTACTTTGTTTTTAAGATGTTATACAAAATCAGACCTTTTTTTGTTGTTTTGATTGTGTCGCAGACATAGAAAAATGACACATTAAAAATAGAATGATTGCTTCACATTTGTACAAAGCATATACTAGAAAGTATTTTGCTTCTTGTACAATTTTAAAAATATGCAAATATAACATTTCTCATAGTCATATGTCAGGAATAGTTGGATTGATTGCAGTTTGGAGATTCAAATTTGGTTTTTTTAAACACAAACAAATGTAATTTTTAGAAAATGCTACATATCTAGGAATTATTTTTATTACAAAACATTTTATTGCGCAATACAAGAATAATTTTTAACACCATATCTTTAAATAAATTTATATAGAATATTTCTACCTGACCATAAACTAATCAAATCTATTAAAGTGTTCCACATTTAAAAAATAATCTGGTCTAAAACTAAAATCATTAAGAGGATACAGGATGCCCAAAACAAAGCCATAGATTTTTAATACAGGGTGTAGTTTAAAAGTAATCACTTTCTAAGGTCATTCAAAAGATCAAAATAGTTTTCAGTCATTACTTTGTATTACAGCATCAATAATTTTTTTAAATACTGTTAATTTTAGCTTTTGTCCAATAATTTATTGTGTAAAATCAACTTTCTAAATTACAGAAAGCTTAACTAATCATCTCTAAAAGATAATTAGAAGAATTTCTCCAAAGATATTAGTTATTGAATACAGCAAACATGAAAAAATAAATCTTAAAATCTAAATGTATTCAAATTGTAGTTCAATCAATCCTGTCTAAATCTTGTTTTAAATCTTAAAACATTTATTCAAAACATAGGACTTTAAATGTAAATGATTTTTATTTCCTAAATTTGCTTTGTCTACTTATAGTTTACATTTTCATGCAAAAAACTGTAGTCTACTGATATTTTAAATATTTATTAGTATGAACAACCCGTTTTTTAACTCCAAAGGTAGCATTGATCTCAGACAAAAGGTAATTACACCATGGTAGACCTGCACCAAGTACTGCCTCTAAATTACCTAACACATTGATGGCTTCATTACTAATTTGAACCATTTTCTGGTAATCTGCTTTCATTTTCTTTCCTGTATTATCTCTCCATTTCTGCCAGGCCTCGGCTAAGAGATGGTAATGTTCAGATGTATTACCACTGGAGGTTAAAAGTCTTGTCAGACCTGATGAAATAAAGCATACAAATAATCTTATTATTATTAATATATCTCATTTATATTAACCCAATACCCCAGTATTTATTCTTTCTTACCACCTTAAATGGATAATGTTTTGGGTGAAACACATTTCTAAGAAATAATGATCAAGTCTGACAAATTGCAATTGTTTGCCGGCCTCTGTATGGTTAGCAAACACCAATCAGTCTTTTGATCAATCAATCAATGGTTTAGTGATACAGGGATACAGGTTAATCAAATGATATTTTTTATTATCCTCTAAAACATGCATCTCTACTTTTTATCTAAGGTTTGCCTAAGATTTTATTAGACTTTGTGATCTTTTCCAAACTGTTTGATTATGTTTAATACACCTGAATAAACAAGAAGCATAAAGGCAATTTACATCATGAACAGTAAAATTCCTTCATTGATCAAGTAGAAATTGAAACTGTTGATTGCTTGCCTGAAAACAATGCTACATCATATGAATGCTTGTCTATTGTGGAAGACAGTTAAATGCCCTCTTAATGTTTATTTTACTATCTTATGTTGTTGATTTGTTGTATCCCATATCTCTTTATATTCATATTTAAATCTATAGATTTTGAAGGGTAACATTTTTCAGTACATCTAACAAATAATATTGACTGATTCTATCTGGTGACAATTCCCTTGAGAAAACATACATAGGCTTTACTATAAATTACCTGGTTCTGTCTGGTGACTATTCCCATCAGACAAACACACATTGGCTTTACTATAAATTACCTGGTTCTGTCTGGTGACAATTCCCATCAGACAAACACACATTGGCTTTACTTATAAATTACCTGGTTCTGTCTGGTGACTATTCCCATCAGACAAACACACATTGACTTTACTATAAATTACCTGGTGCTATCTGGTGACAATTCCCATCAGACAAACAAACATTGGCTTTACTAAAAAATTACCTGGTTCTGTCATGTGACTATTCCCATCAGACAAACACACATTGGCTTTACTATAAATTACCTGGTTCTGTCTGGTGACAATTCCCATCAGACAAACACACATTGGCTTTACTTATAAATTACCTGGTTCTGTCTGGTGACTATTCCCATCAGACAAACACACATTGACTTTACTATAAATTACCTGGTTCTATCTGGTGACAATTCCCATCAGACAAACAAACATTGGCTTTACTATAAATTACCTGGTTCTATCTGGTGACAATTCTCATCAGACAAACACACATTGGCTTTACTATAAATTACCTGGTTCTATCTGGTTACAGTTTCCCATCAGACAAACACACATTGGCTTTACTATAAATTACCTGGTTCTGTCTGGTGACTATTCCCATCAGATAAATACACATTGGCTTTACTATAAATTACCTGGTTCTGTCTGGTGACAATTCCCTTTAGACAAACATACATTGGCTTTACTATAAATTACCTGGTTCTATCTGGTGACAATTCCCATCAGACAAACACACATTGGCTTTACTATAAATTACCTGGTTCTGTCTGGTGACTATTCCTACGAGCTTTGATCGTACCTAATGAAGGGAGCAATTTGTTATGCTATATGAATTTGTTTGTAACTAAATAAAGGATACCATATCAAAATTCATTTTATTATTTCAGACTGAAAGATTATTTGCAAGACTGAGTTCTCGGACTCAATGTCACTATCATGTGTCGATCATTAAATCATCATCACTTCCTAAATCACTAGGTTCTCTTATGGACCTATCCATTCTGTAGTAGTCGTATGGGTTAAACCAAGCATGCTATGGTCTTCCTGTAGACCACCACCTTATGAAAACATGACATTACTGACAGACTCTTCTCCCATTTCTAATACAGGCATGGCGTACAAACGACCTTGTTTTGTAAAAAAAAATTATAAAGAAGAAGACCAAACTTTCTTAGATCCATTTAAACTTTGTTACTGTCTCGCAGGTAAACAATCCAATGTGTATGTAAATACACCTGGCCACCTTGCGAATTTCAACTGATTAAAACATGTTAGAGATCGTGATCCTAGTGACCAGGATCTCTCAGGATTCATCCTATGAAAGCTTCTCCCAGGGAGGTTCGAATGAAATCTTCCTCGCATATTAACATTGGTTTCCTTCCCCCTTACTTATATTCCCCTGGTCAACCGCTGCCAGCATGTTTAATCAATGAATATTTATTTCATTTCCTATGATCAATATAAGAATCATTCAATTTTTGGGGAATTTATAAGTCTTGAATTTGATATATTTTACATCTGACATCAATTTTTCACTTGTCCCATCGGACAAGTAGTATGGTCAATCTACTTGCCCGACGTCTGTGTCCACTTGTCCCAGACAATCGGACAAGCGGTAATGTCGAGCCCTGACTTATAAATTACCTGGTTCTGTCATGTGACAATTCCCATCAGACAAACACACATTGGCTTTACTATAAATTACCTGGTTCTGTCTGGTGACTATTCCCATTAGACAAACACACATTGGCTTTACTATAAATTACCTTGTTCTATCTGGTGACAGTTACCATCAGACAAACACACATTGGCTTTACTATAAATTACCTGGTTCTGTCTGGTGACAATTCCCATCAGACAAACACACATTGACTTTACTATAAATCATCTGGTTCTGTCTGGTGAAAATTCCCATCAGACAAACACACATTGGCTTTACTATAAATTACCTGATTCTATCTGGTGACAGTTACCATCAGACAAACAAACATATGCTTTACTATAAATTACCTGGTTCTATCTGGTGACAGTTACCATCAGACAAACAAACATTGGCTTTACTATAAATTACCTGGTTCTATCTGGTGACAGTTTCAATCAGACAAACAAACATTGGCTTTACTATAAATTACCTGGTTCTATCTGGTGACAGTTACCAACAGACAAACAAACATTGGCTTTACTATAAATTACCTGGTTCAATCTGGTGACAGTTTCTATCAGACAAACAAACATTGGCTTTACTATAAATTACCTGGTTCTATCTGGTGACAATTCCCATCAGACAAACAAACATTGGCTTTACTATAAATTACCTGGTTCTATCTGGTGACAGTTTCCATCAGACAAACAAACATTGGCTTTACTATAAATTGTTTCCATGTTAGCTACAACATTACTCAGCTGAAAACAAATTCACCAAATTAACAAAATATCACAAAAGTACAATTACTTCTTCATTAATCACAAAATATCCAAGTGAATAATGTTTTTATTCTCAAATTGTTTGTTGGGTTACTGCCTCATGTGATTCACCTGACACTTTCATAAATTTATATCTCTAAAATCTTTGTACACAACCACAAACACAATTTATTTTTAATGGGAGGAAAAGAAAGAATTTATTGAAGAGGGTGGTAAAAAAAACATGTTGAATGTGAAATAAAAAATGACGATAACCCTTTACCATCCTCATTGAACATTTATTTTTACCCATTTAAAAGAATCTACAATTGTGTTTAGTTTTAAATTCTCTTGATCTGTATAAGAAATATCTGTCACTGGACATTAAGGAAATAAAATGTTGACAGAGAGACATGTCTTGCTTGTGTAACATTTAAACTATGCAAAAGTCATGAACCATAACTGATGGGGTGGAGCCAAACAATCTACATGGAAAAGAGATTTTCCTATGCTTACATATAAGCTTACAAAATGTCATTGACTTATCACAAGTGATTCTCCTTAACCTGACCTAATCACAAACTTTAACTACAGATAACAGATGATGGATGACGGACAGACATGGTGGTTGGTATATACCCACCATAATCAATGTTTACGTATGGTATAACAATACAATTGACCTGTACTTACATCATGTAGCTTTTCCTTATCTTCCAGTGCACTAGTTCCTATGTCTGTAATCTTTTTAAATAATCTTTTTAAAGTCTCATTTTTGAAATTTTTCCATTCATACATGCTGGCATTCCTGTAAGCTTCTTTTTCAAAATTAGCTACTGTCACACTATAATTTACCTAAAACAAAAAGTGATTTTGATATCAAAAAATATTTTATAAAAAGTGAAAAAAGATATGCGGGATGATTTCCTCAAGGTTATTCCTTAAGGATCAAGGGATAGGAATTTTAAAACTGCAAATGAAAATGATTACTACCTTCTTTGATATGATGGCAGCTTGTACTTTGATGGGGATTTGCTTCGTTAACTGGCATTGCAGTCTTTGAAATGTGTAATGTCAGCAAACTTAAATTCTTACTATATTTTTTATTAATGCAATAACACTCTCTTGTTATAAAACATGATAAACAGATGAAAGGATGGATGGACACCCCATCACTATATATAGCCTGCTTCAAAAGAGGGTATAAATTACAAAATTGAAGTAAACATGAAAAATTAACCACTTAACCATGAAATGAGATCAAGGTCAAATAAACCACATCAGCCAGACATGTACAGCATACAATGATTCTACATTGTACAGAATGGAGATGAGATAATACATCATCATAACAATTTAAAGGTCATATGATCACAAAACCTTTACATTTTTTATTCATTCATTTAACAATTTATAAAAATGAAATAAGAAGTCAAGGATAATGGACTGAATATTCCAAAATATGTATGAAGTTTTGATATTTTATAACGATTCCATGCAATGTTAGTTAACGGTTGCCAATGGAATATTTTTAATTCAAGTATACGTCTGATCATGTTATAAATCAAATTAGAGAGTTTGAATCAAATTGGTGAGCAGACCAGAGATAAACAAACATATATGATTTGTCTTCTTTATATATATGATCGCAGAAACATCACCTTATAAAAACCTATACAAAACTTTAAGATAAAACAATCATTGCTGCAAAAGCATTTCTAGGTCTTGCCTTCAGAGGTAACAATTTATTAACATATGTCACAACAGTCCATACAAATACCTAAATTCATTAATGAACCTATAAAAGCATCTGTTTCAATTATATGTACATATACCAATATCTACCAACCGATACTTCTTGGTTGTAATCTGTAATATTTGTGGCATAAGACCAATCAATTTCTCCTTGTTTAGAATTCACATCTTGTACCATTGTGTTGTACTCATTCACATATGACCATGCTGATTCCTCATCTGTAAGCTTCCCAGACACAGGATTAGGACAGGAATCAGTCCAACCTGACCTTTGACCTTTATTTTGTTCTTTCAACCATTCAATAAGGGGTGCAAAGTATTCTAAGATTGCAGATACATCCATTTTAGATTGCTTTGTAATGGCTTTCATAGCTTCAGGCCACGGTTTTGACTTGCCCATTTTCAGCATATCCCTAAAAAAATGTTTTATTAGTATTCATTAACAAATAAATAATGCACCTGTACATTAATAAATAGAAAATAAAGTGCCTCAGTTGCTATCCTATCACCAACTTTTTATTTATTCTATTAAGGAATGACTGTAATATTTTTTCTGTCTATGAAGAAATAACATAAAAAATGTGGTGCTTACTGAATAACCCGCATAGCACATACCTGTCAACCTATGAAAATGAAAATGCAGGTCATTGAAGAATAAAATCTCAGGTCATAACGCGTACAAACTTTTTTCAGCTGAATTTAAGTATTTAGGGGACATTTCTTTATATTTTAAATCGAACAGTCCCCAAAATATGTTCACATGCTGAAGTTTTAACTGATAATAGTTTAAATTTAAAGCCATTGAACTATTGATGTGTTGTACTATGTCATTTCATACCAAGCCATACCCCGTCTTCTTGTTTCATTCATAATTTTATATCAATTCTCAAGCTACTTGTTTTCCCAGTATGTATAAATATGGTCAATCACTAAGTTGGTTGATATTGGAATATAATAAAAAAAAAATCAAGCATTTAAAGGAAGAAGAGATAAAAAAAAAAAAAAATTTCAAAATTGTTCTAAGGTAGAAAAATAAAAGAAAGTAATATATTCTGATATGTATTTTCATTCAATTTGTTTTAGATTTAATCTTTTTACAAAAAAAAAAACATAAAATGAAGTAGTATATTGTGAAAGGTGACAAGAAAGGGGAATTAACTCCAATTTATTGTCAAACAACTTTGAAATAGACAAATTATTTATGACCTTAAGCTAAGGTAACTGGTGTTAATTAACAGAGTGTCAAGAATCCGGGTGAAAATGGGTCATTTTCCAAATTTCCAGGTTATTTAACGACCCGGCAGGTATTTAAAAAATCCCAGGTGTGGGGTGAAATTCTCGGGTCAGTTGACATGCGTAGCGGATTATTTAAAAGTGTGCACCACATTTTTTAGGTTATTTCGAATAGAAAGAAAAAATATTACAGTCATTCTTTATAATTCAACTCTATATTCCATTTCTAAGGAGTAAATCATCAAAAAAATGTTGATGACGAAATTATTCCTATGAGCTGACAGACAAAAAGACGTGTTACATCCAAAATTAAATTATTTATTTATATTTCTTTGACTTTACAAACGTTCTTAGCTATTAACTTTGCTCCTCTTGATTTTCTTAACCAGAAAAGCAATTTGAATACAGCAACTTCTATTCGTTTTCTTTGGTTGACTTGTCATTCTTTTTTGGGGAAGAAAAACATATTTTCAATAAAACTGGAAACATGCTGACAATTATAAAAATTTCTTTTTACTTTTCTGTGATAGAAAGTTGCATCTCCTACCCCAAATGATATTCATAATTCAACTTTTCTTCCCGATACAACAAAGACTTCCTCCTATCTTACCCTAAGAGTTTTCCAGCAGCTGTAGAGTTGTAGATGTCACACTCATGTAATGGTCCTGAATGTCCAGCAGCCTTACATAAAGCTTTATGGAACTGGAACTGTATCACATAACTCACAAAGTATCTGTAAAGAGATGGCCAATAAAGATGTTTCTTATCAACAACAGTCTAACTGTTGTGACTGTCTCAGAACTACCTGTACATAAATCATAATGAAGACACTTCACTTTGACTGATCATAAGGTCTTACTCCTGATGTTGTCTTTAAACAGAAAATATCAAACTGTGACATGTAATGTACTCTCCTTTAATCAAAAATTAAAAAACTCTGTAAAGAGGCAGACACTTTTAAGTTGGTGCAAAAGGTTAGAAGAATGAGAAATTCTTTGTATTTTAAAAATGCAAGCATAAGACATTTGTGCTTCTTCTTTCCTTTGCTCAGCACTCATCATGTGAGCAGTGATGATAATCAATCTAATAATTACCTGATATAAGGAGTATTTCCAGGAATATGGTACTTTGCTCCAGGATCAAAGTCCTCTTCTGTTCTTTCTACTGGAGGTGATATTCCTTGGAATTTACATCTACATTCAAATAATATTTTTTCGGAAAATCTGTATATCATAGTTTGATAAGTTATAATTATTTTTTTTTTTTTTTTATATTGCAATCACATCTAAGTGTTGTCATTTTTCTGCAATGGACATTGTTTATTGATAGTTCTGCAAAACCCTTTTACACAGAGAACAATAGCTGAAAAAAAGTTGCTATACCATAAATTATTGACTGATGATTTCTTTGCCCTTATTTTAAGAGATGTTTCCTGCATACAAATACAGGGGGAAATAATTATAAACTATTGAAGACTGTATGTTAACCTCTAGATGTCTTATGGTTATTTTTGTTGAGTTGCTGCCTCAATACCATATACCCAAAATCTCCTTTTACTCATATTACTTTTGGTCAATAGCTTTATATCAAATATCATGTAACCACTCTTTACAACCTGACAACTACATTGAAGGTAAAAAGTATAAATGTGAGCGTTTAAGGTCCTCTATTAATTTTTATAAACTGCAATCCGTAGAAGACAATCATTGTTCCTGATTATCTACCACACAAGGTAATTATGGAACCCATGGTAAAGGAATTTCCACATAATTCAAAATATTGGGATATATTATCAAAAAAATAAAATACATTTTGAATTTCTTTACCTTAACTCCCACCATTTTGTATTATACTTGTCTTTAGGTGTTTCCCCTCTAAACACACTCCATCTCCATTGATCCATTAAGTATCCGAAAGGAAGAAAGGCTATCTTACTTAATGCTTGGCTCATCAAAAAATTTATAACATTCTCTGTAATAAAGTCAAACTAGAATCATGCTTAGGAATCAACAATACTATTATAACTTTGCAATACTATAAACTCAGAAATTATTGCTAGGTTTTTATTAATGCGAATATTTGCTACTGGGTGAGTATTGCAATAATAAGAACTGGCATTCTGATATCTGACAGTGTTCCAGCTAGGATTTCAAAAGGGCAGGGTGCCAATCCTGAATAAAATGCTTCGCTGGGCGCAGCTTGATACGACCGCAGAGGTCGAACCCTGAACAGTTGGGGCAAGTATGGACACAACATTCAAGCTTGATACAGCTCTGAATTTGGATTGTGATTAAATATTTGACACAGCATAGGTTTCTGACACAGAAAGAATGTGGTCTAAGAACTTCAATTTTTTTTAATTTACCTATAATGGTCCAATGTCCAAAATCAAAATACATGGTTAGATTCAGCATATCAAAGAACCCCATATATTCAATTTTTGTTGAAATCAAACAAAGTTTAATTTTGGACCCCAACTTGGACAAACTTGAAAACTGGTCCCATAATCAAAAATTTAAACACATGTTTAGATTCAGCATATCAAAGTACCCCAAGAATTCAATTTTTGTTAAAATCAAACTAAGTTTAATTTTGGACCCTTTGGACCTTAATGTAGACCAATTTAAAAAACGGGACCCAAAATTAAAAATCTAAAAACACAGTTAGATTTGGCATATCAAAGAACCCCAATAATTCAATTTTTGATGAAATCAAACAAAGTTTAATTTTGGACCCTTTTGACCTCAATATGAACCAATTTGATAGCGGGCCCACAAATAAAAAATCTAAATACAGGGTAAGATTCAGCATATCAAAGAACCCCATATATTCAATTTTTGTTGAAATCAAACAAAGTTTAATTTTGGACCCCAATTTGGACCAACTTTAAAACTGGGCCAAAAATCTAAAATCTAAATACATGTTTAGATTCAGAATATCAAAGAACCCCATATATTCAATTTTTGTTGAAATCAAACAAAGTTTAATTTTGGACCCCAACTTGGACCAACTTGAAAACTGAGCCCATAATCAAAAATCTGAACACATGTTTAGATTCAGCATATCAAAGAACCCCAAAAATTCAATTTTTGTTAAAATCAAACTAAGTTTAATTTTGGACCCTTTGGACCTTAATGTAGACCAATTTAAAAAACGGGACCCAAAATTAAAAATCTAAATACACGGTTAGATTTGGCATATCAAAGAACCCCAATAATTCAATTTTTGATGAAATCAAACAAAGTTTAATTTTGGACCCTTTTGACCTCAATATGAACCAATTTGTTAGCGGGGCCCACAAATAAAAAATTATAAATACATGGTTAGATTCAGCATATCAAAGAACCTCATATATTCAATTTTTGTTGAAATCAAACAAATTTTAATTTTGGACCCCAATTTGGACCAACTTTAAAACTGGGCCAAAAATCAAAAATCTAAATACATGTTTAGATTCAGCATATCAAAGAACCCCATATATTCAATTTTTGTTAAAATCAAACAAAGTTTAATTTTGGACCCTTTGGACCTTAATGTAGACCAATTTGAAAACTGGACCCATAATTAAAACTCTAAATACACGGTTAGATTCGGCATAACAAATAAATAAATGTGGTCAAAGATTTTACAAATCTAATGCGCCATACTGTGCAATTAAAGATTACTTCTTGAAATTTTTCAATATTTGAAATTTGAAAAAAAAACAATATTTGAAGAATAATTCTTTTTAATTTCTGAAATCTGAAATGAGAAAAAATTGACCCCCACAATTTCTTTTTACCCCCCCCCCCCCCCCCCCCCTTTCCCCCAAAAAATTCTTTCCCTCAAGATATGGTCATAATCTCAATTCAAATTTCCAATGGAATTTGCAGCCATAATTACCCATTTAAATTTACCATAGTGCTAACTTAATCTATTTTATAATAGAATTTAAAATACAGTGTCAAATCTTTCATATGGATTTTTTTGTAAAAAAAAAAGATGCAACATTTGCAGATATTTTTACTGGTCTTCCTTTATAAATATGCATTTCTTTAAACATAATTTAAAAGCAGTGTAAGGGAAGTAACCAAAACGTTGTATTTGGATTACCTCCCTTACACTGTTTTAAATTATCTTAATTGTTCATTAACCATTACTTTATACATAATTTAAAAGCAGTGTAAGGGAGATAATTTCAATGATGTATTTGATTTATCTCCCTTACACTGCTTTAAATTATGTTTTGTACTACAGTATTTGTCCATTAACCAGGACAACCTTGTTTTTCCCCCTTTTTTGCCCCTAATTCTTAAACGGTTTGAGCCATAACCCCCCAAAGCAAATCCTAACCATCCCTTTGTGGTATGGAAACTTGTAGTATAATTTCAGAGAGATCCATACACTGTTCCACAGTTATTGTCTGGAAACAAAAAAATGCTTATTTTTGGCCCCTTTTTGGCCCCTAATTCCTTAACTGTTGGTACCATAACCCCCAAAATCAATCCCCACCTTCCTTTTGTGGTATTGAACCTTATGGTAAAATTTCACAGAGATCCATTCTCTTTAACTAAAGTTAGAGTGCGAAAATTTACGCGTATTCGGACGACGACGCTGGACGACGACGACGACGACGACGACGCCAACGTCATACCAATATACGACCACAAAAATTTTTTTGCGGTCGTATAAAAAGGGCATTTAACGCGTGATATGATAATATGAAAAGGGCATGTTTTAATAAAGATTATAATTAAACATTGTTTGTTCATTGAATCACTGGTTATATATATACAAGAACAACATCATTAGCCCAGAGAAAAACTATCTTTCTACATTTTAGGCTGAAAACTTATCAAGCAGCTTGTCACACAAGTTTTAAATCATTGCTTGGCACAGTTAAGCTTTATATGCAGTATTTTTTTGAAAAATGTCCTGCTTCATTCTGTTTCTATGGTCTGGCACACTTTACAAGTTTCACCTTTCTACCTTTTCTGTGCTTAATGGCAATACAGCACAAAACAGCTGTAAATGCACAATGTTAGGATATAGTGGACAGTGAAAATTTGGATTGAAAATAAAAAATACAGAAAAATTATGACCAAGGCACCCTACCAACCTTGCTACTAAGACCCTCTTTAACTTTTCCCATGACTCAAAACACCTAAACATATAAATGCTAAAGCCAGAAGTATGAAGACATATTTTATAATATCTTAGTAGGTTACTCAATGCTATGAAAAAATAAGATTGAGTTATCTTTCTTTATTTGGGTGTGCTCCTTCTTTGGAGGATAATAAACAGTACGTAGAAGATGTAAATACGATCAACAATATGGCGGCCGATTTTGTTATTTCCATATAAAAAATGAAGGCAGTCAATGAAAAATACGTCTTAATTTGCTATTTATTTCACGGAAAACAATAAGAGCAATGTTTTTAACGAGTTGATTATGGTTTTCGACTTTCTGTCAATTACGTTTTCTCCATGAAACTACGGTAAACATTGCTAATTGGGCCCAAGTTGTATGAACATTTCTTCAAGTTCAAAAACAAACAAATGCCGACTGACCGATTCTATTTGAATGAATTAATGTTGATGATCATTAAATGACCCATCCGATAAACGGATTACCTATAACAACAGATTATGACACCTGTTGTAACCGTTGATTAGCTTGGGGTCGTAAACAAAGTCATGTACTTGTCGCCAGGTAAATTTTCGTAATTGGCTGATCATATCAATACAAACAAAATATACCAATCGATCTTCAAAAAAGGCAGGGCGCCCTTCAATCTGTAAAAAGGGCACAGGGCGGCACTCGGGAAAGGGCGGGCGGACCGCCCTGTGAAAACGACCTAGCTGGAACACTGTCTGATACATATATCTATAGGCAAATTTTCCAGAGATCGCAATAATTAAGCTTGCATTTTTGTCCTTTCTTCAAAAATCACTATGATAAATGCACACAATAATTTATGAATTAACAGTATCTGTATTGTATTCTGAAGAAACTATGAACTCATTATAACAATTAGATTTACTAAATATAAAGTAGTTTTTACCTGGCAGGAAGACAAGCATAATTTTTTTTTAAATCATTTCAAAATTACTCATATTAAACATCAAACCATTATAGATTATAGAATAAGGAAAAAATCCACAACCAATTCCATAATATCAGGTGCTAAACTTCCAATATGTGTACAACCTTTGTGTGAATTTATAAGATCTGGATTGAAAACTATAGTTGATTACAAAAAACTGGTTCAGTCTTTTGTACATTTTGCTGAAAAATGTCAAAGTTCCAAAGTCTGAAAAAATAGTAAATAAATGGGGAATGTGTCCATGAGACACAGATGATGCCCCCGCTTTCATATAACGTTATAAAGGGACATAACTCAAGAACAGTAAAAGTAACGCCACCCAAATTCAAACTTAATCTGTGTTTTGTGGTAATAAGCATTGTGTATAAGTTTCATAATATTTGGTTGAGGCAAACTAAAGTAAGAGAACAGAAACTAATTTTCGGGACGGACGGACAAACGGACGGACAGATGTATGGACGGACGTACAGACCGACAAGGGTAAAATTTAATGACCCCTCCACTACGGCGGGGGCATAACAATTCCAATCAATTCCATAATTTCCAATATATGTCCAACTGTTCTGTGAAATTTCAAGGCTATGGGTTGAAAACAATGATTTGATTACACAAAATTTGCCTCGCCCTCCCAAAATCATGATACTATTAGCTCTTTTTTTCTTAAATTTTAGCAACCTGGCCAAAATCAATGCATGCTTAAAGTTTATTATGTACTGTTTTGAAGACTTTTTTCATTATAACAATTATGTAAAAGTAGTCAATTTTTGTGGCCTTAGTTACTGTAAATTCAGAAATTATTGAGAGGTTTTTATTGATGCAAATAAGTGCCTGGGTGAGTATCTCCAATCCCTTATCAATAACTAGTATTCTGATATCTGATACATATATCTGTATGCAGCCTTTCCTGAAATCGCAATAATTAATCTCATATTTTTGTTCATTCTTCAAAAATCGCAATAATAAATGCACACAATAATTTCTGAATTCAAAGTACTATGATTTATATTTTGAGACTGTACATAAAAACACCACAATAATAATTTTGTTGATTTATTTTAGAATTTCTTGATTCTTATCAATGAAATCCATGAAAATTGATAGATAACAAATAATTCTACAATAAAATGATCTTGAGTATTTACCATTATCATCCTCCACTTTATCCAATAAACCAATCTTATGTAGATGTTTAGGTGTGGCCACAGATAAAGCCATTACATCTCCTACAGCCTCATGGAAACCTTCAACAAAAAGTTGTATATTGAAAGATACATGATCAGTCAATGACTGGTCCTAAAATATATCTACTGTTAAATTGAGTTAATATGTTTTGGAAAATCAGAAGAAAAAAAATGACAGATAATCAGCTAAAAATTTTCTAAATTGTAGTCAACTCTACACAATTATTCAAGATGTCAATTATGCCTTAAGCTTACTAAATGGGAAACATTGTATTGGATAGAATAGACCTGGACTATAAAGTTACATTGATACTGTACCATGCAAGGAATCATTATTCTACCATATATATATATTTTTTTAACTGAAAGAATCAGTGCTACATAAATGCCCATGATACCAAAATAAAAAGTACATAAGTATTTATGAAGGGCCATGACATTGTCAAAAAGTAGGTAACGTGAAGGAAATGCAAACTGGTGCTGTTTGTTCCTGAACTTCTTTTTACTAAATAAAAAATTAGAATGACAAGGCCAAAATAAAACAAGAGTGCACATGCTGAAATGGCTTTCCTGTTTTTAACTTATCATGATTGAATTTATGTTCAAAGTCTGTAATACAAAGGTTTTACTACAGGTTTCACATACACTTAGATATTATCAATGATCCATGAAAGTGAGGTCTAGGTTAGGTGAACCATGTCAGACACACACTTTACAATCATTCCATACACCAAATGTAGTGGTCCTATTGCTGATTTTTATTTATTTTATGTTTAGTTAAGTTTATACATTTGGAAATTTTGTGTTTGTGGTGAATGTTTAAAATCTCCATTAAATTTATTCTTATTCAAGACTATTTCAAACTTGGGGTGTTTTTGAGCTTGACATATATTATATAGTCAACTGTTTATTGCAGAAAACCATATTCTGATATCTAAAAGTCTTTTGGTGTTTTATGTCAATGACTTGCCGTCTCATTAATGTACACCCCACAACTGTTGTAATAACATACGCTCACTATTTATAGGTACCAAAACAGGAAAGACAATGATGTTTTTATGACAGAGATTAAGAGCAACATATTTCTTTACAAATAAATTAACCAAAACAAAATAAAATCTTGATCTGACACTTTGCATTATATTCCCTAAACAATCAATTAGATATTCCTGGCATCGCTAACAAAATGTGGAAAAGTACAGTTTTCATGAAACATTCAAAAGTAGATAATCTGGAATGAAATGTTGTACTTAGTCAAAACTCAACATCTTAAAACTATACATGTACACCAGATACTGATATATCATATTAGTAACTTTACAATACATGCACATGTGCATGCAAAATATTTATCATTTCAAAAGCACCAAATCATGCCTTTACTACACATCAATCTTTCAGTTAAACATATTGACCATAAATTTTATCCTAAATTTCTTTTAATATTGTAATCTCCTTTTTACTCTTACTCACAGAATAAATAAAGACAAAAATACAACCGTACATGTTACCATGGGAACTAGGTCCTAAATAGAATTAAATCCACCATTCTTTGCATGCATCACAACTAAACATGCAATCCTTGTTTAAAAGCCTTAGAACAGTATGTTACCATGGTACCTAAGTACCTACCAGGATTAGCACCCCCTTTGAATAGTAATGGTTTATCTGTATACTGTAAGTAGTACTGTATATGGCCCATCTCATGATGGATCGTTATCAAGTCGTCCATGTTGACTGATGTACACATCTTGATCCTGAAAAGGAATTTAGTTATTTTTGAGAAGCATTATTTTAAAAAGACTGTGCCACTGAGTGAGTGACTGCCAGAAAAATGTGCAAACACAGCATCTTGTATGATAAATAACTATCTATCATGTCTATGTAGCTTATTGCATATCTTTTTATGAAGTACTTCCCTTTGTGTGCACTTTCAATGAAATCCATCCCAAGAACTATAATAAATTTTCATTTTAAGTTTTCTGAACCTCCACTACTGAACCATATAATGATAAAGCCCATTTGAAAAAATAAATCAAACTCAATCAAAGATTTCTCAGATTGAAATTTTCTTTCTTTCATCAACATCTTTTTCTGATGAACATTCAAAACTGAATCTTTAGTCAACCTAGGCAGTTTGGCTGTACGTGTACAAACCTTATGACAAACAAGATATCACGCATATCATGCTCATAACCATGTTTAACCCCTCTACCTTTTATATGTGCCTAGCCCAAGCCAGGAACCTTTAATCCAGTGGTCGTTGTCAGTTTCTGTCTGTCATATTTGTTTTCAGTTTATTGCTTTAGCATAAATGGTGCAGTTAATTTTCTAATTGTTTTACATTTTGTTATGTCAGGGTCATTTATAGCTTACTATATGTAATGGATATTGCTCATTGTTGAATTGTTATGGTGACCTATAGTTGATTACGTCCACATCTATGATGCCTTTGATTTGATTTTTGGTGTTTTAACGCCACTTTTAAGCACCGCTTTTGGGCTATTTCGTGGCGGCCAGTTTTTATTGGTGGAGGCAGCCGGAGTGCCTGGAGAAAACCACCTACCTTCGATAGGAAAACTGACAATCCTAGTCAATTAAGATTGGAGTCGAGTGCACCTGCACGAGTGGGGTTCGAACTGACAACCTCAGTGTTGACTGGCTAGTGATTACAGTAGTAACTACTTAGACCACTCGGCCACCGAGGCCCCCATCTATGATGGATAGTTGTCTAATTGGTAATCATAACACATCTCCTTATTTTTATATTAATTGCTTCAATGAGTAAATTAAACTAATTAAGCCAGCCCAGCTGCAGGTAAAATTATACATTACACATGATATATATATATATACCACAGGTTCATGCAAACTGATAACATGCAGTCCCTATACTGAAACACATGCACAACTAAAAAACTATAACTTACATGTTGCAAGTGTTAGAAATCACAAAATATATTGTATACAAGATTTTCATTAATGAAGTGCAATTGTGCAAGATACCAAAATTGTAAGAACAAAAAATAAAAATTGTACGAATATTAATGTTCTACCAACTGAAAGTCCATAAATAACACAATTAAAATGATTTTATCATAAATGTTCCATCATGCTTTATTTTCACTTTTAATCTCAGGAAGCTGAACTTTGAATCTCTTGACTTTTAGAAATAACTAAGATATGAAGGAAAAAATATGAACAATCCTTCAAAGGTGTAATAACATCAACAAAGGCATTTTATACAAAAAATCTAAACTTTCTCTTAAAATTCTTCTTATTACATTAATCAAATTGTTCTGGGTATATTATTTATGATACTTTCAGATGACACTTTACAAGAAATGATAATTCCTTGACTACATGTGCATGTGTTTCCTACCAGGATTGGCACCATCTCTGTAAGGAATGGGCTGATGGCTATACTGCATGTCATAAACAATATGTCCCATTTCATGGTGAATGACCACAAACTCTTTCATAGTTATGTCAGGGCACATCTTAACTCTGAAAAGTCATCAATTAAATGCTGACTTTGGTTATTATCAATTACCACTTAACTCTGAAAAGTCTTCAATTAAATGCTGACTTTGGTTATTATCAATTACCAAAAGAAGTCCCTATAAAATGCTGGTTCTAGAACAAATATTCAATGGCGAAATTTCCAATTGGAAAGCAGCCGTCTAAAAACCTAAATATTCAATTAAAAATCAAGAAGGACCATCTGCATTGTGGTCAATGTACAAACTAATAAAAAGACTGTTTATCTAGTTCTTAGGCATCTTACAAACAATTACTTAGTACTCAATTATCATGACTCTAATAAAACATTGGTTTTATTTTATTTTTGCTTTCTAGAATTCAGTACATCCATTATATTTTCATCAGTTCTCAGCTGATAAACATTGTACTTTTCACAACAAGGAAGGTAACAGCACATCTTTCAAACATCAATTCCCTATATTTTGGCATATATGAACCCTTCATGGTTCTCAAGAAATCTAGGATGGTAAATGATATTCCCCAACTTGCATACTTGACATGACTTTTATTGCGAACCCAATGAAAGTTTTCCACAGTGCCATCTCTATCTTGACCAGGTATTTAAACTTTTGTAAGTTCACCTGTTCTATTGAATGAATACAATAGCTATTTTTCTGTGTGTAGTTTATTCACTGGGACCTTTAAATTTCTTCTAAGAGAAATCTATCACTCATTGATTAATTTACCTGAGTAAAAAAAATTTCTTATATATAGACAAAAATACTTTTTTTATACTCATTAACTGCGTGTGATGATGTATTTATTCAATATTAATAATATATTTTCATTCAGTTTAATATAAACATTGATTCAATCATAAAAAGTTGATTTCAAACAAAAGTTTTATCAATTTTCCTATTGAAATTTGATTTTTTTTTGTCTAGTTATAGAATACATTTAAGAAGATCTTAATTTGAACATCATAATTTTCAAGTTTTTATTCATGTCAAACAAATTTTTTTTTAAAAGGAACAATGTTGAAAGTTTTGTCAGAAATCAACTTTTTATGATTGAATCAATGTTTATATTAAACTGAATGAAAATATATTATTAATATAACATAAATCAACACTAACATGTTTAACCCCGCCACATTCTGTATGTATGTGCCTGTCCCAAGTCAGGAGCCTGTAATTCAGTGGTTGTCGTTTGTTTATGTCATGTATGTGTTACATATTTGTTTTTCATTCATTTTTTGTACATAAATTAGGCTGTTAGTTTTCTTGTTTGAATTGTTTTACATTGTCATTTCGGGGCCTTATATAGATGACTGTGCGGAATGGGCTTTGCTCATTGTTGAAGGCCGTACGGTGACCTATAGTTGTTAATTTCTGTGTCATTTGGTCTCTTGTGGAGAGTTGTCTCATTGGCAATCATACCCCATCTTCTTTTTTATATTTTATTAATGTTTCAACTTTGCATCACTGTTTACATTCAACCGATTGAAAATATATTATCAATATTGAATAAATATAACATCGCATGCAGTTTTGAGTATAAAACATGTATTTTCCTCTATTTACAAGATTTTTTTTTTACTCAGGTAAATTAATCAATGACTGATAGATTTCTCTTAGAAGAAATTTAAAGGTCCCAGAGAAAAAACTACATGGAGAACAATAGCTATTGTATTCATTCAATAGGACAGGTGAACTTGCAAAAGTTTAAATACCTGGTCAAGATAGAGATGGCACTGTGGAAAACTTTCATTGGGTTCACAATAAAAGAACTCCGAGATACATTGAGTCCTAAGTTGAACATGACCAGTTACGATGAACTTTTGTTATGAAATGAACTTACCTGAAGTCCTTTCCATTCAAAAAATCCCAGGCTGAAGCATGACAAACAACTTTTCTATCAGGTGGTCTTTCAAACATGGAGTTGTTCCAAAATGTTTCTGGCATCGGCTTTAATCCCAGAGACACAAAGAAGTCTTCTGCAGTTTTAAACATCCTGTGTACTGTATAATTCTGTAATAATACTCAGTCTTTTCAGAATACTAATAATAAATAATTTATAATAAATTCATTATTATTCCTTGGATATCAATTTTCTTGGATTTTGTGGATATATGTTAACCCAAAATTTGAATGTTCAACCAAGTACAAATTTTCTATTGGTGTGTATGTAAACTTTGGCAAAACCATGTAATCAAATATCCATCAAAATACAATTTTCACTCAACCAACAAAAATTGGTGTCCAAGAAAAATAAACAATTGAACAGGATTATTTTATAAGGTGCTAGATACTAAGTATTAAAGTACTTTTGTAGGTTTCTTTTTTAAAGGATGTTGTAAATGCAATTACTGTGTTTATTCGTTTAATTTTTCTTGGATATCAATTTTCATGGATTGAGAGAAAATTTGGTTATTCCAGATCACTGTTTTTTGAAAGCCTGCATAAATGCCAATGTATGTGTACTTCATTAAACATTTAAATGAGAGATTGTTCTGTGTGCAAGTTATCCAAGAAAATTGGTATCCAACAAAAAAACAATGAATCCACAGTACTGTTTCATTGTGTTCATATTTTTAGACAGCAGTTCCAATGTACAGTATCTGTAACATTTATTTTTTTTCAGGCAGCAGAACCAGTGTTTATATAAAAAAATAAGATGCTGTATGAATGCCAATGAGACAACTTATATTTCACATGGTTTTTTTTTCTGATAGCAATACCAGTGTACAGTATCTTTCAAATTCCCCCCTATACTAGTGTACAGTATCTTTCAAATTTTCCCCTATACTAGTGTACAGTATCTTTCAAATTTCCCCTGGACATTAAACAAGCAATAATCATTCACTCAGCATCTTTACATATATTTTTCTCAGACAGATATACTAGTGTACAGTATCTTTCAAATTTCCCCTTGACATTAATCAAGCAACAACCATTCACTAAGTATCTTTACATATATTTTTCTCAGACAGCAATACTAGTGTACAGTATCTTTCCAATTATCCCTGGACATAAGCAAGCAACAATCAATCACTCAGTATCTTTTACTTTTTTTCAGACAGCAATACTTACCTGTTCCTTCAAAGCAGATGTAACATCCACTGATGTTTTATTTTTAAATGGCTGGACAATTTCTAGTATATTGTCCCATGTTTGGGACCACATGTTTCCTGAAATAGCAAATATAACATTTCAAATACTGTATATTCAGAAATTATAGCGTGCATTTAATATTGGGATTTTGGCATGACAGACCAAAATGCCAGAATAATTATTGTGATTACTGGAAAAGCTGCATACAAATATATGTGTCAGATTTCAGATTGCAAGTTCTTATTATTGCGAAACTCACCCAGTCACATTATTGGCAATAACAAAAACATCACAATAATTTCTGAATTTACCGTACCGTTGTTTCTCTTTTATTTCTATGTTGAAAGAATTTGCGTAATAATCTATTCATTTATCCCTATGTGTTAACCTTAAGATGTCTTATGATTATCTTGATTTGTTGGGCTGCTGTCTCATCAACAAAAATCTCTTTTTATCCCTACTATTAGAATCATGCTACTTACCTAATAAATGTGCAGGAATATGTCCTGTTGCTGGGAACTTATGATCTTTGTAGACCTCTTGTAACTTGAACCTTACATATGTGTGTAGTTCATTATAGAGTGGCTGTAGCTGGACCAACAGTTCTATAAGGTCTTTTTCAAAAGTGTCAGACTCATATGATGATATCCAGCTGTCTGCAGTGTCATTGTATCCTGTTGATAAATAATTTATCATATGTCAAGTTCTAAATCAAAGTTTGTCACAACATAAGGTCACTATGTAAAATAAATTGTAAAGAATTCCATAGAACCCTGTGTGTGGCTTGTGTATTGCTGCTGTCATTGTAAATGTGTAATGTTGACTGCCAAAAACTAAGCTCATTTATCAGTAAAATATGGAAAAAAAGTTTTTAAATAATTTCAAAAACGTTGTTTTAGATACTGTCTTTTGATTGTTTCACAAAATTCCATAATAAATTGATAAAGTTTATGATGTCTAAAAAGTGTTGACCCCAAACAGTATCTAAATGTAAACCTAAACAAAAAAGAATGTGTCCATGGGACACAGGACACTTGTAAATATATGGCAAATTCAGCAATTTTTCCATTTATAAAGGAACATAACTCAAGATTCCAGAAAGTTACCCTACCAAAATTTGAAATTAATCTGTGTTAGGTAGTCATAAGCATTATGTGTAAGTTTCATAACATTTGGTTGAGGCATAGCAAAGTAAGAGTGCAGAAAGGCAAATTAAGCATTTTTTTCCATTTATAAAGGGACATAACTAGAGAACAGTGAAAGTGAAGCCACCCAAATTCGAACTCGTTCTGTGTTTAATGGTAATAAGCATTGTGGATAAGTTTCATAACATTTGGTTGAGGCAAACTAAAATTAGAGAAAGGAAACCAATTTCAGGATGTACAGACAGACAAGGGTAAACCTTAATGACCCCTACATCTGCAGCAGAGGCATAAAAACTAAGCCTTTTTATCAGTTAAATATGTAATCTAAAAAAACATTAAAATAGACAACAGCAAACAAATAATTTTTCTCTCTCTTGATTCATACATTGCATTATTCAAACTTTAAAAAATCACAAGAGTGATAAAAATGTACTATTTGTAAAGAACACTGACTATTAAAATCAAAGAAAGCATATTTCAGATGATTTTAGTACATGTTACATGTTTATAATTGAGATATTGTCTCATGTCCATCGACTCATATCTTTTGGTTTTTATACTAACGTCCTGAAATTTTTGCGCCTTCATTTCTTAGTTCTACAAACTCAGCGTAAAGGTCTTTCATCTGTTTTCCAGTAGCCTTCCTCCATCCTTTCCATCCTGCCACTAACTCATCGTAATTACGACTGTTTGCCATGAGAGCTGTAAGCCCTGGTTCCATCTGTAGGCAACCATGTCCAGTGATATTACAGACCTCTCCTGAACTGTAAATTTTCTTTAACTCTGCTTGAACATTATTCAGCTGAAAATATAATAATCCTGTAAAATTTTTATGCACTTATACTTGTATATTTCATATTCATTTATAATTTTTCAAAAACCTCACATCTAAGTAAACTTTAATCCTGACTGCATGTTTTGCATTATTTTAGACCTTTATATAGATTTAAGAAGATGTGGTATGAGTGCCAATGAGACAACTCTCCATCCAAGTCAAAATTTATAAAAGTAAACCATTATAGGTCAAAGTACAGTCTTCAACAGGGAGCCTTGGCTCACCGAACAGCAAGCTATAAAGGGCCCCAAAAATTACTAGTGTAAAACCATTCAAACGGGAAAACCAATGGTCTAGTCTATATAAAAAACGAGAAACGAGAAACACTTATGAACCACATCAACAAACGACAACTACTGAACATACCATGAACTATGGCCATTTAACGGTAGATTTTGTTGTTCATTGAAACAATAGAAAACTTTCAATTTAATGAGTGTTAAAATTTGCTGAGCAAAAACACATGAAGCTCACGGCTCTAATCGTGAGTGTTAAATTAACTGTATGTCTATCAATAACAACACACACATACAAGACATGCATACAGAATATATCAAGGATCTTCTAGCAATAAATAATTCAAAGATTCAAATAATTCTTAATAAAATCCTATCAGCTGATTCAGCAGTTTCAGGGAAGACCTTTGAATAATCCATTTTTACATGTAACAAGAGTGCACACGCTGAAATGTCTCGCCTTCTTTACTAATCATGGATATTATGTTGATAGTCCTAAATATAAAGCTTTATTACAACTGTCACATAAACTTAACATTAACCAAGTAAACTAAACATTGACCAATGAACCATGAAAATGAGGTCAAGGTCAGATGAACCATGCTAGGCAGGCATGTACAGCTAACAATTCTTCCATACAACAAATATAGTTGTCCTATTGCTTATAGTTTAAGAAAAACAGACCAAAACACAAAAACTTAACACTGAGCAATGAACCTTGAAAATGAGGTCAAGGTCAATTAAAACCTGCGTGACTGACATATAGATCATAAAATATTTCCATACACCAAATATAGTTGAACTATTGCATATAGTATTAGAAAAAAAGACCAAAACTCAAAAACTTAACTTTGACCACTGAACCATGAAAATGAGGTCAAGGTCAGATGACACCTGCCAGCTAGACATGTACACCTTACAATCATTCCATACACCAAATATTGTAGACCTATTGCATACAGTATAAGAAAAAAAGACCAAAACTCAAAAACTTAACTTTGACCACTGAACCATGAAAATGAGGTCAAGGTCAGATGACACCTGCCAGCTAGACATGTACACCTTACAATCATTCCATACACCAAATATAGTAGACCTATTGCATACAGTATAAGAAAAACAGACCAAAACACAAAAACTTAACTATAACCACTGAACCATGAAAATGAGGTCAAGGTCAGATGACACCTGCCAGTTGGACATGTACACCTTACAGTCCTTCCATACACCGAATATACTAGACCTATTGCTTATAGTATCTGAGATATGGACTTGACCACCAAAACTTAACCTTGTTCACTGATCCATGAAATGAGGTCAAGGTCAAGTGAAAACTGTCTGACGGGCATGAGGACCTTGCAAGGTACGCACATACCAAATATAGTTATCCTATTACTTATAATAAGAGAGAATTTAACATTACAAAAAATCTTAACTTTTTTTTCAAGTAGTCACTGAACCATGAAAATGAGGTCAAGGACATTGGACATGTGACTGACGGAAACTTCGTAACATGAGGCATCCATTTACAAAGTATGAAGCATCCAGATCTTCCACCTTCTAAAATATAAAGCCTTTAAGAAGTAAGCTTACGCCGCCACCGCCGCCGCCTGGTCACTATCCCTATGTCGAGCTTTCTGCGAAAAAAGTCGCAGGCTCGACAAAAAACCAGTTCTACACAGAATGGACCAATACAATGTATATACATTGGAATTATATGTACATTAACCCCTGCAGTCTCAGCATCATTGTTAATAACAGTTAAACAAAATATCTGAATTATATGCAAACTAATTTTTATGATAAAATTTGATAAATGACAATGAACTAACATTTTTAGCATGAATCATTCTGCCATATTTGGTTTTAGTTCATTAAAAGTTCTTGAAAAGATTTTTTAAAGGTTTTGTGTATTCAATCAATTCTAGGCATGTGTGATGTCTTAAACATAAGAGCAATGATTACAGTCATGTATAAAATTTGCCTCTCCACTCCAAACTTTCTTTCAACATAGTATAAAGAGCGGACAAAATGTAAGACAGCAGAAAATTATATGGTTTTACGTAAATCAGTACCCTAAATTGACAGTGACCAACCATGTAGATACTAATGTGAGCATCAATAGTACTGCATTAGTCCAAAACGCACATTGTTGAGGCAATCATATAAAATCAGAGGGACAAACAGTTACCTTAACCTTAAGACTGAGATATAAAAACTACCTAAACTTTAAACAAAAGGGATCACATCAATGTGAACTTTCTGTAGTATCACTGAGTGTATCTATGATCAACAGAAATTAACAATATAAATCCCTTCCTGTTTAAATTATTTTTCACATTTTGTATTTATGGAAGTTGTCTGTCTGTCAATTTCTGACCTAATTTTCTTATTTATTTCTTTTCTTTCCTTTTGTATCTTGAAACTGTTCCAGGTTATTCTGGAGTCATAAAAAATCTGGCATGCCTGATTTTAACTGTTGGTTAGAAGTAGATAGATCATGGCTGCAATTGATATCTTGAACTTAGCACCTCTGATGCACAACACAACCTTTAGCCTTGAATGATATGGAATTGAAGGACATTGAAGGAAAAACATATCTGAACAATTTATCTTATTGTTTTCTTACTGTGGTATAGTTAAGTTTACATAGGGAGATATGGGGAGATTTAAATGCACATGTACTTGTGATGGGATTTAGCGGCTTTAAATTTCACCAATATTACAAAAACTACATAAATCTAATGATAAGGGTATTTTATAGAGGTGATTATCCTAATTATACTACAATCTATCAACACCCATTGGGAAACAGACAAACAACTGATATTTTTCATCTGTATACTATTATCAAACATATGATAGAACAAGATAAATATTTAACATTTATGTTTCTTATATCTGATCATGTTATCAAAATAAACTTTAATTTCTAATGCAAGAGTGAGAGAATCAATCAGGGATATGGCATGTCAGGAGTTTTAGTTCATACATTCTTTGTTGCCACAAATTATTTCATCTACAATGTTAGAAAGGATTTTCACCTCTATAGGGCTACTGTACAGTTACATTCATTCCAACATAAAAATGAAAAGATTAATTAGTTGGGTTTTTTTTTAAAAGCACCAGATTGTTCCTCACTGAAAAAGGCCTTTAATTTTCTCTTGGAAAACATCTGTCTTTCATTAATAAAGTTATTGGCAGGATCTAGGTATTCTTGTGGGAACCTATTGCACACCTTTAATAGTAGACTTGTTTCAATTGTTTTATGAATTGATTGAATATGTCTTTAAATTAATTTCAAGTCATATCTAATTGGAGCATGGCACTAAGCATTTTTCTTTTAATCATTTTAAACATTCTACCACTATACCCCTTTTAACTAAAACATTTATCCACTTTCGATAGTAAATTTTTCAAATTTTTAACTATCTAGAGTGGGTTAATATCGTAATCAACATGTTGGTGTGGTAGAAACTATACTTCACTAATTGTTGGTGCATTTTAACTAGTTCTAATCAATTTGATACATTTTAAAATAGTTTAATTAATCACACACTGATTAAATTGCAATGTGTTCTTTCACAACTAATCTACAGAATATAGCTTTTTATTAAATCATTACAAAAATAGATTCTACCACCTTACCCTAATCATTATGATATATGAGTCAATATTTGATTAAGTGCCCATTTTGGTAATCAACAGCAAAGTGTAAAATAAAATTTATATTAGTAGTTTTCACCAAAACTTTAATTGAATGCCAAAAGTGTACTATTATTAGATAGATAGAATAAACATTTCTGACTAGAAATTTGACCAGGATCACACATAAAATATGCTTTTTCTTGCCTACAATCATCTGGATTTACCTCCATTTTGTTACATGGTTCAAGCAGGAGAATTGTTTAGAGTGTGAGACATCTCATAATAAACTGCTTCGCTGAGCGCAGCTGGATACGCCCGCAGAGGTCCAACCCTGAACAGTTGGGGCAAAAATGGACACAATATTCAAGCTTGATACAGGTCTGAATTTGGATTGTAATTAAATATTTGACATATTATAGGTTTCTGAATAAATGTAGTCAGAGAACTTGAAATTGGTTATATGAATTGAATTTATATTCAATTAAAGATTTCTTGCTGTTGTGCAATACACTGTGCTGTTGCGCAATATTTAGTAAATCTGTTGTCAGACTATAAACAAAAAGGTCAATTTCTTCTCAATCTCAATGTCATATTTGAAATTAATGAAAATCAATAAGGAGATTACATCAATAACTATAAATAATTCACCAAAGTTTCATGCGAACTGCTTAAAGCATTTTTTGAGTTATTGTCCAAAAACTGGAAAATCCCCCCTGTTTTAATGAATAAAACCCCATAACTCAGAAATGTAAAATCTAAAATTTATAAAATTCTAAAGGGAGCTTACATCAACAAATATAAACAATTCACCAAAGTTTCATGAGAACTGCTGAAAGCATTTTTCAGTTATTGTCCGAAAACTGGAAAATCCTCCTTTTTTATGAATAAAACCCTGTAACTCATAAACGTAAAATCTAAAATTTTATAAAAATGGAAAGGGAGCTCATGTCAATAGATATAAACAATTCACCAAAATTTCTTGCAAGTTGGTGAAAGCATTCTTGAGTTATTGTTGGAAAACTGGAAAATCCCCCCTTTTTTAATGAATAAAACCCCAAAACTCAGAAACGGTAAATCTGAAAT